CGTGTATGGTATTCAGGCCCAGCGCAGGCCCAGACAGACATGGACCAGGCTAGCGAGTGTCCTTTGACTGACAGCTTGCACTCTTCTCCGGATCCACACGCGGCTGCCATTATGTGTTCGCCAAATATAGTACGCCATCCCGAGGTTGTACGACGGTGAGAAGCGATGCGACGGGGCTGGATTGCCGATGGAGGCGCCGGGTACACTCACAAGTCGTTGAAGGGAAACAACTTCGCGATACCACCGAGGACCACGAATACGGCCACGGCGAAATTCACCATGCGACTACAAGCCCAGTTAGCTATGCTCCTCGACACTCCCAAACCCCAATGGCTCTGTGGAAAGCTGCTGCCTAGCTTCAGGACAGCTTCGCACAGCTCGAGCTCGACTTACAAGATGTCTGAGAAATCCATGGCGGACGATTGACCGGCGAGGTGTGGGAACCGCACTTTGACGACTGGGCGCAACGGATTGGGGCGGAGGCGGATGGGACGAGATGGAAGATGCAGCTGGTTGTGATAGAGCTCGTGGGTACGGTTGGTGCTGCGCAATGTCGGCTTGCGACGAGACGTTGCAAGGGAACCACAGCCAAGCTCCCGCGCTAAACGTCATACCCGCTCTCATTGGCCGACGCGCGACCAAGGGGTTCTTCCAGGTTCAACACTGCTCGTCTTTGTCTTTCAACATATGGCCTTTGGTAGTTCAGCTGCTTGAACATTCACATCTTTCTTGACTATGTCTCTGGCATTCAAATATAGGCACATTGAACTGATGGACAGACTCACCCTAAGTAGTGGCACTGCATACATGGAAGAGCTGTGAGTTACTTGTTGGACCCGGTGTCCTCTCCTCATGGCCTTCAGTCTTTGCCCGCTTGCACGCTGGACAGGACGTATTCGTGTTCTTAGGTCCCCGCTGTTGTGTGTTTTTGCCAGTCAGTCTGTCACGAACCCAGTTCGAGCAGGAGCATGTTCAGCTCTTTTTTGCGCTTTTCTTTTTGTACTTTATGGCGGGTGACTATCAAGAGATGCGTGACAAGTGAGGCTGTACAAGATGCGAGTGTCTGCGAGGTGCAGCTGACCCCAAATGGTATCTCCATTCTTTACCGTCTTTTATGTCTTTGATATCTTAGTCTAATGAATATAATGCTTGCCGTGTCTCTCTTCCTATAGCACCACCGATTTCTGGGGGTTTGGGTCTGCGACAACAAACGACTATTCTAGCAATCTGTCAACGGCTAAGTAGAAGTACACCGCCTCACGATCACACTGTTTGCGAAGTTTCGTCGTTATCGCAGTAGTAGAGTTTGTCTGCTCTACATCCTTCACGATTACCAGGACTCGCCAGCATTCTAAACCTACTGTATCTATTGGTTTGCTATAAAAAGAGGGGATGTCGACATGTCGCCTGCATTAGCATATCCGTGAACCTGGCTCAGGACAGCAGTGTTCCAAGAAAGTTTCGATCCCTTTTCGCCATGTTATCGAGTTGTTCAATGGCAATCGCGCCCTGCCGCGCCGTGCTGTACCATTGTTGGAAGCAAGCTAAGCACAAGCCTACCTAACGATGGGCCCTCGCACTCGGCTCCACGTGTACGGGACGTGAGGCATCGGGTACGCCTGCATTGCGTCAAAGTACTAACTCAGCCGTCCCTTGATACAGTTTGAGGCTCCTGGGAGGATAGTCGGGCTTGTCCGAGCCCAGCAGAACTAACTCTCAGTCTACAGTCTAGTTTATACGCCACGAGATTACTTGCAATGTTAGCACGCAATGAGCGGCCTCTTCGACTGGGAACCCATTCTTTCAAAAGGTCGCATAGATCCGGTAGGCTAAAGTGCATTGCTTTGCCGCATACTTCACGCGATTCGTGCGTACCTGACAGGTCGTCCCTAGCTTGGACAAATGCATGGAATGGTAGTAATGTACTGGGGCGGAAGAGTCCATGAACATGCTAAGAGCGGGTGTCTGGCGGCTACTAAGCAGTCGTAAGGACGTTTCTGCATGGACAGCGATGCGGTCCAGTCTGAAGATGGTGTACATTTGATGGGGGTAAGAGCAATCGAGTCGGTGACTCCGAAGGCGAATTGCTCCATACACTCTTGGACACAATCAACGTAACAACGAGTGCTCTTTCGCCATGCGTTTCCTCCGCTTTGGATTCGATGTCGTAATCTTCTTGTTATACTCGCCCTCCAATGACCAAAGTATCTGGCAAGCCTCGGCATGAGCAACCGCATTGGGGTTGTTGATCTCTTATAGAGTTTCCTTGCCACCTCTCGTCTCGCTTCGTACAAGACCCCCACTAGAGCCGTTTCGCGATTGGACAAACGTCGTACGGGTACCGATATGGAGTAGCTGTGGTGGAAGCGCGAGGCGTTGACGTGAGCGGGCCACCCCAACCATGTAGCGCGCTAGCAAAGCGGCAGGAACCACCGTTCGGGGCTTACTCCGCGCGGAGACGGCCACCACGAGAACGCGCCACCAAAATCAGCATAACCCTGAGTTACACCACATATGGAGAGCACATTGCAAGGACTGAGACGACCACTACGGATATTCGATGAAGGGCGATGACTCCTTGAAGCGGTTAGAAGCGCCCGAGACTTCTACCTCACCATCTCGATCTGGCTGTCCTAGGGTGGAAGTAAGAACGAATCGCGCATGATCGCACAAACTGCGCGACATCGTTAGTTCACCTCCCGACATCCCCTTGGGCCTTAGCACTGCCTCGGCTGGTCTGTGACGTGTGGACTGGACCGTCGAAGTTTAACAAGCCAGCTCTATGTAGGGTACCGGCCTAGCCCATGTGTCCCAAAATCCTTGGGCGCGAATGTTGGCGACTTCATAACAATCTTCGATGCGTTCAGCATGCTGTACAGCACACATGCAGTCACAAGTCTACTTCTTCCAAGAAACGTTCTAAATGGGTTGCGCAGGTGACAGTTCAGCTGAGCACGGAACCGTTGGACGACGTTGAGGGGTGCGGCTCCTCTGGTTGGGAGACTCAAGGGTACCGCACATTTTAACTTTGTTAGCACGCAACGCTGCAGGAAGCCACGAGGCGGATCGGATCAGCCATGCTAAGGCCTTCTAGCATATGTACAAGTCGCGGCCTTGCAACGGGAAGGCCCCTTTGCTAGAACGTTGATTCCTTCTTTGTTCTCACCTCTTGCCAGACGACTTCGACTTGGATACTGTGTGTCGCCGGACGTGACGAGACATGAGATGGCCGCTGTACCTACTACTGGTCCTCGCGGCATGGGCCTCGATCGGGGTGGCACAAGACGCCGCCGCGCTCAAGGCGATCGGCTCGCTTCCAAGCTGCGCGGTATGTAACAGCCAATATGGGCCAAATGATATGGGGCTGATGGTTTTAGCAATTGTGCCTGGCGACAGCTGTAGTTGATTCACCCTGCCAACTTTCGGATAAGCAATGCGTATGTGCCAACGCTAAGCTCCAGAGTGCAGCGGAAAAATGCGTAATTTCGTCGTGTACGGTGAAGGAGAGCTTGAGTAAGTTCAATTCGCCGCCATGCACTGAATGTTTGCTTACAGCACTCTCCCAGCCACCAAGAACGTAACTTCAGCTCTCTGCGACGTGCCTGTTCGCTCGGAAATTACCCATCTGCGTGTCGCAAACATCGTCTTGGCCGTGGTGACGGGTTCCTGCATCCTCTTGCGCTTCGGTTACCACGCGTTGTTCAACGTCAATGGGCTTAACTGGGACGACTTCCTTGTGATATTCACGGTGCTTCTAGCCATACCCTCTGTCGTTATTGTCGACAGGTGTATGCTTCCGAATGGCATCGGTGTCGACGTTTGGAACGTCCCATTTGACCACATCGATAACTTTATACGCTGGCTATACGTCGTCACTCTACTATACCTCATTCAGGCTGCTTTGGTCAAGATTACACTCCTCTTCTTCTTCCTACGGATATTCCTCAGACGGCGAACAGTAAAGCTTTTGTGGGGGACTATTGTCTTTGTTGGACTATGGACCTTCTCCATTTTCATTCCCGCCGCGATCCCATGTCTACCGGTACGTTAAGCTTACTCACGAGATTCATGGTACACCAGCTAATTTCGTCCTTGGCAATGTAGGTTAGCGATTTCTGGAACGCATGGGACATGGAAAGACCAACACAATGTCTCAACATGGATGCGGTAGTATGGATGCATGCCATTATAGGCATTTTATTGGACCTCTGGATGATAGCCATTCCTCTATACGAGGTCTATCATCTCCAGATGACATGGGTGAAGAAGCTCGGCGTGGCATTGATGTTCTCTCTTGGTACCTTGTCAGTGCCCTTGCAGCCCACATTACATCATCTAGCCCCAAGCTTACATTTCCGCAGTGTCACAGTGGTGTCCATCCTCCGCCTGAAATCGCTCTTTTTCTTCGACGGGGACAACAACTATACATGGAAGCAAGCAAAAGTCGTCCTGTGGTCTATGTACGAGCTCCACGTCGGAGTAATCTGCGCTTGCATCCCGACTCTCCGCCTGATTTTCATCCGCGCAATCCCTACGGTCATCAGCTCGATACAAGGAAGCACCCAGCGAAGCAGCGCGAACGGAAACGGTAGTAGAAGAAGTCGTGGCACAACTCAGATCGTAGATACGTTGAGAAGTGACAGAGGTGGGAAAGAAGGCCAGGCCGTTGAACCCAACACGATCACATACACCAGAACCTTTGCAGTGCGGCACGAGGAAAACGACGAGGAGGTCGAACTTGTTCACATGGAGGATTGTAGTGAAAAAGCGTCGAGAGAACGAGGTGATAGCTATACTAGTGAGCTGAGCTTATAGCTACATGTTAATGAGACGTCCTAGTTTGGATCCTTCAGCCATCGCCAAGTCCACACCCGACCCTCAAGTTAGCAAGTATATTTCACTTGTAAACCTGGGTAATATATGAGTGGCGCACTCTATTCCAACTAACCCAAGACGCATCCTAGAGATGTCCGCAGTTCTCCGCATTATCAGCAGATCGATCACATCCAATCCAACGCCAAACCCGCATGCCAACTTTCGTCTCTCGTCCTTTGCCCATAGAGATGTTCAACGAACCGCTTTGACGCCATGAAACCGTTCTTTTCGGCAAACCGCCGAGCCCGCTCGTACTGACTTTCGGGAGGTTCCCCAAACTGCGCATCGAGGTCGACTTTCCACTGCATCAAAAGCGACATTGTGTCGACATGACCCCACTCTGCTGCTGCTTCAAAGGCAGTTCGGCCATGGCCTTTAGCCGGCGCGTAGTGTGGATCGGCTTCGTGCTCAAGCAGGAAAGCTGCGATGCCGCAAAACCCGTTCATAGCAGCTAGTTGCAAAGCGGTACCGCCCGAGTAGACTGGGTTTGTATCAATGATGGCACCCTGGTCGACGAGGTACTCCACGATTTCGAAGCTACCCGTCTCGGCGGCTCTTTGCAAAGGCGTGCGGCTGATACCCATGTTGCTTGTGTACTGCAGCTCTGCTCCGTGCTGCACCAGTATCTTTACTAGAGGAAGACTTTGTACGTCGATAGCGGCCAGCAAGGGAGTTACTCGTCGCATGTGACTTGTGATGTGCCCCAACATCAAGCCATCGAAGGATACGTATGCGTTCGGACTAGCACGATGACGCAGTAATAGCTGTACCGTCTCGGAGTCGTCCGCGATTATCGCTTCACCTAAGGGGTTGATAGCAGATTCCCCTCCCAGAAACTCCTCAGTAAATGACCCGATCTCATCGACGTTTACAGCACCGCACAGAACGTCGATTCTAGAGATGTCGCGGTACCGAATCGCTTGGCGAAGTGCTGCAATACCGTAGCTTCGTTCAGCTGAAGATTTCCTAGCCTTTGCTGCGTCTATGAGGAAACGGAGTGTGGCGATAGTCGCCCTCGACTTGATTGCTCGCCATAACGCCATCGAGTCCACGACAGAGATGCCTTCAGTCACAAGGTATTTCAACCAACGTATATTGCTCTGCTCGGCCGCAACGGCAAGAAGCGAAGGCAGCGTGAACTGAGGGTTTTCACCATGATCAAACGCCTTACCAATTCCCCCGGGCAAAGAACAGTGCATAACTGGATGCTTTTGAACTTGAATCCTTTCACTCCAATTTGAAAGATCCCTATAATCGTAATCTTCATTCCAAAGTAGATGAAACTCGTCAGGTTCCATACCGACCTGTAACAGCCATGTACATAGTTTGTAATCGTTTTTTTCCATGGCATGGTAAGCAACGATCCGGAAACACAGTTGCAGTTGAGCCAGTGTGAGAGCAACATGTTCTGCCTCTGGATTCGTAATGAGTGGCACTGCTGAACCGTGGAAGAACATTGCCTCTAAGGCGCCGAAGTCGTTGGGCCCACTCGCAGAGTCTAATGCAGACTTCCACGCAGGGTGTCTCATTAGAATGGAACTGACTATTGCGGTCTGACCATGTTCCAGTAGGGCTGCGACACCCATTGCGCCTCGTTGGGAGTATTCCTCCATATCCTCGATGATGGTGATAGCTATAGCGGAGTCGTGGAGGCTGATCGCGAGTTTGAGTATAGCGTCTAGGAACTGGTCCTTGTAAGGTTGACTGATTCGGCCATACCAGTGGTATGCAAGCCTTAAGTCCAGCTTTTTAAGGGCATCCTTGAGCTCCTGACATTGCATCGGATACGAATAAGAGTCATATAGACTTGCCTTGGACTTTTGTGCTATTATCAGATTCGCTGCTAAAGTCCAGTTTGCGTTCTCCAACGCCTCCAGAACTCTTCTGTCCGTGAAGCCAGGCGCACTGATATTGCTCATGCCAGCGTCACCGTCGTCAAGGCAATATCCCAAAAGAGTGAATCTTTCCAGAATGATCTCCAAGGCCTCTTCGTTGCGGTAATCGAGAGCGACGTGCAGTGCGCCTAGAATAGCTGTCTTAAGTCCGGGGTATGTTGTTGGCAGACTGTGCTGTTCGTCGTGCGAAACGAATTGTAGAACTTCTTTGGCCAATTTATATCGGTGGTCCACGCACTGCCCATGGCTATTGCGCCTGAAATAGTGTTTCAACAAGCCTGCTTCCAGCCATGGGGCGACTCCTACCATCTTGGCTTCCAGAAGCTGTTTAAGAGACGCCACAGAGACATTGTAACGATCGTTTCCGAGGCATTTACGATTAGGCCTGGCTCCAGCATTAAGGAACATGCACATCAGCTCTGTCCTTTCTGTATCTCTGAGTCCGCCGCCGGAGGGAGGAGAACCAATTAACATCTCTGCTTCGCAAACATGGTCAATCAGTTCCTCGAGTTGTGATTGAGTTGCTCCTCGACACATGTGCAAACTGAGTGCTTTCGCAACCTCGGAATGACCTGAAGCTACAGCAATCTGAAGTGGGTAGTAGGGTTTCGACCCATACCACGAGTCCGTCATGATCTTCTCGCGAGGATCCATGTTCAGCCCCAACATGGTCGACACAAGATCTACATCCCCAACACTGACAGCAGTAGCAAACACTCTTTCTTTGAGAGCATCCAGAATTGGAGCCGGGATGGCCTTCAAACTTCGTGAAACGTCAGTCAGAGGGAGCGCCTTTAACAATTGGTACGCGTCATTCGAAGTTGTACAGCCACCCGACGATACGTTGTTGGCGAGTGACGCTATCGCGTAGAGGGGAAGTGTTGTACAGTGGCTCCCATATGTATTATCCACGAGCAGTCGGTATTTTGAATGGAAGATCGCATCGAGCTGCATCTTGGAAGGCTTCTTCCATTTCACCAACTGCTGGGAGGAGAAGAGACTCTGCTCGATGGAGCCGAAATTGATACAATGCGTCCAGGAAAATGGCAAGTTATACTGCGGAATAAGGGTGGGCCTGTTCAGGTTGAGGCTATACATGGGGGGCGAGGCGATCGTGAATAGACTAAAGTCTGGTTCGGATTGCATTGAGGAAGACGAGCTTGCGGCAAGAGCTGGTGTTATTTGAAGGCCGTTCGCGGTGTCGATGGTTGGGGCGCGTGATCGTGGGCGTACGGTGATGTCTTTGGGAAGCCTATGAGGACCTAAGTGCGATGAGCACTAGACTACCAGATTCAAACATAAACATACCATCGTGTAGGGTGTTAACAAGCGAGCTGCGTCGGGCTATCTCCTGCAAAACTCTGTTTTGAGGAATCTCGCGTCCTTTGAACAACACTTCAACTTGCTCAAGCTCAATGGAGTTCCTCGTCAAATATCTGATGGTGGCTGCCCATTCGGCAGTGGTCAGATTCTTCCGTAGTTCCCATTTGCGGAAATGTCTTTCGTATTGTGATTTACTGCTCAATTTTAGCCTTCATTGATTTGTGATGTGGGATACGACGTACCTCGCGATGAAACCATGACTCTTCCTCATATGTAAATCGATCTTGTCGAGTGATTTTTCCCAGTAAAGGTTCTCGATCGTTGTGCGATGGCGATGCCATATTGCTTCATCGAGTCTGTCAGTCTTGACAGTGTTATTCATCTTGTTCAGCGAAGCGTTAGGCTGAGGAGAAGAGAGGAAAAAGCAGGGCAACGACCAGGCTGAAGGTTTTGGAGCATACCTAAATACTTGACCGGTCAAGCTTGTGTTCCAAGCCGTGCCTTACGCATGCTGCGCCGGTGCGCCACGTCTTGTGGTTCACCAACAACACGACTTCGATTCCCCTACCTCCGTCAGCTGCGTAATAGCCGACCAATCATGCAAAAGCCTGGCTGCAAGGCGCTGCCGCAAGATTCTGTAAATGGGGCAACGATCCTTGGCGGGACTGACCAATTGTGCAAAACCTGCGAGCGCCACGGATGTCTAGCACATCACACAACAAAATCTTGGGCTGTATGATGACCACAAGTGGCTAAGGCTGAATAAAGCGAGATTCTGTGACGACGACCCACTCTGTCATGCCTGGCTGAATGGAGGCGGAGCGCATGTTGACCAATCATGCAAAACCTGCAAAAGTACCATTACCGGTCCTGTAGAGGCTTCAATAGCAGATTCTGCTTTCGAGCATATGATAAGACGGATTCGAGGATGCGCTCTTTCTCGAAAGCAAATCCTGCTCAAACGTCGCATCGCTCCTCACACTCAGCGTTGACTGTTATCAGTAGCCTCATACCAATTCTGCCATGACTTCCTGGTCGATTGAAGCAATCATAGCTTTTGTAACCCTACTAGCCACCTGTATCCCTCTCCTGGCATACCTCATACGCAGGCTTATGCCTCGTCGTCAGATCGCCCGCTCGGAAGTCGGTATGTTGGTTGCTCTTCAACGTTGGCCTAACCTCGCTTCTGACAGAATACCAGATCTTGAGCTTGGAGACATGAACGCGAACCATGATCGTGCCGTTGTCCTTGCAGACTTTGGGATACGTAAAAGCCGTACACGGTAGGAGCTGGGATGATACCGCAACATCTGGGCTCTGGATGCTAACGAACGTTTGCGTTAGTTCGATGACTCTGTAATGAGGTCGACACTCAACGCCGTCGACGCATAACGTGAGATGTCGTTATGCTTGGGAGAGTGGTCGCATCCAATCTTCGTAACATCCCACAGCGTTCCAGGGTTTCATCAGAGTTGGCTATCGGCATGAACGGAGTGGTGTCAGTTCTGTTGTACGATTAATGCGCTGAGGGAAGTGGAGACATGACAGAGATATGGCGGCACATGAGCGTTGGTCGGGTGACGATATAGCAACAATAGAGTCTTATATCGCTTCATCCAGCATCAAGGGCCAGGTGTCTTCGCCCCGTAAACTTCATTGGACTCTTATTGCAAACTCCAAACGCCCAAGCTCAATTGCAGGATGTGCTCTACGGCAATCCCATAAACAACGCGGGAATGGCCTAGCGAGGCATGGTATCCAATCCTCAAGCTTTATTCAACTCCAATTCCAGCGGTGATGTCGCCGGTCCTCAAAGGAAGTAGTCCGCTACTGGCTTCTTCGCCGGCATGCCTCGCGAGTCCTGGGGAGCAGCTTCAAAGACCCGGTACCGCCGTCCTGGACCGTCCCTGTTCTTCTGATAAGTGTCGTTGAGTACGGAACTCAGTCGCCTCTCGCCGTTTGGTCCAGCGTTTGAGCCTAGCACCCAGCCTCCACCACCGCCTGCTCTGTCGCCGTTCGATCTCCTTTGGAAACCAGCGTTTGATCCATCCTCGCCGAGTTCCAAGATGGCGGCTACATTGCCGCAACGGTAGCAGTAGTTTGGCGCTGACCAGACAGTGACAATTGTTGAGTCGAACATCTCCTTAAAACCTTCCATGACCAATTGATGTGCTCTTGCGATGAGACTGAGGTCGTTCTTGTGGTTGAACGTCTTGACAATATCGGCTCCAAATAGGAAGCCTGCACCACGCGGTGACAGGCCCCATCCGTCAATCTCATCGGGATCGGACCAGAGGAGATCACACATAGCTCCTTCGTGTGGCACCTCTTGCTTTCGGTCCAAAAGCCGAATCTTATCCACAGAGTCGACGAGCGGTGACAGTCCTCCGTGTACGCATAAGATGGCTCCGGTATCGTTCCGAGCTGAGCCATTAGCAGACGAAGTTGCACCCGTTCCTGCAGGGCCAACTCGTCCGGGTGTTGGAGCGACGGGGGACGAGGAGCCCATATTTGCGCTTACTTGCGAGGCAGCGCTTGACTGGGAGTCTGAGTTGCGTGCGTAGCGGTACATAACCTCGCCATTCGCGTTGAGCGTTTCAATCTCGATATCTTGGTCGATGTCGGGCATGTTCTCTGAGTTGCTGGACTCGGCTATGGGGCCATCGGTAGCTTGAAGCGATGTTGCGGCGCCTTGCACGAGAGCACCGAGGGCTAGGTAATCAAAGACTTCGCAGCAATACCTGCCAGTGTTAGCATTGACTCTACAGCCAGAGCGCAATATTGCGAGCTACCTCCAGACGTTTGCACTTCCGTATTTCCGTAAGCACTCATCGTAGAACCCGTATACAGTCGTGATCTGGCGAGACTCATGGTTGCCTCTGATGAGCGTTATCCGATCTGGGTATCGGACTTTGAGACATAGGAGCAGGAGGAAAGATTCGAGGGAGTAGAAACCGCGGTCAACGAAATCGCCTGCATACAGTCAGTGCGGAGCAGCATGGCGGGATTCGATTGGCTTACCCATAAAGAGGTAGTTCGTGTCCGGTACGTCTCCACCGACCCGGAAGAGCTCCATCAGGTCGTGGAATTGGCCATGAATATCACCACATATCTAGCAACGCCATGCGATTAGCTATGCCCAAGTGCCGACTCAGTATGGCGCCTACAGTTACTGGCGCATCCACCCCAACCACGTTGCCTTCCTCGATCAACAGCTCGCGTGCCTTGTAGCATAGCTCTCGGACTTGGTTCTCGGGTATCGGACGACATGCACGAAGCTGCTGGATAGCTCTGCGATCGTTGTCAGCCCCATATATCGTACGTATGCAAGTCGGTTGAGTGGCTATCCATACTTGTCGAGGTCGCTACCACCGGCGCTCATGGCGACGGCTATGCGCTATATGCCCGCGCAGGGCTTTCGGGACGTATTAAGTCTTCGGTTGGCAATTGCGTGCGTAATGCGTCTGCAGCTATGCGAGCTGTTCGTAACGGAAGATTCTGGTGGGCGCGAACAGTACGGGGTGGCGGTACGCGTGTGGCGCGTTGCAGATGCAGTGAATGCGCGGGTCTCGTGACTATGTGATAGTTGTATAGGACTGTTAAGCTGAAGATAGCGAATGTTGAAGGGCGGGAGCTCTTTGGCAGGTGAACAAGTCAAGGTGGTGGGCTGGTGGAGGTCGAGGGCGAGAGATCCACAGCGGGCATGCGAATGCGCAGGGATGTTGGTCCAAGCCCGAGCTGCTAGCTCCGCCGTCCATGTTCACTCCACCAGAACACCATCACCACCGCCAACCCCGCTCCCCCGCCGTCCACATCTGCTCGAGGCATCTCAATTGGCACAGTATGCTCTAGGCGACTACCGCAATTCTATCCACCAGCTGTTAACGACTCTCCAGGCCCAGTGATGCCTCCACAATCCGCTCTCTAATTTCTCAACCCGCACACACAAGATGCCTCCGCACCTCCACCCGCGGTCGCGCATGACGACTTCGCTCTTTGGAACGACGCTCATGGTCTCATTCCTCGTTGTCGCCGCTCCACATCTGATACCCTGCCCAGTCGACCCTCGCACACTCGCCGATTCCGCAGACCCCACAGGAGAGAACAGGCGGAGACGGCGGCGGAGAGTGCCGGAAGACGAGAGTTGCAATGGCGTCATGAGCGAGGAGCGGAGAAGACAGCGCTTGATTGAAGAAAAATTGGCGGCGAAGAGGGAATGCCCAGTGCCAAAGCCTGGTGGTTTGATTGGGCAGGTGCTGGGTGTACAAGATGACGAGGGCAAAGAAGAGCAACAAATGACCATCTTGCAACGAGTCGAAAAGATGGTGTGCAAGCCCCGGGGAAAGAACGACAATCAATAACAGGAGGCGTGGGAGAAGATTCAACAAACAAACGTATCACGGCTGCATGCGCCCACAGACCTGGGATAAGACAGCCACGCCAGTGCGACGACTGCATCCACCCACCTGTATATATACCGCGATATTAGAAAGGATTGCATTAGACTGTATATAAGCAGGATCAAGTCCTGGTCGAACACCCCAACATCCACTCTTATGTGTGTACATGTTTATCACAATGCTGCTCTGCAATTCGTAAGAATGCAGAAGGGCGTGCATCAGAAGAGTTCATCACAGTGCTCTGGTGCATGCAGCGAGACCCTGACGCGTTTTGGGTAGTGCAAGGGAAAGCAACGTGCTCGCGCGTAGCGTAGCGTGAACCCACTACGTCATGAACCCTCGCCAGCCACCTCCCTTCGCTGCCACCGCTTCTGACCAGAACACCAGCATCCAAGAAAGTAGTCCATGATCAGGAACGCGATCAAGATGCCTTCGGAACCTCTGACAAAAGCCCAGCGGATGAGCTATCGCATCGGCCGCGGCGAACAAGGTGTTTTAACATTCGAGCCCTACAAGTCCGAGATACTTCCTTTATGGCGCTTCAAAACACCTGCCATCGCGCAAAAGTCTTCGTCTGAGATATACGCGAAGTTTCTGGAGTACGACCAGAAGGATGACTTCATTGGTATGGACATGTCCCGCAAGTTCTTGCAGATGGGAATGACCAGGGCAAAGAGATATGCAAATCATGCTGGAGGAAGAAAGTACGACAAGAAGACCGGAGAGCAACTAGAGAGAAGCAAGGGCCACGAGGGGCAAGATGAGAAACTGGAGGCCAGCATCATCTTCAGGGAGGTTTGGGAGAAGGCCAAGCTGCATCAAGGCTACGTGGACAAGAAGGAGAGGTTCATGAAGGAGCAAAAAGAGTGGGATAAAGAAAAGAAGAAGGAGGCCAAAAAGTGAGGTACCACAACGATGCCGAACTACCACCACCATGACACGCGCTACATCCACCAACGAAGCAAAAGAGAGGATGAGCATTCTAGGACTCGAACTTAGATCTCTCGTTCCACCCGCATCTGCTTCAGAATGGCACCAACTATAAACAGAGTGGACCTAGAACAATATCAACAGTCCAAGGCACGATCAAGTACCCGCTCCTGAGAAGGTCTACGGAAGTTTAGCACGAGCGTCATACCATTAGACCAAATGCTCTTTGGGCTGTTACCAGATGAGGGAATGAACAATCTGATGTATAAAGACCGGGGACTATTAGTGTAAAGAGTTCCGGGCGAGTCGCAGCGCCCAGACAAATTAAGGACATCACTTCAGATGCGCACCTTTACCTAGCAGATGGCGGTCGACTTGGAAAACTTCACGCTTTGGTGTATATGGATAAAATGGGCGACTCCGCAAGCAAGCAACAAGACCTCAAGAGACATACGCACCCAGTGTACACAACCAGCATCAAGAATATTGTTACCTACTGTCACCACCCAGCCCTTCCCCACAGGCAGGAGGAGAGATTAGTGGCTGCACAATCATATCAAGCACATTTAAATGTGAAAAAGATACCCAAGACACTTGGCCCGCATTCTAAACGATCAAGGACGCAAAAATCATCGGGCTCTATGCGGATCGAACGCACGTCTCTCGAAAACTGCATTATCTAGTCTGCTACAGACTTGAAGGGAGATTTCACTCTACCCTGGGGCCGATGGTCGAATCCATGGCGTGTGCCCGGTTTCTTTACCCCTACTGACACGGTTAAGTGCCAGGCCAGCGTTGCATCCGAGCGTCTTACCACTGGACTAAGAGCCCTCATTCGGGTAGATGAGAGATGCAGAAACTAATGTAATCTTATTAAGCTGGGGAACACCAGGGAGATTAAATGATAGGGAAATTCTCGGGTATAGGTCCATATCTACGTAGAACAAAGTGTGGCACTTTCAAACGTCGGATCTGACAACAGCAGACGTATGTAAGCGATGTATTAACTTGAGACATCAATCGGATAGGCCTTCAAAAGTCATACTTTTGTATCCTTCCATCTCTTAATACAATGATATCCTAGTTCTTCCCTGCTATCGGATGAGGCCGACGCGCTGTTGGATCGCTCTCTTCTCTTCATCTGCTCTTCTCACTACTTTCGGTAGTCTGCGTCATCTTCCGCTTCACCTGCGGTGTCTCAAAATTCGGATTGACACCCATCTCCCCCTCCTCCTTCGCATACGTCTTCTCCACATCCCACCTGATCAGCCCACCCTTCTCCGACAACTTAATCGCCTGCCCCCTATCCTCCATACTCATACTGCACACATCTTTATGAACAGCCCAATCCCCTTTCTGACAAACATCCGAACAATACGTCGACGTACCACACCTTCCACATCGTTGCAACGCAACACCCGTCTTCTTGCAAGCCGTACATTTCGAGAGATCGAGAGAAGAATACAGCCAATGCGGACTCATCGGTATCCCATCACCCCAAACATCCATCGGCGCATACTCCACAAAGAATCTATGCTTCATCTTCTTCCCCGTTTCCCACCTCTTTTCCCTCACAATCTTCTCCGCAAACTCTCTGCCCAACTTTTCAATCTCGTCTGGATCCGTGACGTCTTTCTCGCCCAACATACTCTCTTTGGGATTAGGTGTCCACTTCCCTCTCTCTTCGCCCTCTAAAACGATGTTGTAGGTAAGCATCAATGTCCAGTTATCACCGCTGCTATCCAGACTCCCGAAAGTGATTTGGTTGCCTATGCGCCCGATTTCGATTTTCGATCCTTCGGGTGTGCCTTCGGCGATGCTTAGTGTCCATGTCAAGGAGAACCAGGCATCTAGATCTAGAAAGGCTGCGAGTGCGTTTGGATGCCATTTGTACAAGACTGTTGCTAGGCCGATTGCTGGGGTAATGCTTTCGCTAGTGGTCTCGGGGGTGAGACTGGATGGATCGGTGATGCTGAGAGGGGAGCCATTGAGAGTTAATGTAGCGTTTGGGTGGTCTGGTAGTCTGAAATCGGATAACGGGATGAGTTGAGAGTCCATGGTGTGTGCTTTGTGGTGTGCTGCATTGAGCGAGCGAATTGGAAAGTGCAAAGAGTGTGGAAGTGGGGCTCTTGCTTGGATTTTGATTGGCTGTACTAGGAAGGTGAGGGTGAGTCTTCACCAACAATTGAAATGACTGGGAAGGGATCATTTACGAAGCAACACATCTGTCTCACTGATGAACATTGAATTTTCAGACTTCTACTTTAATGCATGCATGAAGCCCTAGGTTCCCCTATCGTTTACATCTGATATCTAGCTTCCGGGCTCTTAGTTACCTCCGTGTCCCTGAAGCGGGTGTGGCTTAGGGCCTTGCTGTACTGGTACACTTTCCAGAGGTCCAGCGTACGCCAGAAGACCCACGTCCGAGCTGGTCATGGTGTTCTTGTATTTATTACCACTGAACTCGAAGAGGAAGTTCATTGGGAAGCCAATCTCGAAAGGAACAGCGGAATCAATGTCGTCAACCTCTTCCTCGCTCAACTCGATCGCCAACGCCTCGATGTTGCCATTGAGATGGTCGATCTTGCGGCCGCCAACGATTGGGTACACGAAGGGGTACTTGTGGCGTACATAGGCTAGGGCGATGCTAGTGACCTGAGTCTTCTTTTGGTTGGCGACGGCTTCGAGCTTCTTGGAGATTGCGATGTGCTTCTCGGAAGCGGGGCCAAAGTTACGACCTTGCTCGTTGTTCTTGCGCTTCTCTTCGGTGGTGAAGTTGCCTCCACCAAGGGCGCCCCATGGGCAGAGAGCCATGCCTTCCTCGCGCGCCATGGGGATGATCTCGCGCTCAAAGTCGCGCTCGGCTGCGGACCAGCGACCTTGGTAGACACTGAAGCCACGGAGGCCGTGGTTGCGGGCATCTAAATATCTCGTTAGTCACAGGTGCCAGGGCTTGTCATATGATAATACTTACATTCGTTGGCTTTGCTGACAACCCAGGCAGGCGTGTCGCTGATTCCAAGATATAGAACCTTTCCGGAGTTGACGACGGCGTTGAGCGACTGCATCAACTCAGGAATCGAAGTCGTGAAGTCCCACCAGTGCACGTACAACAGATCGATGTAATCAGTCTGAAGCTTCTTGAGGGATGCCTCAAGCGAGACGCGGAGCGACTTCGTGCTGTTACCAGCGTAGTTGATTCGTTGCCGAGGAGAGTTGTTCGGGTCAGGGAAGCAGGTGGTAAACTTGGTGGCGATGACCATTTCGTGTCGTACGCCTCGCTCCTTCATCCACTCGCCGATCCAGGTCTCGGACTCCTCGTTTTGGTAGTTGTTTGCGCTGTGACAGTGTTAACTTCCATCTCACCACGAGGTCTCCAAATGGAGCATAGTTAGAGAGACTCACGTATCAATGAAGTTGCCACCTTGCTTGTGGAAGAAATCAAGAATCTCAAACACGGTCTTCTTGTCACACTTGCCCATCATGCCCTCCCACGCATCACCAAAGTTCATGGCTCCCAAGCAAAGGGGAGAAACGCGGACACCGGCAGTGGGCGACATGACGCGGTGGAAGTCCAAGAGGGACGCCGCCTTGGGTGCGTCACCGAATGGAGAAGGCATCTTGAGGAAGTTGTTGTTGGTAAACTTTAGAAAGGTAAGTAGAGTTTAGGAGCTGGAGACGGAAGTGCGAGGTATTGTGAGGGGCCTATTGCAGGACTCGGCCTCTTCTTATATCTCTTGAAGCTTTACATGCATATGACGTGTTACGCTGGAGTACCTCAGGGTCCATTTTCGGTCTCTTCGTCTATTGCGTCCAAGTTCGAGACTGCCGACGGTTGTCGGGGCCGATCTTTGTCGGATGGCGTTAAGACGGGGGAGGGGCAGCAGCCCGAGGTCTCCCACGTTCAATGTGGGGATATTTGGGCATGGTAGATGCTATCTCCGCTAAGGTCCGAGCAAAAACATCGTCAAGCTTCACGTGTCGGACGAGTGCACGCGACGCCAAGATTGGTGCCTTCCTCAAATTCGGAGACGCTCAGAGAATCCAGTAGAATTTCTGGTGGAGTCGACGAGGATAGCATGATAGTGGTACCACCTGTCGGATTTAAGAACATTAGCACGTCAGCAATGTGCATGACGAGCCAGAGTGCAAAAATTCTGGCCTCAGTTGCACATTCGATTTCTAATATAATGCTTCTTGTCTCCGGTTGAAGTTGCCCCAAACATAGACTGAAACACGTGAAAGCTTCGTCGGAAGAAGACTCTTTGCTAGATACACATGGAGAGAATATTTGATATATTGGTGGCTACAAGGGCAACCTTGGCCAAAGTTGAAGAAGCTACCAAAACATGATCCAATGGTAAATGTAAAATACATATGAACTTTTCAGGGTATCCGTGCCATGCAAGACTCCAAGTAAATGCAGCAAGATGAAGAACAACAGCATCCGTGAGAGTACATGTCCCAACCGACTAGTTCCTCTTCTTTTTCTTCTTCCTATTCCGGCTCTTCTTCTTTATTTCATCACCACCGCCGACGTCGACTTCTGGCCCAGCTGCGTCGAGGCGGATGTTTCCGTACTTCTGCCTGATCTCGTGCTCAAAGCTGTCCTTCTCCAGCCTGAACAGCGCCATAGTAGCCCTAGCATCCTCAACCGAGCTATGAGCACCGACTTGGATCTCTACACCCAAGAGTTTGTCTGCTAGTAGCTTCAAACCTGGGGTGCGCCCCGGTATTATAGCCAACTCTCTGAACTTTGAAAACTTGGATGTGTCGCGAATGAAGCGCTTGTCGTGCTTCAGAATGAGCACATCGAGATCGTTCTTCACCGCGTGACCGACGAGTATGCGCCCGGTGAGGAGGATCTTGAGGTCGTTTCGTACTTCGTCGAAGGGTCGCGCGACGTCTTTGCGGAGATGTCTAGGCTCGATGCCAGAGACTGCGGTTCGATAGTCGGTAACCTCGATTCCTAGGGGTACCTGGACGTAGGAATCGTAGACTTGATGACCATGAAAGTTGACTAGCGATACTCTTGCCAGCGCAGAATCTCGGTTAGGCTCTGGCCCAACTCCCACCATCTCACAATCCAATGCGACGTATTTTCCGGGCAGCGCTACCTCTGATACGCCTTCGTTTTCTATGTCGGGGAAGTCGGGGTGTGGTTCGAGGATAGAGACGGCTGCATCGGCATCCTTCGGGTCGCTCAGAAGGGGTGTCTTCTTGAGAGAGGGCATCGAGATGCTCTTGGAGAGGGTTTTGGCGTTGTGCTGCTTCGCTGAAGCGCCAACAGACGCGGGCTCCTCCATTTTCTGTCGCTTTCTCGAGGGCAGAGGTTTTCGCGGTGTGTTTTTCTGGGATCCGTTTACAGCTTTTGGTGATGCATCTCCGTGCTTCCCATTGGCGTGCTGAGGTCGCTTGCGCTTGAGCGAAGACTGCTTCTCGTCCTCGAACTTCTTGTTCTTGGGAGGTGTCGCGGGCGTTGAAGGCTTGAGTCGCTGTTGCAGTATCTTCCAGTTGCTGGACAGAGTGCTGGGATCGATTGGAGCCATGTTGTCGTCACCTGCGCGGCATAGCGGTGTCAGGGTCGTCCTATCAGTGGTTGTCGAGGATGTTGGCCGTTTGCGCTTCTCCGCTCAGTCCCCGCGAGCAAAAGTTCAAAACTGCGCTAGCACCTTCCAGATGTCGGCTCGAACGCGACGCAAAGGCCCGATCGGCAGGCGGCAACATCGCGACTGAGCCCAGCACACCCAACATCATCGCGACATCAAACCTCACAACGGGTCCCAAAATCTACCAGAATTGAAAAACGCGTGTCGCATCACGATGGCGCCTCGAGAAAACTCGCATGAGCCCTCCGGGACGCCGGCGCCTGTAGAAACAGGCTTTGCCACCCTTGCACAGCTGAGGTAAGTGCGACCCCATGCGCATAGTTTGAACATGTATGCTGACGCGCTGCGTGCAGGACTGGTGTGAAGGCGTGGGTTGAGAAGGTACGTGAATAGCGCGCAGCACCGCGATGTGCATTGCAAGCCCCAGCCGCGTGAACACCAAAACAGCAACACCAATACTTGTTGACACATAAACTAACACGATACAGGATGGCGAGAAGCGCAAAGCTGAAATTCTGTCCATTCAAACCAGGCAGGGAAGGCCCAAGTTCTACGTTCATTATGAAGAGTTCAACAAGCGTCTGGATGAATGGATCGAAGCCGAACGGATAGATTTATCAAGAGAGGTTGAGTGGCCAGCGCCCGAGAAAGCAGACAAAAAGAAGGGCACTGCCGTTAAGACCGACAAGGCACCTTCAAAGTCTGATCAGAAGAACCTCAAGCGATCCCGCAGCAAACTTGATCGTGAGATCTCAGGCACACCAGAATCGACGTCTAGCAACCTGCCAGGCAAAGCACCGAGGCCGTCCAAAGCAAGTGGCAAGGAGAACCAAGAACTCATAGTCACGAGCGAAGTCACAGAAGGCACACCAAAACCCGAGGATGAGGAGATGGACCTCGTCGACGTGCAGGATGCCGCCGCAGCAGCCAAGGCCATGCCACCCCAGGATTACTCGAGAGAAGATGAGATTGAGAAGCTACGCACATCCGGGTCTATGACCCAGAATCAGACCGAGATTTCGCGGGTGCGTAACTTGGAGAAGATCCAGATGGGCAAGTTCGAGGTCGAGCCTTGGTACTTCTCACCCTACCCAGTGGACTTTGTCGACTCAGATGTAGTCTACATCTGCGAATTCTGCCTTGGTTACTACGGTGAAGTAACGCAGTTCGAGCGCCACCGCACAAAGTGCCACCTGCTCCACCCACCCGGCAACGAGATATACCGAGACGACTATGTGTCCTTCTTCGAGATTGACGGGAGGCGGCAGCGGACATGGTGTCGAAACCTCTGTCTACTTTCGAAACTCTTCCTGGACCACAAGACGTTATACTACGATGTCGACCCTTTCTTGTTCTACTGCATGTGCACGCGCGACGAACACGGCTGTCATTTCGTGGGCTACTTTTCCAAAGAGAAAGAATCGGCAGAAGGCTACAACGTGGCCTGTATCCTCACACTCCCCCAATACCAACGGAAAGGATTCGGTAAACTGCTTATCGACTTTTCCTACCTTCTTTCCAAGCGTGAAAACAAGCTCGGATCTCCAGAGAAGCCCTTGTCTGATCTGGGTCTGCTCGGATACCGTGCCTACTGGCAGGAGATTCTCGTCGATATTCTAATGGAGCCTGGCCGAACCGAAGCTAACATCGAGGATTTGGGTGCTGCGACGGCGATGACGACGAACGACGTGCTGCATACCCTGCAAAATTTGAACATGCTGCGATACAGCAAGAACCAGCACGTTGTTGTCCTCACAGATGCAGTTATCGCGCAACGGGAGAGACAGAAGGCGAAGGAGAAGCTGAAGGGCAAGAGGAGCATTGATCCTGATCGTTTGATTTGGAAACCACCTGTGTTCTCGGCCGCAAGCAGAACATGGAACTGGTGATTGTTTGCACTAGTGGTGTTCACAGGCGCATTTCTTTGATCCATATTCTGTTTAGTGGACATTGGTTTGGCGCATGGTGTTGGCTGTTACTTCTTCATGGTATACCCAGACCCATATTGATAACATTGTAGATCGTCCATCGTCTGCTCAAATCGTTCCGCTTCCACCCTGGTGTTTCGTTCCTTATCCAGTGCCGTCGAACCACTCAAAGCATGTCATTCTGCTTGCGGCTTCTTCAAATCTCCACTCCAGCATCACACCTCCCTGTGTTGCCTCTCCAGTGTGGGCCCCAACTTTCCTAGTCTTCAAGACACCCCTCAACTCTTCAACAACATCTCCCATTCCAACACCTTTTTCTCGCTCCACTCTCACACACCGCTGCTGCCAATCTCTTCTTCCATGTCGGTGTAGTACATTCCGATACTCCAGATTCCACTCCGCACCCTCCACACAATATATCTCGATACTCCGCGTCACAGGTCTCGTCAAGTATGCTCTCATACTAATCCCGTCCTCTTCCGTCTCGTTCTCACACCCCGCGAACCACTCATCAAATTCTCTGCTACTGATTCGCGTCCTAAAACATATCCCCATCTCCCCCCTAGCCATCTCGTCCAATCCACCTATCAACTCACACACGTACTTCCCCAGCCAAGGATGCAAAAACGGGACAAGCGCGGAGAGAATATTCCCATAAGCGCCTTCGTGCCAGAAGTAGTAGTCATCCGAGATATCCAATGGCAAACCAGGGTTCATCCATTGTGTTGTTCGAGCGAGAATGTCTTGGGCGAAAGAGGAAACAAATTGCGGTAGTCTGTCAAGGGTCTCGGGCTTTGTGACTGTGGAGGGGGTTGGTGATGAAGCGTCACGAAGAGGAAGAAGACGAGGAGGAAGATTAAGGCGGAGTGTTTCTCTCCAGTGCTTGGAGACGGAGGCGTATATGGGAAGTTCGGAAGGGGGGAGGAGAGTGACGATTTGGATGAGGAGTTCTGGGAGGAGGAATATGCGATGCATCTTGCACGGGTGTCGCAATGATAGGTTTGGACCAAATCTGGCTATGATAAATAATCAGGGCTTTATAGTACTATATATTGACACGAAGAGCTGAAGGCAAGCTGAATGTTCCGCATGGTATACGCTTATCGCCGTGCTCATTCCGCTTCCGCTATCTTACACAACAGGTAGTCAGCCAGCTCACGTCAGCGGTGCAATCAATGTCGTGCTCGTAACGTGCATGCGCTTCCATTCGTTGAAAATGATGCAAGCTGCCTATTCGGGGGAGCTAGGTGTGCTTGGCTGGATCACGGAACACTTCGGGTTATATAGCAACATAACAAAAGCCTACGCCAAAACAGCCATCAACCCCACGATACCACCTGAGCCAATAGCTACCGCCCTCAGCATGTTCAACTTGCCGAACTTGTCCAGCAGCTCATTTACCTCTTGATCCTCTGCTTGGGTACTCTGCCTCTCCGTTTTCTCTTGCGGTACACTCAAATCCTTCCATTGACTCACGTCATCCTTGCTGCCCACGGATTCATCAGCGCTTCGCTCTTTCGATCCAGTCTTTTCCCGGTACTCGGCAGACGCCTTACTTCGGCTCCCGCCCAACTCTTCATTCTTCCTGATAAGGGCGAAGTTTGTGGGTATCATGGCCAGACCCGTGATTGGCGCGATGCTGAAGGAAAGCGCGGCGGCGGCGAGATAAAGGCCTGGCTTGCCCTTGACGGCATGCTGAACGATTGAGGAAATCGAGTTGACGGAAGATGGTGGGAGAGCTTTGTAAGCGAGATAGACGAAGCCGGATGCGGATGTGATTGCGGCTGTTGGAAACGTGTGGGAGCCTCTTGAGAAGAGCCAGCGTATCATTGGAAGAGATCGAGATGCTGGCTGTGATTGTAACATTGGAACGTCGAAGAGAGATAATGCTGCTATTCCGCCCGACGCTAACAGCGCGGTGGATATGCTCAAGATCTGTATGGTTTGTGTCGCGGACATGTTGGACGGTGGGAGATTGTGTTTTGAGATATTGGTTTCCAATTTGTGAGCGATCCAGGAGAAGCAGGTACGCTTTGCTATATACTTGAGCGTGATGTGGTCATCCTGTTGGTACACAACGCGTTCCGCGGGTCCCGCAATGTTAGTGGTCTCAAAATGATGTCATGGTGGCCTATCATCAACCTTCGCATTTCTCGTACTAGACGAACACTTCGGTCACGGTGTGTTCCAGGCCCGACATTGTCGCAAAGTCGAGAAGTCTAATCAGTCCGCTTGCGCACCTTGGGTAGCGCGAACCAGCAAGCAAGCATAACAGCGTACATGCCAAGTGCAACGGGGTGCAGTACCCAAGTACCTAAAGAATCAGTATCCTGATGATTGCGCATAGAATAAAGGTCGCTTACCGGAAGCCTGCGCGAGAACACCAGTTGTGAAGGGCGCAACCGCACCACCTGAGCTTCCTGCTCCACCAATGAATCCGATTGCGGTGGTCTGAATATGACGAGGCATGAGGCGCGAGAAGATGGTCTGCGCACACGGGTAGACGGGGCCCAGCAACAAGCCCAACAAGCAGACAGCGACTGCATTTCCGATCAAATTTGGTGTCAACCATGCCAGAAGTTGAAGAGCTATGGTGCCGAGAGTGAGGATGACGACAAATCTCTTCTCGCCTATCCTGGGCGCAGCGTGAGTGAGTACAAAACGACCAAGCGTGATGCCTCCCTATTCGGCAATTAGCAGAAGCGACACAGTATGCAGCGAGGATACATACCCAGAAGCCTGCTGTGACATATCCGACCTTTGCAGGGTCGCCGTTACGGTAGTTGATGAGGTATGAGATGAACCAGCCTGAAATGCTCACTTCGGCTCCTTGATATGCAAAGATGAACAAGGCGCCGAAGATGGTGACTTTGTTCTTCAAAGCAAGCTTAAGGTTCTTCATTTTGGACGCGGCATCTTCCGCAGCAGTTTGCCTGCTGGTCGTGGTCTCCAAGAGAGTCTCCTCAGAGTCTTCCGTGTATGACCAGAAGGACCATGCTGCGAAAGCGATGCAGCAGAGTCGCAGTCCGACGGTAAGGAAGTAGAAGCGCGACCACAAAATTCCTTGTGAGACGATTGCTGTTCCGATGATAGGTGCAACTATTCCACCGACGCCATAACTGCCATGCGAGAGGCCAAGAATGACAGAAGGCGGATGAGTGTTCGCACAGTACACGTTGTTGAGGGCCAAGTTGATGGCTGCACCGAACCCCAAGAGGAAGAAACTGACATCGTCAGCGGTGCGTTACTGGATTCCAAGATCGAATACTTACGATACAACGACCAAAGGATACGGAGGTGTGCAAACAAGGATAACGTATGCGGACAACTGTATCAATTCGGCTATGATCAGAGTCTTTGCCCTTCCGAACTTGCCTAGGATCGTGTTCGTGAAGAAGGCAGCAGAGATGAAACCGATGGCGTTGCCAACGAAGACCAGAGACATGATAGAGTACGAGATGTGGTAGTACGACTCCATGTACGGAATCAAAGCACCGACGACTGGCCACTGGTTAGTCTTGATTCTGATCAAGTAATCCAAGAATGGCAGGTCTATATCAATGTCTCAACTCACCTGAGTCGTTGATTCCGTTTGAAAAGTAGATCAAGCAACAGCAAAGGATTCTCCATTTGGTCATCGGTTGTGCATTCCAGGTCCTGATAGTACCAACTGCATCCTCTCGATTCGGTGTGGCCGGACGACTCATCTCGAGTTCATTGGGGGTTTTCGGGGTCTGCGCGCCCTTGGGCAGTTCATGCTCTGCATACGATGCTTGTCGGCTATCGTCTGTTTTGCGAGAAGCAAAGTCCGCGAGTTCAACGTCCGGTAGTACACCTACATCGCCGAGCGTTTGAGGTGCTTTACCCTTGCTCTTCTGGTATGTCGGTTCCGGGTTGGTCACAGAGGCAGGCTGAATGTCGAAGAGGCTGTGAAGTTTGGACGACATGGCTCCAAGTTCCCGGTCTGCGGTGTCTTTTTGCGAACCCAAAGAGGATGCAAAAGCCCTGGACTACGCGCCTTGGAAGCGTTCGTTCTGGTTGTGCGTCTCAGGTAGTAGGAAGTAATTGGGCGTTCAAGTTCAGTGTAAATGCGAAGGCAAGAGTCATAGATAAGAAAGTAGCCCGAGCGACGACGTGCCAGTGCGGGAGACCCTAAACCCTTAATACGGTAGTCCACGAAGCTCTCCACGAGAACACTACTGGCCATAGCAAAGGCTGAGGGCGCTATCGCTGATAAATCATGGGATGCACAATTACCCTACATTACCAGATAAACACGCGCCGGCTCCGACTTGGAGCCTATCACAGTTGGCGGGTAACTATCGTGTGGTCGCGCTGCAGCAGTGTGGAGATGGTGGACGGTCGGTAAACAAGTCGATCATAAAGCCTGTAAAACGTTTTGCAGGGACACAGGGACACAGACGCGTCTAATCATGCAGATAGCCGTTCATTCCTGGCAATGAATCCGACAGTCGGAGAAAGATTGGGTCTAGGCCTGTGACCAGAAAGGGCGCAATACCCAGAAGGTGGTGAAAGTGCGAACTTTTGGGGCTCCGAGGGGCGGGGACAACTTCCCCACCGGGCTCGGCCACACCTTCCTGCTTTGAAATTCACGACCACCCCTCCCATATTGTCTCCAGAACTATCACAACCGATAACTTCTCCACCCTGCTTACCAAAGCTCAAACCCAACATGGCCCGTCCAAAGCGCAATGTCCTTGCCACCATAGACAGCACAATCACACCGCCTGACGCTTTGGCGCCGAATCACGCGATCGCGCGCATCACCAAAGCCGAAGGCAAGAACATCTATGCTGCCGAGCTGCCAGACGGCAAGCCTGTTCTTGCAGAGCTGGAAGCGAGGTTCAGATCCACAGTATGGATCAAGAGGGGCAGTTACGTGGTTATAGATATGTCTGCTCTGGCGGACCGTGAGAACAAGCTGGATGGAGAGATCGTGAACGTGGTGCGCGACGAGAAGGCTTGGAGGAAAATGAGCTACTGGTATGTTCCAGCCGGGTATCAAGTAGTATGTGTACAGAGCGCTAACAATAGTATATAGGCCCAAGGAGTTCGTAAAGAAGTCCACGTACGTCCAGGATAGCGACGACGAGGAATCGACTGTCGGCAAGATGCCGCCCAGCGACTCAGACGAGGACTGAGCTCTTCGTCGCATCACTCGGCGTGCGCATGGTCCTCCTCAATTATACCCTTCGTCACGCCCTCGTACTCCTTCCTCGTTCCCCACCATACGCCCGCGACCGTAATCGCTAGAACGCCCACGACCGTCGCCGAGCTTGCCGATGTACTCGGATACACATTCCACGCCCATTCTTGCGCGCCCCATAATGCATATACCACGGCTGGATTGAACCCTGCTTTCCACAGTAAGAACGGCGTGCACCACGCGACATACGCGTAGAACTGGTAGTGCAGACTCCGCGCACAAAGGAGGCCGATGGTCATCGCGGTCAACATCGTAGTCATAATGAAATCTGGGGTGATCTTGCTGGACATGGTGTCCTGGTCCCGGGGCTCAATGGCTGGAATACAAAGCTTGAGAAATTCTTTGACATTGCGCTTCGAGGGCTTGATCCAGCGGGTTCGCGCGTACCAGATGAGGAGACCAACATGCAGAGCGAGTAAGCCAATGGCGAAAGGGCGTGAAAGGAACGTAGATTCCGGGACGAAGCGCCAGTTCACGGTCCATTTGTAGAGGAAGGCACGGCTGAGCTCGAAAGCGCGGGCGAAATAGCTTGGTGCACGCTTCCTGAAGGGGTAGCCATACAAAACCTATATTTTGATTAGCATTAATTGATAGGATTTCATGATCGAAGAGTTACTTACTGAGACCTGCACGATGATCATTGCCTGTGTCAAAGCTTCTCTTCCGCCCAGTTTCATAACCATCAGGATACCCATTGCTGGTAGAGGCAATAATAGGCTCATCTTGACGTTCAGCCCTGTGCTATACAACGCGCTCCCCAGATGCCATTGATCGCGTTGGTAGCAAAAGACAGCCAGCCAGAAGAACAGCACCGCGAAACAGTCGTTGAAGCATCGTAGCATGAAAATGCTATGCATGCGCTTTGAGAGAATCAACAGCGGAAAAATGTACGGTGGAACCTGTCAACACGTCAGCTTCCAACATCAACAGCTAGAACAGGAAAGTACTCACCCTCGCCTTCCTATAACATTGAAACACCACACCAAGCGTAAGCAAATACACTCCCGCGAAAATATACTGCGCGAAAGCGATATCCCGCCCTTCATCCGTCCACTTGTAAAGCTGCTTGTAGATCCACACATGCGCACCAGGGTACACGAGCGGACCTGTCGAACCAGCAATATTCTTATAGTCGCGCTCGCCTTTCAGAAAGATGGCTATTTGCTGCATGTACGTTGTCCAATCAATCTCTGTATCTAGAAACCTCGCTGTTAGGACACGTGGTGCGTTTTCGGTGAGTAAGAATGGAGCACGAACAAGGTATCTTCTCGATTATCACGCCTGAAAGCGCGGCGTCTGCTACGAGCAGGAGCGGGGTCATCCATCTTGTGTGATCGGGATTGTAGGCTAGGTCTTTTGCGCGGGCGAGGAGCGACATGGCGGCGTTTGTGGTTGCACGCGGTTTTGGTGATGGCAAGTTCGGGGGTTAACGATGGTGTTATAGTTCGCGTCGCGTGTCACGTGGGAAGGAGGTTTGAGGTTTCAAGGATGGCAGTTTCGCGCGACGTGTGTTTCAGGCATCATTTTTCTCGTGTGAGCTGTGGATGGTGGTTTGACGTGGACTGCACGTTTTGTATAGAGTCAAACGCCGTTGCGCGCCCGCTGGTGTTGTGCTATTCAAGGCAAGCGCGAGTTTTGCGCGACGAGGGCCCCGTCACTCTTGGTGCCAATGCCATACGTGCGATATTCAATTGCAAGATTGTCTCTCCAATGGTTTCAGTCGCCTTTTCTACTCGCAGCTTAAGTACTTGTCTCACACAAATGTAGCACGATGCTGTCGTCGTAGGTAGTCATTGTGGCACAAATGGTGAGGGAATTAACGTTGCATTAGGTCTAGGCTCTAAGGAATGTCTATACAGGAAGCGCTGAGATAACCATGAACACTGAGAAAGGTCATAGCCTATGCTCAGTATTGGCTGGGTGCCGGGCACGCAGGGGCGGCGGCGGCAGGAAGAGGGACGAAGGTGACATAGGCATCGGAGACACCCTGGCATACGAAGTCCTGAGGACCGTTGCCACCGGCACGGCAATAGCTGGGAAGAGTGGTGGTACCGACATAGGTGAGGCTGAGGAAATGTTAGCAAATTTGAACGGACCGCGCATTCAAAGGTATGGGACTTACTCTTCGCTGACACCCTGCTTGATGATCAGACCGCTACGGTCACTTGAGAAAGCGAAGTCGATGAAGCTGTTCTCGCCGCAAGAGTAGAACTTGTTGTCCTCAAGCTTGTCGGCTTGGGAAGAGCAGTTGAAGTCGAGGGTACCTCCGTTGGTAGCCTTGATGTTGAAGCCGAAGCTGTTGTAGTAGGTTCCCTCAGGCTTGCGTCCGAAGAAGTTGGAGATCTTCCAGACGTAGTCACCCTGGGTAGCAACTGGGCAGGATGCGTCGACCTGGCGGGCCTCGAGAGGTGCGGCGCTGGCAACGGCAGCGGCAGCGAAGAGAGAAGCGATGGTGGTGAACTGCATCTTGATGGAGTTGGTTCGAAGTTGGGATGAAGTGTTGGAAAGTGTGGTAGGTTGTAGTTGAGTGTGAGAGTTGGTGGTTGATGGTGGCTAGAAAGTGAGATACTCACTGGCATTATATAGTCATCCCACCTCGTATCTGGGGTACTGTACTCCTGCCACGATCATCATGTCCGTCTCGTCCCAAGGTTCAATACGAGAAGATTAACACCAGGCGTCACCCTTGACCTTACCCACTAGAACATACGAGAAAGGTGTACCATGAAATTTCTCCAGGAACACAAGCCTCAGACCATGCCGAGAGCGCCGAAACCACACTCTACCCCAATTTTTGGAGCCTCAGTACCCTTGCCAACGGTGTCACGAACCAGTAGCGGCATCCGGGGTGACCGGATGAGGCGACAGGCATGTCCTATCCGGGCAGTTGGCAGACCTAGCCGAGCTTGGATCGTGCTAAACATACGAGATGTGACGTCTAGTAGGATGAACCAGGTATGCATTGGGCGCTGGCCGATCGGCTGTGCATGGCCTTAGTTCGGAAAACTAACGGCATGACGTCCTGGCTATACGTATTCTGATGGCCGTTGCAACACCGTACATGCGATGGTAGGCGACTGCTTCTTCCACATTCGTATCAACGCGGTATACCCTAGAGTGCTCGCGAACCACTATACCAAGGTAGCTTAGCGACACACTGGAAGCGTAAAAGAGATGTCCTATGTTCCTGAAGTCGAGCCTGAGTGCTGTGGACCTGAGTACGTCGGCCGCGTGAATGATGACTGCAATCTCGTAGAGTTCGATCGGTCCGTTCCCGAACGACCTCATCGTCCACAAAAATGGGTGGTCCGAGTGTGGGGACGAGCGTAATATCAGTAATCGGGGTTGCCTCCATCACCTTGAATAATTTCAAGGTTAGCATGGAGATCACTCGTGAACGAAGGATCGAAATACGACGTCGCTTGGGGTTGAACCGAGATGGTGGAAAGTTGAGCCGTGACATCTGGCAGGAATGGCATCATCGAGCCGGTTGTTGCGGCTGTGGCTGCCGATCACCTGGATGGCTCGCGCCCAGGGTCCACGCTCAAAGACGGAGCCAGGAGCTAAACAATGACACCAACACCACTGACGCACCATCGGAGTCTGTCCGGCGGCACGCTATATTTGCTATTTTTGGACCCGCGATCGTGGGCTCACGCTCAACGCTGAACGAAAACTTTACGACCCAGGTGCACATCTACCTTCAAGGACTGGCATGCGTGACAATGAACTCAAACTTACTGCACCCACCGTGCACAAGGCGACTATCAAGGTACACAGAGATCTGAGACGGCACTCGAATATTTTACGGTTCCGTTCCGTCATTCTCGGAGATCTCGTTGTTGCTTTTGAGACCTGACGGCATCTGCCTTAATTTCGATGGATCACTGAACATCTTGCTAATATGTCGGAGGCTGTCGGGTAGACAATACTGCCCTGGCGTCAATAGGACCGATAAACCATTGAATGTATGGGCGCGGCAACGATGCACAAAGTCAGAAAATATTCTTACTGCGGATCTATAGACAAGAAAGAGACAACCACGTCGTGATTAGCGAAAGCTGGTTGGCAAATACCTCATGTTCTACCGCTCATGAATGTGGCTGGAGCCATTCGACCATATCTGATGCTCGGTGCTCAGACAGCGGATCGGTATGGGCACACGTCTTACACAAGATGACACGTAAGACACTGCCACAATACACATGGGCAGATGGAGGGGTAAGACCGGACCAACGACACTGAAGAGTACACCATATGTACCTGTGTTGTACATCCAGTGAGTTTGGAAGTTCGTTGGACGCGAGATGATACAGGAACCTTTCTGTCTTGCACATTTGGAGATCGAGCTTCCAGATGAATACTTGCATGTACGGGCAAAAAGATCCGGCATCTACCATCATCTGTCACACGCGACCAGTCACGAGTGTTGTTACAATATACTGATTGCGGAATGTGTTGCAAGAAGAGGAGGTGTACCACAGTAAGTACCCGTCCTGCTGCCGTTGCTCACCGGTCGGACCACAAGGTCAAGATACCCAAGTCAGCAAATCGATGGCAGCATGCATGGAATACAGTACACGCGGAACAAAGCCTCTCCCAACAACGGGTACGTACGCAGAATGCCGACTTCTCCAGACGTGCTCTTGAGTATAAACAGTCGGCATGGGCATTGTTTCATGCTCGTCACTCGCGGTTCCATCCGCTCTTGCTGCGCTTCCTATCCGTTCCGATATTGTTTGTCTGTCTGACTCATGGATTCCGTTGAGCTCGAAGAACCCTATGACGAGGAAGGCAATTTTAGCTATGGCCATAGCCAGGACGACCTCGACAACGATTACACAGGCAGTGGGGATGAACAAAGTGGTGAGGACCGATATGCCAACAGTGAAAGCAATGAGAGCGACGAAGCTCCCGATGACGCTTCAGCAAATGATACGGAAGGTGAGCTTAGTGACAGTGTGATTAGCGAAGATCTTTCGATGTCAGCAAGCGATGACGACGAGGAAGACGAAGACGAGGAAGATGGAGAACTAGAGACAGGTAGCATGGAAAGCGATGTTAGTGGCTCAGACCAAGAGGACGATGAGGAGGTGAATGACACGGAAAGCGATGTCAGTGGCTCAGACCAAGGGGATGATGAGGAGGTAAATGACACGGAAAGCGACGATATCAGCTCGGATAGCGAGGCAGTATCGATCGAAGAAGAGATCATCGACCCAGTGAGCGAAGAGAGCGGCTCGGATAGTGAAGCAGATGATTTGATTGGAGAGGGTGCTGGGGAAAACACCACAGTAGAGTCTATGGGATCTAGCGGCATGTGCAACAATGACAGCACTACACACCATGAGCAAGAAAGCTTCTTGACGAGTACGCGGAGTAGCCCGGGAGGGTGGACGCAGTTCAAAAAAGGACAGGATACCGCACCTGTCCACCATCACAGCAACTACCAAGCTTATCAACCCAACAACAACTATCAATCCACGAATAACCATCAATCAACCAATAATTATCAGCTGACAAACACCCACAACACGCACAGCGACAATCCGAAGACCGGCAACTCCCCGACGATCGTTCATAGCCGAAACAAAGTTCCCAGACGTCTCCCTGAAGTACAAACTGTGCTCGATGCGTCGAATCTCAATCGCAGCAATACGCCAGCTGGCGTGCAAAAGCTCGCGCGCCCAAATGAAGTGGCGTCCAAGAAATCCAAAGACAACGCCCGCAGAACCAACGATGCTCATCTCTCGCACCGTACCAAACCTAATCATGGACACACCGAACTACCAATCGAGACCAAGCATCCTCGATCCTCGAACAATCTTGGGAAGTCGAAAGCCGGCAATGAAATCAGTATGACTGACGAGCTCTTCCTTCCGGTCATATCAACTCGATCTACCAAAAGCAATCCAAAGCCCACAGCAACGAAACGCTCTCCTCACATGCACGAGACGGAGGCAATGCCTGTAGTAACTGCAAGTCACGTACCCAGCAAGAAAAAGCGGCAGCCTACGGTCCTTGAGATGGAGGGATCTGCAATCCAAGTCCCCGCCAACACCAAACAGCAATCCAACAGCAAGGCCAGCGGTACGAAGTTATCCAAGAACGACGCACTTCGCTCTCATAGACAATCACCCATATCCACCAGCGACACGGAAGAGCCCTGTGTACCTACTGGCTTCTCTAACCCCCCTAAGGTTCTTCTCAACGGCATCTTCGCTGGAGTGATGATGCAAAGGCGAAAGTCTACAGCGAGTATATTTGATCACGACGCGCACGCAATCATCGGCTTTAGCCTCACGGATGAGCGCGGCAAGCGGTATAAGGAGGCTGGGATGAAGAAGTACAAGACGGCTAAAGGTGGTTTTACACTGTGGTGGAAGCCTTACTCGCCATTGGCGGATTACTTTGATAGAGGAGACGAGTTTGAGTGATCTGGAAGGCTCGCTCGTGAAATTTCAGATGGGTTTTAATTCATCGTGTTGTGTTTAGTTGCAATCGAGTTATAGTTGCTTCACGAATGTAGTCGAGAATTTCATCGTCTCCCACTTAGGAACATCCTCAAGTACTTTGCAATGGTTGGAGCGAAGAAGCATGTAAAGCCAAGCCTCTGACGTAGTACCCCAGCCTAAAGCCTGCCTATATGTGGTGCAGGTTAACAGCGACCATACAGACGATGCCATACGAGAGCTGTAATGCCGACGATCCGGTCAGCACTTCGTAAGATGTACACCGATCAGGACAACACCTAGCCAAACGTCATATGCCTCTTCCAACTCAAATAAGAGGTCCTCTCACAAGCACGCCTAGAAAACTTTCCCGATATTGCTTTTTGGATTTCCAACAACAAGGTTCATTGGTTACGCACGCGATTCTGCAACACCTACCCCTCCATCAGCAACATGTCAGCCATCTTCAGCCTCTCGAGGTACCTTCCCCGCGCCTCTCCTCGTCACGTCCAGCCTTGCGATAGCGAGAAATGCGCCGAAGACTTTGGTCTCGACGTAATGCTCGTTTACCCAGAGTCGAAAGAGTCGGCTGAAGACTGGCCAGCAAAGTTCCGAGCTATCACGAAGTCAAATGTGTATAGCTTTCGTATGCGGCCAAAGGCACTGTACCCAGAGAAGGACTTCCAAAGCTCTTCAGAAGAGGATGCAGATCTGCCGACTGATCCAAAACCGGAAGGCGCCTACGACAAGTCGTCGACAAGATCAGTTGTATTTGTTGCTGAGACTCCCGAGGCTCGAACTGCGTATGAGGAGGTGCGCCAGCTTGAACCGATCGTACTCGACCACATGAGAAGACGCATACCTTTTGCTGGACGTGTCTATGGCGTAATCGAGCTGCGACGCAACTCCAATCTTAAAATGACGTGCATGCTCGCCTGGGGGCAATGGGGCTTGCACAACATCGTGAAGAACTACTACGGCTGCCGGCAATCGGCCGATAAGTGTCAGTCTGCAAGACAACCGAGAATCGTGACCAATCCGTCAACCGGCTTTGTTATCTTCGTCACGATTATGTCCATGTTGGACTATTGGATGCAGTACGACATGAATCGAGGGGACTATTACCAGCGACTTTGCCTGGTTACTGGGATCACGATGGGCTTCTTGTTGAGTCAGTCTGGTCCGTCCGTCGAATCGTTGCCTACGTTGATGGCTGCGATGAACTTGGCGATGACTTGCAGCGCTTTTGGGCACTTGATCTGGCGGAAATACTTCAGTACGTGTGAGAGGAGGCTCGAGCAGAAGCTAGACGAGTGGAAAGAGGAGGCTCGCCGTGCCCAAATTTACGCGCCGAAAGACTCCAAGCTCGAGTGCGAAGCCCAGAAGCCCCACGTTGTCAAGTTCCACGAGCTGGACTAGACGACGGATAAGCCAGAGGGGAATTCGCGGCGAACAGTCCACTTCGGTCATGTATTTCGAGTGTGAGGGCGGCTTGGGTCAGGGTATTGGGCAGTATTGTTATTCTTGATTGTGCGCGGGTCTATTCCCATTGTGTGCCTTTTAGTCGTTGCATGAGATATTCCACTTCCACCTCCTTTGTCAGGGGAATGACCCAATCCTGTATTGTCTGTTAGTACGCAGTATGAATCAATGAGGATATTGAAGGTACCTTGTACATGCCAACGACCGCGTCTGCATTCACCTTGGACGAGCCATTCGCGCCCAGGTCCGGGTCTGTGCCGTACGTCTTGGCCTTTAACCTCAGTCTCTCCAGCACCTTCTTCTCTACCGCAGCGTTTGTGATGGCCTCGTCGATACCTTTCCTGTCTTCGTCCTTGATCAACTTGACGAAGCGCTCCGTCTCCTGCTGGAACTTGGCCTCGGCAACGAACTTGCCAAAGTGTATGCGCCGTGACAGGGACTGGATGGTCATGACATCGCAGGTGGCAGAGGACCCGTAGTTCTCCTGCGACTCTCCCCTGTCCTCGCGGTCTGTCTGCAGACATGCGGCGGGCAGGATGTGCTTGATGTAGCAGTCCTTCAGCTGGGCGTTGACGTTGACATTATTCGGGTGCAGGATCTGCGGGTAGTTGAGGGGCTTGAGGATGGGCTCCTGGAGGACCTCTGGGAAGAAGGGGTATTCGTCGGGCGACTGGTAGCGGCGAACGAGGGACTGCAGGCGCTCCTGCTCGCGGAGCATCCAGTCGAACAGGCTGGTCTCGGGCTCGCCAATGTCGACGCCGCCGGGGACGTAGATGGTCCGGTTGAGGGGGAACTGCACGCGCTCGATCAGATGGAAGGTGATTGTGTCCTCGAGCCGACTGTCTGCTGTCAGTGAGACTCAGGCGCGCATGGCGGGGAGGCGTACATGAGCTGGAAGCGGATGTTGGCCAGGTCAAGCGCCTTGGACGCGTCGGAGAGGTCAATCGCGTCCATAGTTCCTTCTCAAGCTCCCAAAAGGGCAGATATGCGGGTGAGTGATGTTTGCAGCCATGGCAGTCCGGTCGTGTCCCGAGCATCGGCGTGCTCTTCGGCGGATGACGCAGGCGGGTGCCGACTGGTGAGCTCGATAGTCACTCCCCTCCACAACACCACTATCACCATCTCGAGCACCCGACGCGCCTCCCGCCTCACCGCCTATTGGCCTTTTGTAGCACACGCGAGCACCCGGTCTGAGATCCTAATGCGAAGATAAGGATGCCCTAGCGACGTCTCCTTCACTGCGCCGCCCGTTGAGTCTCCCGCCACGCCTGCTCGCATGGCCTCGTCCACCGCCCGCAATGGATCCCCAGGTCGCGGCCGGTCCACCAGCCCGCGCTCGCCGCGGTACTCGCAGGCCTTTGACGACGACGACGAGAGCAGCTTCATAGACTCGCTCCCCGATGTAGCCCCACCGCACCTTCCCTGAGCCCACGGTGATGCTAATGCTCGCTAGACCCGCCATCTGCAAGCTTTTGGCAAAAAAGTCACAGCCACCGCCGGCAGCTTGATAGGCGCCGAAGGAGTCACCCAGCACTACCAGAACGCCATTGGCGAGCTCCACCGCGAGCTCAGGCGCCCGCTGATGCAGCGCTCCGTCTTTTCCTTCGCCCAGACCACCCCCCGCGAGATCGTGCGCTCGCGAATCTCCGTCCCCGAGATCCAGCAGCGCGCCCTCGCCTACATCCCCAACGACCTGCTCTCCAACATCCCCGAGGACAACGCCGAGTTCTCCCTCTTCCAGGGCTTCGAGGCCTCGCTGCCCGACGCCCCCGACAGCCATGCGAAGAAACACGGCCGCCACAACGCGCGCGGCCAGCGCCTGATCGGGGGCGGGGAAGACGACGACGATCCCAATGTGCCCCCCTCGATGCAGAAGCTGCGGAAGCAGCGCAACAGCATGGGCCACCGCCTCGAGATGATGGGCGTGCGCAAGCACATGTGCGTCGCCGAGATCCACGAAATCGACAACAAGATCGCCAACCTCAATACCATGCGCAAGATGGTCCTCGACCGTCTGGCGGGGCTCGAAATCGAAGAGGGCGAGCTGGAGCAGGACCTGCTGACCGTGGACAACCGCATTGAGGACCTGCAAGAAGAGCTGGACGACGAAGCCGCACTAGCGCCCAAGACGGCAGGGTCGCAGACAAGCGACGAGCAGTCAGAAGGCAAGGGCGAATTCATGTCCGAGTCGATATACCAGAAGATACCCTCCTCGCCCAAGACGAAGAACAAGGCCAAGAGGCTGTCAAAGAGGATGTCCATGCCCGTACTACACGAGCATCTACAGTCAGGATCCAAGATCAAGGAACTGCCCGCGCACATGGACGCCATCACCGCCATGGACTTTGACGCCCCGTGGGGCATGATGGTGACCGCATCGCTAGACGACACAGTACGAGTCTGGGATCTGAGCGCCGGACGGTGCATCGGAATGCTCGAGGGTCATCTCTCCTCCGTGCGCTGCTTACAGGTCGAAGAAAACATCGTCGCAACCGGCTCAATGGACGCTTCGATAAAACTCTGGGACCTGAGCAAGGCCGAATACGCACCCATGGATAACCGGATAAACAAGCCCGATGAAGAGAGCGATGATGGTCTGGCATTCGAGAACTCGGAAGACGCACCTCCTGCGCCGCCGTCGACCAGCATGCAAGACTGCCCTCTCTTCTCTCTCGAATCACACGTCGACGAAGTCACTGCGCTACATTTCCGTGGCGACACTCTAGTTTCCGGTTCTGCAGATAAGACACTACGGCAATGGGATCTGGTCAAGGGACGATGCGTGCAGACGCTCGATGTCCTCTGGGCTGCCGCCCAAGCCACAGCTACGAACACCTCCAATAGCACATGGCGACAGACCGGACGCTCTGCCGACTCCTCTGCCGATTTCGTAGGCGCTATACAGTGCTTCGATGCCGCACTTGCTTGTGGTACCGCTGATGGTATGGTACGTCTATGGGATCTCCGTAGCGGGCAAGTTCACCGAAGTCTTGTCGGCCATACAGGTCCTGTAACAGCCCTGCAATTCGATGACGTACACCTCGTGACCGGTAGTGCCGACAGGAGTATACGCGTAAGTCAACTATCTTTCCTGCGACTATTCCCTAACTAACATGCACAGATCTGGGATCTCCGAACCGGCGCCATTGCCGACGCCTACGCTTACGACCACGCCATTAGCAGCATGATGTTCGACTCACGTCGGATTGTGTCTGCAGCTGGTGCAGACGTAGTCAAGGTCTACGACAAGACAGACGGAAGGCACTGGGACTGCGGACCCGGAGCTGACGAGAACGACAAGACGACACACTCTATCATCGAACACGTCAGAATAAAAGATGGCTATCTGGTTGAAGGACGCAGAGATGGTACCGTTGGTGTCTGGTCGTGTTAGTAGAAACATAGAAGTAGAAGCGATGGGAATTGTATATAAGAACAGGCTGCGCATATGCCAGTCATGTAAATGGCAAAGTGTTGTACTGTTGCAAAATACTCATTACGATATCACTATCAATCAGTTTTATGCCACTGCAAGAACCAAGATTTCCTCCACCCAACGTCAGTCGTGACGCATGTGGGCCGCTTCCAGTCGGTATCTCGATACAGATATTATCCACAATGCCGTGCTAAACTCAATCAAACACGAAGTCTGCCCGGGCGGGATGCATGCTTGGTGAAGACCAACTTCAGTACACTGGTAGACATGAAGGGCTCACAGTGAGGTTTAAAGATGTATACGCGTTGTTTGCAGGCTATGTTACATTTCCCATCATTGCAGTAGACATGGAAACACAGTTCTGACAGGTACAGCGGACGTTACAAGCACGCGGCAGACGGGGCCAGTGGAAGCTTGGTTGGTGGTGGAGCCATGCAAGGATGGCCCGCGAAGCTCCGATCTGCCATGGTGACGTAACGCAGAACCCCGATTGACATTTCCGCGCTCTGAGACGCCTATCCCTGCTCCCACGCCGCCGTGGCATTTGCACACTACATTCGCTTGTTCTGTCTACCTATGCCTTCTCATCTCTAATTTTGCAATTGAACCGTCAATTGCTGGCATCCCTCGCGTAGGCGCCTACCTCCATTTCATCTCATCGCCGGCTTCCTCTCCCGGTTCCACGTGCTCCGTGCGAGCTCCAAATTCCCGCCATGCTCCCACGACAGGCCGCGTCGCTGTCGCGCGGGTACAATGCCACGTCCAGGGCCTCAATTCTCTGCAGACGGTTACCGCGAGCGACCAACACACAATTCCGCACATCCTTCAGCAATGGAAGCCCAGCATCCGCTGCGAGACGCGCCGTCCTACAGACCTCACAATTAAGCAGGCAAACCCCCACCACGACCGCGATACGAACCGTCTCGACGAAACCTCTCCAAGCTCCGCGATCACGTCTTGCCCGCTATGCGTACCGAACAGCAGCCATGCTCGGCTCTTTCGTCGCCGTTAGCGGTGTCTTGGTCATCGCCTTCTTCGTCTACGACGCCTACACATACAACGAGGACCCTATCGCGACCGATATCCCCGTGTCCGAACTCGCGCTCAGTCCGAGGAGAGGAGGGCCAAAGAACCTGCCTATCGCCGACCACTTCGTTGACGACGATGAAACGCCCGAGAATAAGAAGCTCAAGCACAAGCCAAAGTTGGTCATACTGGGTACTGGCTGGGGCAGCGTGGCCCTCCTGAAGCAGCTGAACCAGGATGACTACCACGTTGTCGTTATTTCGCCGTCCAACACCTTCCTTTTCACGCCGATGCTGCCTTCCGCTACCGTCGGAACGCTGGAGCTCCGGTCCCTCGTCGAACCAGTGCGAAAGATTGTTAGGAGAGTACGCGGGCACTTTCTCAAAGCAAAGGCTGAGGACGTGGAATTCTCTGAGAAGCTCATCGAATGTTCAGCTGTAGATGCCAAGGGCCAGGAGCAACGGTTTTATGTCCCCTACGATAAGCTCGTCGTCGGAGTCGGATCCGTTACAAACTCGCATGGTGTCAAAGGTCTCGAACACTGCCATTTCCTCAAGGATATCAGCGATGCCAGGATCATCCGTAACCAGGTCGTCAAGAACCTCGAGTTCGCGTGCCTACCGACAACGTCTGACGAAGAGAGGCGAAGACTTCTGTCGTTCGTGGTTTGCGGTGGTGGACCTACTGGCGTAGAGTTCGCGGCCGAGCTCTTCGACATGCTGAATGAGGATCTCTGCAAGCTCTACCCCAAGCTTCTACGCAACGAAATCTCCGTCCACGTTATTCAGTCCCGGAGCCACATCCTGAACACCTACGAAGAGGCTCTATCTCAGTACGCTGAGCAACGTTTCGCCCACGACTCGGTCGACATCCTCACAAACTCGCGCGTCAAAGAAGTCCAATCGGACAAGATCCTCTTCTCGCAAAAGGACGAAAACGGCAAAGTGGTTACCAAGGAGATCCCCATGGGTTTCTGTCTATGGTCAACTGGTGTTGCGCAGACCGATCTTTGCAAGCGTCTCGCCGCCAAACTCGACGGACAGAACAACAAGCACGCTCTGGAAACCGACACACATCTTCGTTTGAACGGATCACCTCTCGGTGATGTTTACGCTATCGGTGACTGCGCAACCGTCCAAAACAACGTCTCTGATCACATCGTCAACTTCCTACGCACGACTGCCTGGGAGAAGGGCAAGGACCCCGAGAAGCTTCAGATCTCGTACTCGGACTGGCGCGGCATCGCCAAACGCGTCAAGCAGCGCTTCCCACAAGCAGCGAACCATCTTCGCCGCCTAGACAAGCTGTTCGAACAGTACGACAAGGACAAGTCTGGGACTCTGGACTTTGGCGAGCTTAGAGAGCTGCTCTTCCAGATCGACTCGAAGCTCACATCCCTACCCGCCACCGCCCAGCGCGCTAACCAGCAGGGTGAATACCTTGGTCGCAAGTTCAACAAGATCGCCCAAGCAGCCCCCGGCATGGCACTCAATAACGTTGACTACGGTGACCTGGACGATGCGGTGTACAAGGCTTTCGAGTACAAGCATCTGGGTAGCTTGGCATACATCGGTAACGCAGCTATCTTCGACTACAATGGCTACGGCTTGAGCGGTGGTCTGCTGGCCGTCTACCTATGGAGAGGCGTCTACTTTGCACAGAGTGTGAGCCTCAGGACAAGGTGTTTACTCGCCATGGACTGGACCAAGAGGGCGCTGTTTGGACGAGGTATGTTACTCCCTTCCTTGGTGGTGTATGATTGTGACTCAGCTAACATGGAATAGATTTGATGAACTTCTAAGCGATACATGGCTTGCATTTGCGAAGCGTAGATCAATAGACCGATGGCCGTTTTTCGGGTACCTCATCTTCCTGTGTAGATTATTCCTTGTTCGATCTATTGAGGGCGGCTTGATGCTGTCACTTTTACCAATATATTTTATCTTGTTCAACAACACAAGCGCAAGCATCTTCCCTGACATGCTTTCTTCTATTTCATGTGCATAGCTGAGTTCGTGCAGTGGCGTAGCTGGTTGTAGCTGGACTCACCGCTGTCTTCCCGTGGTCATGTTCACATCAACCAGGATTTAATATTGTTGTTCAATAAATGCTCAGTTGGCTAGTCAGTCCAGGTCTAATGATGACGAGATACAGACACAGAAAGTAAGCCGAGTCACGCCATGGAAATAATGGGCATACAAAGTAAGCCTGGTCACACCATGGAAATACCCCCGTGTCCACAACTTCTCAATTGAGTTTTGTCTTTGCGATAGTTGAGCTGACGTCTCTGTGCTTGCATCGCAATCAATGGACTCGTAAATACCCCGAGTTGCTGTGCAACGCTGTCGGGTGCTGTTGGTTTGGAGAGAATGATCTCACGCCACTCGGCAGCGTACGACCAGTGTACACAGAATACACCGTCTTTGGTACAGACGATGCTGCTTTATGGATGTGTGTCGGTGCAGGTACGATATGGAGGTAAGTAAGTAAAGAGCAAGTAAGTCGATGAGGATGTATAAGTATCACCGCCTTCCACCCATCTCTAGAAGCAAAACAGACAGCATCTTGAACGACCAGATCTTCCAAGACAAACATCCATCACTTTGTTCAGAACTTTATCTAAATCCTTCTCAAGCAAATATGCCAGCCACCACCTCATCCATGCTCTCCACCCTCCTCCTCGCCATCCCTCTACTCTTCCCCTCGACCGCCGCTGCCGTCGCAGTCGTCAAGAAAGACGTAACATCCGCAGTCGTAGTAGCTTCCGAGGCAGCCCTCGTAGACGCAGCCGTCACCTTCACCTCGTTCCCCAGCCGCTCCGAGTGCCTGTCCAACCAGAGCGGAACCCGATACGCGAACCCCGATGCCGGCTGTTACCATTTGCCCGGGCAATCTATGGATGTCAATGGTATAGCTGGTGGTTGCCGTGGTATGTATTATTATTGTCTCTTGATGGTTGAAAGCGAAGGCATGAGAGCTGACATGCCATGCTCAATGCAGTCTTTATTTACGAATCCGAAAACTGCGATGGTCGCGAACGGCAGGTCGGTTCCGGAGAGATCTGTGTGGATATCGAGAGCTTCAATACTATCAAGGTTTTCTGTGGTTGAGTGGGGATAGCTCTAGATGGGTTGTTGAGGCTGTTTCCTGAGGATCTCGAGTGGGACTTGAGGTGGATGTGAGGTCTGGCTTTGTGCTGTCGTTTCCTTGATCACTGCATTCAACATGCGACTCTTATGGTTGTACCGAGAAAAAAACTAGTGTGGGTAGCTTGACCGATGAAGCTATGATGTGCTGAAGACCAAACTCTTAAAGAGATGTTTCCGTAATCGTGAAGTGTGCCCTTCGTGTAATCGAAGCGTGCATACATCGGCTGCCCCGCAGTGCTGCCTTCAAGGCTCTTGCTCATCCATTGCTTCAAGCCGCGTGCGGACCATATTAGGATTCGAGTGTCCCTGTTCGTCGGTCCAGCATTTCAACACTTCTTCGCGCATAATCCTGCGTGGAGCTCTCTTGCCTGTGAAAAGTTCGAATTGAGCGAAACCTTGTTCAGGCAACAGATCAAGGCCATCCAAGCAGATCCATGATGCTGACGCTTCTTCGCGAACTTGTCTTGTCAGTGGCGTATTGAGAGTTCGGTAGGCAAGTTCTATCACTACACCTCCAGAAGGAGATTGCATCCATTGAGTGGGCAGCGTAAAGTCAGGTGATGGTTCATCACCCACGGGATGCGTGGGTATACATGATACAATGACTGTCGGTGCGCGGAGATCTTTTGGCCAGGGATCGGTCCTTGACTCAAGTATGCGAAACGTGGGTTGAGATCCCTGGACGAACGATGGGAACAGCTTGGCCGCCGATGGGCTTGCAGCTAATGCAGAGAAGTAGCTGACTAGCTTCTGTGCATTCTTCATTGTTCGGTTGAAGATCACGATGTTCTTGATGCCGAGCTGTAGCATGGCATAGATCGCCGCCCTAGCCATACCTCCCGACCCAATGACCAGGCTGGAAGTGGTCGTTGGCCGCACAGCATTAGCGGGAGATAGACCTCGTCGGATACAAGATCGAATGCCTATCCAATCTGTATTGTCGCCAAAAAGTGCTTTGACAGGCCCGGACTGGTTGCGTTCCTGGTAAAGCTCAACTCCGTCCGCATCGGGAATGCTGCCATCCTCGTTGAGGTGGCGAATTGGGAGAAGCGTGTTGACTGCTCCAATCGCTCGAGCGTGGCGACTTAGCGAGTGAGAGAGAGCAACCGCATCCACTTTGAATGGCTGGCTAACTGCAGTGCCGCCAAAGTTTGGCCGTCGTATCAGCTCCCGTATGTTTTCGTCCAGTGTCGCAGTTTGGAGGCGGTCAAAGTGGTGAGGCATACCACATGCTCGATATGCCGCATTGTGCATAGCAGGGCTAAGACTGTATCCCGCTGCGGCACCGATGATGTAAAACTCCATAGGGTCATATGTAAATGAAGCATATAGGATATGTGTAGCTTCTGTCACAGTGAGCCATGACGTTTCTGGGTTTCTTTGTGCTCTGGTCTCAAAATCTGCGCTCTTTCGTAGCTTTTCTGGGATCACAGGGGTCAGAACCTGGTTGAAGCAAGCAGAACGCCGGCCAGCTCGTCCGGTGTTATAACATATTATGGGTATTCTCGGTGACTTGGCGTATATAGTGTTGCGGAATGATTGAATAGCGGCGTTATCGTCCATGAAGTTTGCTGGTCGGGTAAAGCGTACCAGGCTGCAGCCCAATCGCATTGCTGTATCGTATTTCTCGAGCCAGAACACGTCGTACCAGTCCATGGCTGCGTGAAGATGACCGATTATCTTGGTTGAGCCCCTCGACGCAACAATTGCTCGGATCAGCTCCTCGTCCATAGTAAGATCCACAGTGGCGAACTCAGGTGCCATTCGTAGACCGTACCACAAGTTTGCCAGGTAGGACGTTGTGGAATGGCCTGAATGTGCTGAAGACGGCATCGTGTGAAATATTATCGGGGTCACGGTACTCCTTCGCACCCTGAATATACTCTTGCTTATGTTCTCCGCGTGATCCGCTGTAAGCTGTGTAGGTTCAACGACTATCTCGAATGCGTCACAGCCAAATTCCAGCTCTTCAATGTCGACTTCTTCAGGCGTAAGATCTGATAGTTCAACCTGAACAGCGCATGTGTAATTTCTAAGCTCCAAATCGACATACGATAATGGGAAGTGACCAGGGTCGAGCGTGGGCGCGTCACTCTTGATCTTTCTGCGGGTATTCGTGGGAGATAGGATAAGTGCCAAAAACTTGAAGAACGTTCTTTCCGCTCGTTTTAGCGTCAGGAATGCTGGCACAGAGGGCTGGTGTGCAGGTGCGACCGAGAGGTGAGCTGCGTTCGTTTCGGATATGTTGTAGAACTCGTAGTTCGAGCATCGCCGGAAAACCGGAGTACTGAGAGCAAGCAACTCTCGTACTTTGGATTCGTCCGTGTCTAAGTATTCGCGTACACTGCGCACGTCTCGTGTAATGTGAATCACTGGGTGCGATGCCGAAAATTCATGCAGTAGAGCTTGGCTACTGCTATCCAGCGGGAATCCTCCGTTGCAGACGATAATGGCGCCTCTGCTGTGGTTTTGTAATGTGTCGCGTAGGATCTCCTCCTGCCGGAGGCTACGATTCGAAGATCCAAACTGTTTGCGATACGCAGCGGTCGAGAAGCCTGTTGCAGTGTGGAAGACACTCTCCATGTCGATGACCCTTCGCTGGCAGGCTACTGAAGCCATCATTGCCAATGTTGCTTTGCCTGTGCCATGCATGCCAATGAGCACGATAGACGCCCGGGAGTCAAACATTCTTCGGCATTCGTACTGTATGGGTGCTGGTGTTGACCTTGCCGAATTCGGTAGACTTCGTTGTTTGGACGCAGGCGGCGATGGTGTTGGCAGCGAAGCTCGCCCGTCCATCGCTCCGGTTTCCGAGTTCATTGCAGCAAACGAACGCTTCGCACCAACCGTCATGGACGCCATTGTTTACGAGACTTGGAATTTGGAAAATGTTGTTCCAAAGTGTCAACAACATGAAGCAGAACATGGTGCTGCAGTTGGCAGCGACGAGAGCCTTAGCGAAACACGTGACAGCGATGAGCCCCGCTTTTCCACGGGATAAAACTTTATCCTGGTGCGCAGACACTTCCCCGGCTTTCTCCAGTGCCTCACTAGGTAAGCTCGATGGCTTCTTTAGCAAGATGCTCGACCACCCCATATCTGGGTGATCACCAATCTGCTCTTTCGGCAAGGCTCTATGAGGCGCTTTCGTGTTTTATGTGCGACGGCGAACGATCGCTGCCGAATCCATGTCTTTGCAAACCCAGGAGAAACGCCGCCAGCCCACACAAGACATACCGGTAAAACGGTTTCGGGTATCAAGAGCTTGCGATCAGTGTCGCAATGCCCGCGAGAAATGTGACGCGAACCAGCCCAGCTGCTCTCCCTGTCTGGACGCCAAGCGCACGTGTACATACACGTCAAACCCGAAGAAGCGAGGGCTCCAGCCCGGCTACATACGCAGTCTTGAAATGACACTGGCCTTCATTTTCCAACAGCACGCTGAGATTGAGACTTCAGTACACGAGCAACTGGCCCAGCAGAATACGGTCTTGCTAGCGAGGGGTACTAAAGACTCGAATCGTTTACACAAGAGCTGGACCAAGAGCAGATTTTGTCGAGATGTCACCAAAGCATTGTCTGGAGAGCAGATAGGAGCAAGCGAGGACAGGCCGCCAAGTTCAGACGAAGACAGTGAGGTGGACACTGAAGATGCTACGCTTCTCCAGATGACACCAAAAGCTCAATCTCAGCATTCGGTACTAGCCCTACGTGACTATCTTGATGAGTGCTGACTTATGCAGATAACATGGCAAAGCGATACGAACTACGTGCCGCAGGCTATGCGCCCACCTCCATTACCGGACCTTCATTCTCCGCGTCTGCAGCAATCTACAGGCTCTTCTCTCCTTACCCCCCTGCCTACAGACTGCTGGAGGTTGATCGAGATATACTGCACGTATACACAATGCTGGCTACCCATCGCAGACAAGCTTGAGATTCTCAAACTATCGTATTCTTATGCGGAACAAGGTTTGGCTCTGTCAAGCGATATGTCCAACTCGGGAAGTTACGCAGAGATGTGGAGTGTATTTGCAGTCGGCTCTACGCATAATGACGCGAGTCTCGCGGGAGACAGCTATCATCCATGGTCGTCCAGAAGACTTTACGACATCGCGAGGCAACTTATCCCAAATGAGCTAGGTAAATTTGAACTAGGTCACGTCAAGGCCCTTCTCAACCTAGCATTGTTCAACATCCATGGGAAATTATTCGATGCTGCTTGGCATCTTGTCGGCGGTGCTTTACGACTAGCCCTCATGCTTGCAGAATCGCCAGATGCTGTTACACCTCGGCTCAAGCATGTTATCTCGAGTTGTTTTGTGCTCGACAGTCTCTTGGCCTTACATCTCAAACGGCGCCCGTACCTCGACAGGGCCGATCTTTCGTGGATGGGCAAGATAGAGGAGGATGGCATGGAAGAATGGCAGCCATGGGGTGGGCATCTCAATCTCGGTCCATCACGTCTGTCAAACTCTCCGACACTCGCTTTGAGCACTTTCAACGCTCTCATGGAACTGGTTGACATTCTACGATGCACGTCTATGGAGCGGACAGCGCCAAACTTTCTACATGAGATGATTGGCCGACTTGAGATGTGGAAGTCAGCGTTACCACCAAAACTCGATTACATTCGGAAAGATCCACCTTCAACGCCACCGACCCCACCTGCATTGCTTCTCCGATTCACTTATCTCGTCACTGCGTTCACTCTCGTTCCATCTCAGGCGTGGCTTCAGCAGATCTTGGACATGTTAAACATCCTACAACAGCAGCTTGGGGTTACAAGAATGCCAGCTGTGATCACCTGCTTATTACAAAGTATCAAGAGAAGCACTAATAGTCTGACTCTGGATCAACCGACACATACTCGAATTCACGAGTTATTTGCTGCTCTTGGCCATTCATCACAAGCGACCTCGGAGAGAGCATCATCGGGTTTGCGATCGATATCTGTCACTTTAAGAGACGCGTCTTCGGAAGATTCTGGAACCGTTCAGACCTCTCCGCAGTCTCTCGTCTCACAACATAGCGGTCCGTTCACCGATCGGTACCAGCAACCGCCCAACCAGTCTACTATGGTCCATCCAGATATGAACGTGAGCCATGCAGGGCACAGTCTACAACCATTCGAACCTAATCTATTCGATTTCGGAATGGCCGGCCCAATCTTCGACCCCCATGATCCTTATAATGCTTTAGTCTCGGGGGATTTGGGAAGTTTCCTCGACGACTTCGCTTCAAAGCATGGTGCCAAGAAATTACAAAACCAGCCGCAGTTTATGGAGAACCTTGGATTCTCGTCGGAAGTAAGCATGGCCGATCTATTGGCGGCTGATACTGGCCGTTTCATGCCTACTGCATCGAACCTAGGCGTAGATAACAGCGAAGAGTCTCCTCAATTTCCGCTCAACACTTTCTACGATGCTGGGTAAGCCCGACTGCATGCCCTCAAGCTCGGAAAGTAGGCGATATCTAGCTATCCAAGAAGTCCAGAATAGCAGAGTCAAGACAAATGCCTTCATCATTCTGGGCGTCGCATTTAATAACGATGCTCGGTTGTTGGGTATCTTCTACATATAGACTGTCAAACGATAAGAAGCACAGGAAATTGAACAAAAAAACCACATGAGCTTCCACCTCACAGCCGCGCATACTCGGCTTGTCCCACATTGCTCACTTCGTTTCGTGGTCTCTCCATAGACGCCAATGTGTCATACACCGCACCCGTACCAAGCTGCAAATCATGGCAAATGGCATGCCACGCGGTCGCAGCGCGCTGTGCCAGTTCTTCAACGATTCCTTTATCCTCTCTGTTCATGACTCGATTGAACAACTCCATGCTGACCCAGCCCTCAAATCCAATGTCCTTGATGATGGCGCGTGTGACATCTTTCACGGGCAAGTACGCTCCACGACTAGTCTCGCCATAAAATAGCCTGCAGTTTCTGCTCCAAGACATGCGAGCTGGCTGTTCGGCGTTGTAGAAGGGGTGACCGGGGAGCAACGGTCGTGTGAGACGCTCGGCGTCGACGATCTGAATGAAGAATATCTTCTCTTTGTGGGGTTTGATCTGGGCAACCAATCGTTGTATCGAGTCGCGAACTGCCTGATCAGCTCCTACGACCTTTCCAGATTCGGCGGTAGGGTCTGCATATATTCTGCCCAGGATGTTGAAGCTGTCCAGGCAGATGCCAAAGTTCGATCGATCAACACGTTGTACGATATCCCAGCACACTTCCCATTTGTCAACGTGTGTTCCCCAGCTTAGGCTTTCGTATGCGAATCGGATGATTGGTGTCTGTTGCAGCCCAAGGTCTGCAATCTCTCGAAGGTCACTGACGATGAGGTCTGTATCGGAGGATGTCTGGTTGGGGGGTAGAAACGACGAAGGGACTTGGACTATGTCTGTTCGGAGGACATGCGCTAGCTGCATCCAAAGCTTCATCTCTTCGACCCGCTCAGCGTGTCGCTTCCTGTCCAAGAGACCCTCATAGTGCATGAAAGGCTGCAGACATATGATCTCCAGGCCCAGGGAAGAGCAAAGATCGTAGACTGAGGCAGCGCCAGCCAGTAGGTCGGATGGCTTGTCGGACCCGGCATGATCGACTAGGTCCTCGTAGAAGAGCTCGATGCCCTCTAGTCCGTGTTTCGCCGCCATGGAGAGTTTGTGTTCGAGGCTGTGGCCAGCGTAGCATCGGCCTAGCGACATGGAGGAGATACCTGGGCGGCACGGCATAATGCTGATAGAAGATAGAAGATAGAATATGGAGGATAGAAGATAGAAATGGAGGCGTATGTAATATGCAGTATGGTAATGTGAAGGTGGAACTACAGTGTGAATACTGAGAGGCTAGCTATCATACTTGTGAAGCTGATAACATATCTATAAGCAGCTGGCGTACATTCAAGGCCGTTCATAACCCACCGATATCCTGATCAACGCATCCTGCGACCGTTGCCTACCATGCACATACGCATTGAACCTTCCTCGTCCAATCACGCTCGATGAGCACTTGTCGCTCGCCATCCCGGAATAATGTTGGAAAATGAAACACACTCCTTACGCAACCGCGATGTGCCGTGGCAAGCAGTAGGCAAGCCCAGCCTGGTGACATCTTGGTGGTGCAGATGGGGGTTCGGCGCTAGCCGGGCGGAAAAGAGCTCACACCCGTGGCCAGGTGCATCGCGCCACTTCGGTCATCGGTTCCCGATCGAAAAATGGGCCGTATCACTCTTGCATCTCCAAGCCAAGGCGCGCTATGGGAAAACACATGAGAGGTATTCTATGACAGCTTTCTAAACGTTCTAGTGAGCCACACGCTGTGAAAATCCACAGTCTCGTACCAGCAGCTAGACGTTATTGCTGCAAAAGGCCGTAGAAGCGCAGCGGGCAGTTTTGGACGCCGGTGGTTTTTCGCAAGTATCCATGGATATCATCGGTTGGTTGACGTCTGTACGACCACTCTGTCAATAAGAAAGATCCGACACTTCTAGTGACCCGGGTGTGCAAAACTGTCCGGCTGTGTAATTTAAGCACCTGCAGTAATGCATCATCAACGGCCAGCGCGAAAGCAGAGTCCGCACCGACCTGACAGCTAAGCTAGAGGCGCTCACTCTTCTGCGCGACCGCGTGCTCGGGGTCGAAGGCACGTGGAGAAAGCCTTCTTCCCGCCGGTAATGATTAGCGGTTTCGAGCCGACATAGCCGACACGTGTGAAGGCGTTGATTCTCATGTTGCGGAAGGCCAAACCGCCCTCTATGCTGTAGGGGCTATGACGTCATTGGGGTCGCTGGTTGGACTCGCGGTTCGCGTTCACATTGTCTTTGGCTATCTCAAAAAATACTCCAATGACCTTAGTGATAAGTCTACCTCGGCTGCACTGGATACTTGCCAACAGACTGGCCCCTAATCCAGTGCTGCAACTCGAGTGCCCATGCAGGCAACCAGGAATCGCTATTGTAACCGTTTTCTGTCCTTGGAATGTCCTGAACAGTGCACATCACGAAGAATCTAGTCATGAGGGCGGATATTGAAGAACTCTCAGGTGATGCTTATTGATCATGATACATTCATTTGCACGCGGCTACGAGTGCGTGTTACTACATAGCACTCAAGCCATTTCAGTATGCTCATCTGCCCTTGCCTTCTCGTCCCTAATCGTCAAGTTTACTTCCTCATTCTCCTTCATCCTGTCCACAAGGATACCATGCGCCTTGAAAGCGGGCTTGATGGTGAAAAGCTCGTCCATGCGCTCAAGCGGGACTCCTTTTGTCTCGGGTATCAAGAAGAAGACAAAGGGTATAGAGAGCAGCATGAGGCATGCGAAGAACATGTATACGCCGTAGCCCATGGTGGCAAACATCTGGGGTGTGAAGCGAGAGATGATGAAGTTCCAGAACCAGTTGTTTGCCGCAGCGAATGCTTGACCCAAGGAGCGGGTCTGCTGGCTGTACATCTCAGAGTTGATGACCCATGGAGTACCGTTCCACGAAGGGGTGTAGAAGGCGGTCCAGAGGTAGAAGAAGAAGACTGCGCTGATACCGCCGGAGGAGAGTTCGCCCGAGGCGTTCTTGTTGTTCGTTGGGTCAGCGATCTTGATGTAGGCAGCGATGTACCACATGCACAAAGATCCACCTGGTTGAGTAGTCAGTATATGTTTCGTATCTTGTTGGTGGATTGAAGACTTACCCAGAGCGCCGAACATGAGAAGCTTAGTGCGGCCGAGACGATCGATGAGCCAGATGAGCCAGACAAAGGTCAGAACGCACTTGACGACACCGAAGATACCAGTGGTAAGGAAGCCTTCTGTGACGCCGAGACTCTTGAAGACAGTTGGAGAGTAGTAGTTGATTGCGTTGATACCGGATCCGTTCTGCCAAAGGAACAGCATGCCACCAAGGAAGATGCGGTATTGTACCTTGCGTTGTTTGAGCGCAAGGAACGGCTTCCAGAATCCAGGTCCGACGGTGATTCTGTCATGTTCGACCTGAGCATCTATGGCATCGAGCTCCTCCATAATATATGTGTGGTCTTGGGGAAGGTTACGGATCCAGCATAGGTCCTTCAGTGCTTGTTCGCGCTTTCCCTTGGTCAGACACCATCGAGGTGATTCCGGCATCCAGAAGGCGCCAAGCAAGAGGCAGCCGGCAGGAATGAGTTGCACAGCGAATGGAATGATCCATTGCTTGTGGGAAGGCTCCATTGTCTCCTGAAGACCGTAGTTGATCCAGCTATGAGTGTGTTAGTACGTGTTACTCTCGAACGGAATCCAGGGTGCATGACTTACAATCCAACGAGACCTCCCATTTGCCAGCCGAGCTCGTAGATACCGACCAGTCGTCCGCGCACAGCTGGTGGTGATAATTCGGAAATGTAGATAGGAACCATGTTGCTGCATCCACCAACTCCCAGACCTGCAAGTACACGACCACCAATGATCAAACCGAGGCCTCGGTCGCCATTGGCACCCAGCATCATGCCAGCACCCAAAATGAACTGGGTATGTCAGCATTTGCTCCAGTATATCTGTAAAGTACTCGGGTGACTCACAATGAGTACCCAGAGAATGAGCGACTTCCTCCTGCCAATGTAGTGACTGGACGCATACGCTCCAAAAGCTCCGAAGAATGCACCAGCTTGGTACACCGAGACGATGTTGGCCTTTGTCAGATTCAACTCGGCGGGGTCCATCTCCGCAAAACGGAATTCCTCAACGAAGGATGGTAGGGCCAAAGTCGTGCCAATGAAGGCACTGTCGTAGCCGATCATGCATGCTGCCCATGATGCAATGCAAGCTGCTGTGTAGACTCTCCAATTGTAAACCGCCTTTGGTGTTGGTCGATCTTCGACGATGGTAAGGAGACCCATGTTGGTGTAGTGATCCGATGTGCCTTGAGAAATCCAAAGTGATGGACTCAGATGGCACCGATGAAGGTTGCTAGCCAGACAGGTAGGCGTAGCTTGAGCGAGATGAGGAGTACTTCAATGGACGAAGATCGGCCTACACCTATATATCCCGACCGAGAGGAACCCGGCAACGTGCTGTTTTGCGGAGTATGTGGAGAAAACGCCACAAACCCCATGGAGATGAGCTATGAAAGTGTCAAGCAGTTGCGCATGTGCTCATTGGCCGTCCAGTTCGCAGAAAGGTTGATGCTGAGCTTGGCCCGGAAGAATCGCTAAGCACCCCCAGGAAGAATTGAACATTGTGCGATTGCGGAGAGGAACCATGATCTCGCCGACCCCAGACCGTTCCTAGGGACCTGGATTTTCGCGCCGGTCATGCCTAGTTGGGAAGTGAAGGAATTACCCACAGGGTTGGTGATGCCGCAGGGCCCGGAAACGCATTTACACGCGAGGTTTAGTGGCCGGAGTATCTTCGCTGATTGGAAGAAGGACGCAGCTGTCAGTCGCACACCGGACCGTCGCATAGCCTGCACGCGCTTGACTCGCGTCTCCTCCACGCGCGACATGACTTTTTCCGGTCCCCAACGCGTTGAATCTGGGGTATTGGCGCATGCGTTGGACGTAATCATGGAGCGCTCGACTTCTACCCCGAATACCCGCTTTCCGAGGATCCAATATCTGGAAGAGCATCAGGCTTCACCAGAACGGCAAACCTCCCCAAACTTCATCCTCGTCTCCTAAGCACACGACATTCACACCCACCATGTCTACCGAAACCAGCATACCAGAAGTCTCGCAAACCGAGCGCCATGGCTACCTCTTTGGTCACCCGATCGCCCACTCAATGTCGCCTTTACTACACAAGACCGTGTACGACAACCTTGGATTGAACTGGGCTCAATACCCTCTGGAGTCAAGAGACATGAGTCTGTTCCTGCAATTGATCAAGCATCCTCAATTCTACGGTATGCGCAATACATCAAGCAACCATATTGGTAAATATGACTAACAATAGTGTAGGCGCCTCGGTCACAATGCCCCACAAGGTCGCCATACTAAAACACCTCGACGGCCTCACAGAAGAGGGAAGGGACGTAGGCGCAGTCAACACACTTTTCATCCAACAAGACGCGTCAGGGAACCGGTTATACATGGGGACCAACACCGACGTCATAGGGATAAGAGATGCTTTCGCATACAACGTGGATCCGGCGAAGTTTGAGAACAGACCTGCGTTAGTGATCGGCGGAGGCGGCGCAGCGAGAAGCGCCGTGTATGCGCTGAGGAAGTGGATGAAGGCCAGTGCCATATATCTTGTGAGCAACCGGACGAAAACATTCCTGAAAGATTTAAGTTGGTACTAACAAACCCGCTCTAGGTCAACAGAGATCCCACAGAAGTCGCTGCTGTCATCGAAGAGTGCACAGCCCGCGGCTACGGCGACTCCCTCGTCCACGTCTCATCCGTCTCACAAGCACAAAGCCTCGAAGGTGTCGGTGCGATCGTAGCCTGCGTACCGAACTTCACACCCGTCACACCTGCCGAAATCGAGGCGCGGCAAGTCCTCGAATGCTTCCTTGCGAAGTCGCACAAGGGAGCTTTATTGGAGATGTGCTACCACCCCACGACATGGACGGAGATTGCGGAGGTAGGAAAACAAAACGATTGGCAGATCGTGCTAGGGACAGAGGCACTGATATATCAGGGTCTGGAACAAGACCGGTATTGGACAGGGAAAGCCGTAGCGGATCTGCCGGTGGTGCAGGTGCAGGAGGCGATCGCCAGAAAGTTGAACGAAGCAAGGCTGTAGATGTTAATGGAATTGGACATACACACGACATGCAAGGCGCGAGTGAATATGCAAGTCGTGAGTCAACTTGGAAAAGGTAGAATTGCAAGTCGCTAAGCTCCGGGCCGCGAGTAGTCTAGGTTGCGTACCCGCCGCCATACCTCGCGGACTGTCCTCTCTTGACTCTGTCGACCTGTCTCCGTGGGTGATGGTCCCGCAGGTCTGTAACGAAACATTAGCATACGCCTTGCTCTGGTTTACTGCAATACCGACTTACCTGATAGCCAAATATAACCGGCTTCCCAACCTCACTTCCTCTATAGGCGCGCCAGCCCAGTCCTCTGGTGGATTTGCTGTGGTCACTAAACCTCCAGCTTCTTGTAATATAGCAATGCCCGCCGCGACATCCCACTCCCAACAGCCTCCCTCCCACCAAATGTCAAACGAGCCCATAGCAACATATGCCAGATCTAGTGTCGCACTCCCTAAACTTCTGACTCCATGTACCATACCTCCTCTTCCCTGCCTTCCCCCAATCTCAGCTGCCATGTTGACAAAACTCTCAATCTTGCGATGCATATTGCCATCAGGCGTATCCCTCCTATCTTTGCCCCATTCACATGAAAAGACACATCCGCTAGGCGCTTTCTCCGGCATAGGTGGTATGGGATTGCGGACGAGTGGGAGACGTTGGGTTTCGTTGAAGAAGGCACCACGACCGGCGCAGGAAGAGAAGAATTGGTTCGTAAACGGTGCGTATATGACGCCAATGAGTGGTTTGGACTTGTAGATGAAGGCGATGCTGACGCAAAACATGGGAAAGAGGTGGATGTAGTTTACGGTTCCGTCGAGCGGGTCGACGCACCATGTTGGGGAATTGTCGATTAGGTAGTCGCGAGATGAGCCTTTGCTGTAGGATTCTTCGCCGACGAATCTACTGAATGTTAACGTGTGCAGCTGGGTAAGTTTGTAGTCAAGGACATACTTATGCTGAGGGTACTTGTCAGCTATCGCTTTCTTGATAAACGCTTCAACATCTTCATCTGTCTCGGTAACCAGATCAACAGCATTCTCCTTCTGAACATGCTCATCCTGTCCTGTCGCATTCCCACCCTCTATCCGCACTTGCGCAGCATCCATGAGCATCTTGCCCGCCTGTCGCCCCAGCTGCACAGCAAACGCATAGATCTCATCCAGCTCTTCTCTTGATATTTCCATCATGTTGATCGCGGGTATTGTGTACATGTCAGGTAGATGTTTGGCTAGGAAGAAACGCCATGGCGACCGACACGCGCCAGAACGAATCGCGTCCCAAAACCTCCGTCTGGAACCGTACCGGCTAGAAGCGGAAAGCGACCTGATAGCTGTATGTAGGGAAGTGGGACGTCATGCTCGCAACTGAGGGCAAGAAGGCCGATCGTTAGGGGTGGGGGTAAGGACTTTTCCCCTTCCCTGCGTTCCGACAGCCATCGGAACCTCGGAATGAAACATGTCAAGGTGGGCCTACCCACGCGACGCGACAGACAGACCCATGGACCATCCCGTCATTGCCATACACGCATAACATCAGCGCATCTCGACAGTCTCCACGACCGCGATCATCAAGTCTCTTGGGGTCAACAATCATCTCCCTAGCACATATCTCCCACCCAAACAGCTCAAAATGACCAAATCCATCCTCCTAATAAACGGCCCCAACCTCAACCTCCTTGGCACGCGCGAACCCACAATCTACGGCTCCACATCCCTCTCCGACGTAATCGCCTCCGCACACAAACAATGCACCGCGCAATCCATAAACTTTTCACACATCCAATCGAACCACGAGGGCGTCCTTGTCGATCGCATACATGAGGCGCGCGGCAACGTCGACTTCATCGTCATAAATCCGGGCGCTTTCACACATACAAGCGTAGCGTTGCGAGATGCGTTGGCGGGTGTGGAGATACCGTTTGTCGAAATACATATCAGTAATGTGCATAGGAGGGAGGCGTTTAGACATCATAGTTATCTGAGTGATAAGGCGGAGGCTGTGATCTGTGGGTTGGGGGTGTTTGGGTATGAGGCTGCTATTGAGTTTGCGGTGAGGTATCTGCGGGAGAAGGAGGAGAAGAACGCAAAGCTGTAGATAATCGCATATGGAAGACTGATGCGGTGCAATAATGGTTGATTATTAATGTTAGGTAGTCTCGGATCGAGTGTCTCGCCTACCAGCTCAATCGTGCGTTCTAGTAAAGCCCTTCTTGATATCCTGTCGCGCCTCGAGGTACGTCTGTAAAGCTGTGATAGCTGGCAACAGAAGCATGACCACGCTCAAAGTCTGGCCAAACCCCCAGATATTCTCTTCGTCATCTTGCAGTCCGCAAAACTTATCCGGATCCTCTGGCCTTGCAAACTTCTGCGTGAGCACCAAGATGGCGGACAGTATGGCGAGTAGAATCTGAACAACAAACGTGATTGCTGGGTTGAGGAAGAGTTAGTATATGCATTGAAGGCCGAGCCGCGCTGGGGAAAGCGCTCGAAGCGAGAAGCCTTTCTGCTTCTGTGTCGGGTCTGTAAATCGACGTACAAGAGCCTGTAATGACCTTTCCGAGGATGACGATGACGGCGATTCCAGTCCTCTTCCTTCTGGATCGTACAGAATGCACACTAATGCTGTTGAGAAGCCGACAAGAATGAGGAATAGAGGGACCAGGAATGAAAGCCTCTGTACACGACTTCGTACCATAGATGTGCCATCGTCGCCTTCGACGAGGATCGGCGGCATGGCGATCGCGGCAATCATGGAGGTGAGTAGGAAAACAGCGAAGAATACGACGAGTGTGAGGCGTATTTTCGCAATGAGCTTGTACTTGCGGAAGTATTTGCGGAGCGTTATCAGAGCGGCGAGGTGAGAGGAGGAGGATAGCGCACACACGTAGAGGATAAGAACGAAGTGGGAACCTTGCACTCGGAAAGAGCCTTGAGCCACCTGATTGTGTTCTGTCAGCATGGGAAATCTCGATGGAATATCGAGCGTACTTTGATCCATCCGCTCAGAAGTACAGCATAGCCTGTGATGAGTTGTTGATCGCCGAATCCGATGATGAGTGGGTCTAGAAACGGTCGCCACGCATAGTGCTTCTTCCACTCGTTCTCCAAGAAGCGCTCACGGATGTATGTGAGCGGCGCTCGAGGCGTGAAGTGACCTTTCGTATCGAAGGCTTGATCGAGAAGCATAGCGAGGATGGACGCGAACGTGGTCATGAAGCTTGCAATGACAAAGGACAAGACGACCTGCAGTGTTGTCAGCTTGAGCCTAAACTAGATGAATTAGAGTACTTACACCGACGCCAGCAATGTCTGGCTCTGCTCCATTGGCACAATCTCCATCCCAGGTCGCAATACTATCGAATGTGACCCATGGAGGTGCCATACACTGACCGGAAGTTTACAGCTGGACTTGCAGTGATCTAAGAGTCGCGACCGCAATGGTATAAGGTTATGCAAACTGCCCAAACAGGGCATTGCGAGACGCCTTGAAAAATGCTAGTGATAGATGTATGCGAAGATGGAGGGCGTTAGGTAGGTGAGGAGAAGGCGGTGAGAGAGTGAGAGAGGGATCGATGTGCCTGAGGTGAACTGGAAGTACTAGTTCCCAAGGTTGCCGGCATTGTACGTGTCATTCCGAGGCAAGCGTAGGGGAGGAAGGAGCTATCACCGAAGCTCGCGTTGGATGCAACCCGAAAGACCCTGAAACAACAAAAAATCCACGTATCGAGCGCAGATTCTGCGTAGAATGGCTAATGTATGCCGTTCGCTGGGTATCACATTCTATCTATAGAACCTACTTCATTTTTGTTTACTCTTCGCCTTTACACGAGCAGCCAGCTTCTTGATGTCGTCCTCGCCGTCTGCAGCATCTTGCTTAGATTTCTTCGTCTCTCGTCGATGATCTGGCTCGTCTTCGTCCTTGCCTTGCTTTCGCTTCTTGCGGCCCTCTTCTAGCAGCGCCTTCATAGCAGACGTCTCTTTGAACCTTGGGTTTGTAGGATCGATGGCAAACTCATGGCTCTCGTATAGCTTGGCGAAACGGGGATCAGTGGTATCGATCTGGAACTTGTCCTCTACGATGGGAGCGTTCTTCTTCGCTTTCTTGCCCTTCTTCTTAGCCTTCTCCGACTTGACAATCTCGTTCATGTCGAAGTGACGCAGCTTCGAATCGTCTTCGTCTGCCATAAGAAGTTCCAGGTTCGCTCGCTCAGCTGCCGCAGCCTGGTCCTTTTCCTCTTGTTCAGCCTTCTTCTTGGCCTTCTCAGACTTCTTCGACTTGGGCTTGGAGGCTTTCGCAGCTTCTTCGGGATCGGAAGCGAAGAAAGGATCGTTGAACGGATCGTCATCGTCCGCAGCCGCTGGCGCATCGGCCTCCTGCTCGACTGGTGCGTCGGGATCGCGTCCAGCCTTCTTGGCTTCCCACCTCTCTTTACGTTTCGCCTTCCTTTCTTTCTCCTTTCGAACGTATCTCTCCATTGTAGTCTCTTGCAGTGGGATGTCATTTTCGAACACGTCACCGTTGCCAGCTCCGCTAGAAAGGCCTCCCGTGAAAGTGATCTGCATCTCGCTATCCGGCTTTGGGAAGTCGCGATCCCGTTTCGCAGACGCCTTTTTCTTCGTTTTCGAAGATTTGCCGGGTGCCTCCAGTCCCAGAGCCGCCCTGAGATTTGCGGCTTTGTCCATCTTAGCTGCTTCTTCTTCATCCTCGGACGACGACTGGTCAGAGCCCAAATATGCTTGCAGTTCGTTCTCGTCAATCTCCTTGCGTGAGAAAGCACGCTTTTGTACCTCCTTCCGTGTCGCATCATCGGCATCCCAGGTCAGCTTGACCTTTGAGTGTGTGAGCGCATCCGTAGAGAACTCATTAGGCTTGTAACCGTCCGGCAGCTTTGCGCATTCGTCATGGGGATCTTGATCGAAGGTTGTGCCGTCGGGGACAAATCGCAGGTCGAAGAAGTTTGCGCTCGTCAGGTACTCGCGGCCATCAAGGTTGTCGTAGATGGACTTTGCGACGTTCGCGGAAGAGCATGTGATGACGGCATAGTAGTAGCGTAACCGGTCAAGCTGGTAGGCTCGCAACTTGGTGGAGTCGAACTCTTCGCCAGTCTCATCCCCTTGTAACTCTTCCCCGTTTTGTTCCTCGTCGTCCACCTCAGAAGCGTCGGAGTCGTTGTCGAGCGCGCTGATGTTGTTCTTGTCCTTGTTGGACGTTGAAGCGAAGATCTCACGAGGGGGTCCTTCGATTTCTTCTCGTTGTAGGCGCTCCATGCCGAACTCGCTAGGGTATATGACGACGTTGAGAATGCGTCCATCAGCCGGGACGAAGGAGTTTGCTACGGCCATGATGTCGGTGGCCCGTATGTTATCCCAGTCCATGTTGACAGCAGCCAGACGTGCCGAGATGTCGCCCGTTGGGACTTCGTTGTCGTCACCGGCAAGCTCGGTCTGCTCCTCCAGCTCAGCCTCATCCTCTTCGTCGCTCGAGCTTTCGTCGGATGAAGACTCTAGTCCACCGTCTCGGATAGGGTCGAAGCCTTGCTGCTCCACCCTCTGCATCTCCTTCTTGACCGCCTTGTCTCGCTTCTTGTCGGCCGGACGTAATAGCTCGGGCTCGTCCTCCGCTTCATCTTCGTCTTCGTCGTCTTTGTCGTCGCTGTCGGCGTCGTATAGCCGGTCAATGGCCTTTTTGCCAGCCTTCTTGTCCACCTTGCGGCCATATTTGTCGACCGTGGCCTTGTTGTAGAAGTCTGGGTCGCTTTTCAACCGCGAAAATCGTGGGTCAAGCTTGGTCCTGGTGTGCTTCTTCGAGGGGAGTCTGAATTTGGGGTCGGTTTCGAAATTTGCGAATCGCGAGTCGTCTAGATAAGTTTTAGCGCATCGCTCAGCTGTCGCGTGAGTTGCCACCTACCCTTGGGCGCGCTGACGTTTGCACCCTTTACGGGTATCGTCTGTCGCTTGGGGAGAGGCATGGTGGGATGCGTGTGTTGGTGTAAGCGGTGGGCAGTCGCGCGGCGCGGAATTGCAGCTGTGGAACTCGAACTTTTTCTGCCGGGCGGTGGCGGATCGGCGGCGAAGAGCGTGCATTGGATACCGCCGCGGAGGTCAGCGCACGCACGGGCAGGGATTCGGCAGCCCGATCTGGGGAAGCTTTAGCTGCGTCACCCTCGAGAGGGGAAATACATCACACGACTGTTCCGGAAACCTCTCCGCTATCCCAACAACTTCTCCGCGTTCTGAGGAAGCTGACATTGTACACGGATTTCAACATTCACCTCTAGCTGAACATATCTCAGATACACCACCATGTCTCAACTCTCCAGGCTTCTCACGTAAGTTGACCGCTGATTGAGAGCTATCTAGCTTCAGCTTGTACCTAGCGAGATAGCTGATGCTGACCCTGGCTTGCAGTCCTCGCAACATGACATTGTTCACTCTGGCTTCGCTCGGCAGCGGATACTTTGTTGTCAAGTCAAAGACACTCGCCGACAGGCAGAGAGCCCGAGTCGATGGAGACTACACCGTCACGGTCGACAGGTCAGGTACGATTTGTCAATTGCACTGAAATGATGCAGCATGGCTCCGAAACACATAGTTAGCAAAACATACATTGCGCTGACTGCAGACTATAGGTGGCGGCATCTGAGCACGTCAGGAATGACCATCGAACGAAGCGATACAGTTTCTTCCTTTGCACGAACGGCGTTCACTACATTTGCAGCGTTTCAAGCTCGGCGTACTTCTTGACCACGTCGAATACCAACAAAGGGCATAATGCGTATAGATACGACACTCATTCGAATGCTTGTGGATTATCAACAAAGCGAAAACAACAGAATTTCCCACTATTCTCTGTTCGACAAGATGCATGCATCGCGGTGCTTCCATGATGTCCCCGCCTTTTATACGACTACTGCTATGCTTTTTTCGAGTGCGCGACCCTAACAATGGCATGCGATACGAAGAACAGGCTTGAAATGCTCCGAAATAAAATCCTATGCGCCGAACATTAGTTTCAAGTTCTCTCGTACCCGTCGGGCGACCCGCATCCGTTGGTAATTACGATTGGCCCACCTGCCCGATGCTAAATATAACCCACTCAGCCTCAATCGAGAATACCCTGAACACGACAACAGAGATGAAAATAGTATGACGTCCTTTCGTACCTTCGGAGCGCCAAAGATCCGCCACTGAGCATATCCACCTTCAATCTGTCAAATGTTAACCGCTTCCTTGTTGGGCCCACTGCTGGCTCAGCCTTTGCGGAAGTTGTTGTCAGCCGTCTTTCTGAATCCAGCCAATGAGGCCAGACTCCATCAGCATTGATCATGAGGTTTCTCGAATACGGGATCAGGACAGCCGTCCAGGCTTATGTCACCGCTTTTACTTATAGAAAGACTTTCCATCCGTGCGCCAGAATGGTGGAGCTGCGAATAGATATCGTAGGCCCTTTCGCCTGACGGGAATCTCACTCAACCACTCCTAAGTTCTCTTTGTGCAGCTTCATACACCTGCTGACGGTTATCCGCTCTCACATCTACTCGTGCGATCACACATCGATGTCTTGCTGATATACTTACCACTCTTGATCCGAACGCGCAACACAATTGTCAACATGGGTTATCACGATGTCGCTGGGCATGAAAGACAAAAGCCTAGGCAAAAGAACGAGATGCCAGCACCATGTCAATCGAATATGTTGGCGGCAGCAAGTCATGTCCGCAGACTATTCGAGAGCAAGAAGTTCACTTATGCTGTCATGGGTGAGCTTGCTTTACTTTGCTTAGGACATAGGTGTGAGGTACGGAATATCTTTATTGCGTACGACGACAAAGACTGCAATCGGATCAAGAAGAAACTAGAGGGGGATCGGCGGTAGGTGATATTTACTTCCCTCGGAGATGACAGGCTGACAGCGACAGTATACAACTGCCAGAGGGCCTAAGTCCTTTGTCTCCCTCCAAGATACTAGTACAAACCGGACCTAGCTTCTTAGATACCGCATGTACAAATCCAGCGATAATAGAAGTGACTCTAGTACCATCTGGTCAGTCAAACCTGAGCCCGTTGTGGCATCCTGCTAATCGTGCGCAGGCTCATACGAGACACCGCCCAGCGGGAACCTTGCGAATAACCTCGTACTATTGAGCCTCCGAGCCGATGGGGTGTTGAAAACATTTTACGCGTTGAACATGCTATATCTCGTCAGAACACTGCTCCACTTCTGTCAGATTCGCAGTCTAGCCTGGGAACCACGGGAGGGTGTTTTGTTCCTATGCCAACTCTACAGGACCCAAGTAGAGGCGATCCGCTGTCACTTGCAACCGAAAATCGTTGAAGAAAACTTCTTGCGTACAGCCTTCCTCAACAAGCTTCCCGTTCAAGAGCAACGCAAATGCTACCAAACATTGCTGGCGCAGGAGCCTCCATCACTCAAGACGTTAGCCCCTTCGCAACCCGACGTAACCCACCCTCGATCGCATTCCGCTTCTGGAGTTACAAGGTCTCAGGGAATTGAGCGCGCCTCATTACCAGACTTTCTATGTCCACCGCAATCACAGAACGTCAAGTCATCACATGTGCATTCGGCACAGACGACCCCAAAACTTGTACAACCTACGCAGACATCTCCACAAACAACGTTTGCGTCAAAAGACTCAGCATCCAGATATCGCGTAGTCAGTGCTCCAAATAGCAGACGCACCAGTCCTACAGACCCTCGGTTTACGGCGAACCCACAAGCTCAGGCATCCAGTAATAAGCAGCTCAAGCTACAAATCCCTCTATCTTCCCAGCACCAACGCGCGTTCTCTCATTCAATCACCAACATCGATCCACTCGCGGTACATCAAGTAGGACAGCAGTGCATCAAATCGCGACCTGTCTCTACAGGTACCCGCATAGCCCAGCCTCCAACGAAACATGCGCCCATGGTCCCAAACCCGCCGATGCCCGGTACTAGTTCCAGATATCAGATTCCGCGCAAGAACCCTCCACAAAACTCAAATGTCCCCATGCCAGAGCAACGGTCGAGCAGACTTCATGTGGTGAATCCTGATGGCGAAGCACCATCATGCGACAAGTCGCAAAGAGAGACGCAAAAACTGCATCTTGTGGGATCCGAAGGGGTACATCAGTCACCGCTTACTTCACGCAGGGCATCAACAGCCATCAACAAAACCCATACGGCATCGAATACTTCGCTTCCAGCCTTCGAAGTCAACGGAACACCACCACCCAACGACATCCTCGCGGAGCTCTCAGCAAACATCGATGCCGCGCTTCAAGTTAGCAATCACCCGTGCACCTCTCCTCCACCGGCGACAATACAACCACAGGAGATGAACAGGCCGTTGGTGCCGCGCGCACACTCTGCTCCACTCAATACGTTGCCAGCAAGTCTTTCAATCGGCAACGCATCTCACCGTCACTCCACCACGCCACAGACTTCTACCCCAGCCGGTTCCATAACGCGCACGAACGCATTAAGATACTCACAACAACAACCTTCAGCACCCAGTCTTGCGTCAATCATCAGCGACGGGCTTGCATCGCCGACTCTTACGCCAGCACCTTTATCATTCTACAAAGCATATCAGCCATCATCTGCGCCTGCATCACCACCGAATTTGGACATGTCACCGCTGGATAGCGCGTGTGCTGAATATAATTCTCAGTTCGCCAACTTCGGTCAGGTAAAGGATGTAGATGGTATGGGACATTACTTTGCCACGCATAACCACAGCAAGAGTTTCGACTCGAGCCAGTTAGCCATGGAGTATCGGGCGGCATTGCCAGAATTCGAGGATGGGTATGGAGGCAGGTAGAAAGAATATCTTCATGTTGATACATGTGAGGGGAGCGATCAACAGCGTCATTGTACCATGATAATCATCCTCAATTACGACACTGCCCAGTGATACCACAGAGGGGGGTATATGTCATATTAAACAGCATTTCCAATCACATTCCTCCGCCTCCATGCATGTGACGAGAACCGTATTTACAATGGTACATCCTCCATCATCTGCATAGCGCCCTCCCTCCCAACTGTAATAATGACATCACCCAGCGTCTTCGTCGAGAAGCCCGCTTCCGAGTATCGGAAGTAGTAGTCCCATTTCCTCTTGAAAATCTCCGCGCCTTCATTGTCCATTCCCTCCTTAGCCTTCTCCTTGATAAGCTGCAGCTTGATCTTGCTCTCCCAGTTGTCCAAGAATTCTTCACGCCATAACCGCAGCGCCTTCGCGTAGTGAGGACCGATGTTTTCTATGCTGTCGACGACGAGCGAGCCGCCTGAAGCGGTTTGTATGCTGGCGACAAGTTCGGAAACGGCGGGCAGATGGCCACCGGGGAAAATGTATCGGCGGATGAAGTCGTCGGATTTGGCGTACGCTTCGTAGCGCGCATCGGGCATCGTTATGCATTGGAAGCATGCTACACCGCCCTCCTTCTTGAGAAGCTTGTCTATGCACTTGAAGTAAGTAACCAGATATTCCTTGCCCACAGCTTCCAGCATCTCGATCGATACGGCCTTGTCAAAGGGCCCTGTTTCTGGCACCTCGAGACTTCGGTAATCGCATAGAAGCACTGTGATCTTGTCCGACATGCCAGCTTCTCGTATCCGCTCTTCTGCCAGCTCTTTTTGCTCAATCGAGAGGGTGAGAGATGTGACCCTGCAGCCTGTCCGTTGTACAGCACGCATGGCGAAGCTACCCCACCCTGTGCCGATCTCCAAAACGTGATCTGTCCCCTTGATGTGTGTGTTATCGATGAAGCGATCGAGCTTTCGCATTTGTGCGTCGTAGAGGCTTTCGCTTGCGGATTTCGGGTTCGATTTCGGTAGCCATATCGGGCACGAGTAGGTCATGTCTTGGGAGAGGAAGGCGGCGAACATTTCGTTGGAGATGTCGTAATGTGCGGAGATGTTGAGGCGCGCGTTTTTGAGGTTGTTGCTGCCTCGTACCAAGCCGGCGAGGCCAGAGGAAATGGCGGAGGTGAAAGTTGAGCCATTGGAGAGGTAATTACGGTTCAGGATGAAGAGCTATAAATGTAAGCTGGATGCGTGTAACCGAGCTCAGTCCCTGCAGCAGCTTACCTCGAAGAATTTCGTCAGGTCCGGAGTTGTGAATTCTCCCAGCATATAGCTTTCTGCGAAACCCTGGCACCTATCAGCGCGAGCTCTTTCGGATGGTTATGAGTGTTTTGGGGCGCACCATGTCCGCAAACAGTGCCAATCGCACCCAGAACTTCTCGTCGAGCACGTTGAGGAAAGCGATTGGGAGTCCTTCTTTGTCAGATCCAAACGCCGCAGTAGCCTTGCTCGAGCCGCCCTCAAACAACACCAGCTTGCCATGCTTTAGGTTCTGAAATTGCGAAAGAGTGCCATTTTTGCATAGATTCACCAGTGGTCCCCAGGCTTGCGATGTGACTGGACTAAGTAGTGAAGACACAGCTCCCGTCACAGAGCTTATAATCGCCATACTTCAAGATGTGTGCGATTCGCGCAAGCCTTGAAGGTTCAATTGGAGGGTCCTCGAGGGCAAAGTAGGGGTACTGGACAATTCCTAGTCGGGAGAAGCGTGGCTTCAACGCGATTCGCGGGATGAGGGTGTCTCAAACGACTGAGCTTGGTCACACGATAGGAAGCTGCAGAGTGGGCTGGCGGTGGAGGGAAATTAGTGCGTCAATCGTCCAAAAGCAATGCGACAATGGTATCGTGAACGCGCCTGGAAGCAAAACTGAGAAGAAAGTCGAGTAACGGAAGCTGTTCGGCTAGTACATGGCGCCAGAGTGCATTTGAGAGTCCAGGTAGCTCGCCGTCATATCGCCGGAACGGCCGAAAGCCGACACGGTGCGTCCGGTTGCGCCGTTTCGAAGCCATGCGTGTTGCATTCTGTCTGAGGTGCAGTATCGGGCGAGGAAACCTTGCCAATTCGAGTGATCTATGACGCCGTCGATCCGCCTTAAAATCGCGAACGGCGTAAGATCAATGTAATCCTTACATGCTCGCGGAGTTCGAGGCCATCCGAATGGCAGCCGGTGCAATACGCCGTCGTATTCATATCCGTTCCTGGCATCTGGCTGCTAGTACGTGTGCTCAGGTAGTGGTGGAATAGAACGTTGGTGGGTGAAGTACAGCCGCGGTGCAGGGTCCATAGAAATGTTCCGCCGGCATGCGTGAGAGGGGCAAGTTATGCAGGGGCACAACTCATCACGCGTCTCAGCCTTGCAATCGCAGGTCTACTTCGAGTCAAGACGGCCAGCGATAACAGGTCGTATCTTCTGGAGCTCTCCATGAGCGCTGCGGGCCTTAGAACTCTGTATCGTAGGCAGCACCTGACCGATCGGTGAATCTACAGCCACGGCGGCCGCGGGCTCCGAGCTGCACTAGAGGGGACCTGGAAGGCGTGAACTTGGCGACGGCAGACTGTTGTGATGACCGGAATTGAGTAATGGAGGGAAGACGGATGGGGAGCTCATTATATCAAGCCAAGACCGTGTGCTTGCCTGCGGTTCCGTCGTCATTGTGAGCTCGTGAGCACCCCATCAGAGGGTGGTCCGTGCTCCGCGGAGACACGCTACGCCGCGTCGACGCGTGCTCCGTAGACCACCGTTCACATGCTGCACTCCGGCATACTTCCATACAATCAAATTAGGATTCGCTGAAAACTTGAGAGATTACTTTTGAGTTCACCATACACGGAAACGTCGACGTCAAAAAGCCATCAACATGCTGTCGATTCAATCCTCCAAACCTCAAAAATGCACACCAAATCTGCTCCCCGCGCGGATAAACCACAATGGACCCATCAACGATGCGGAACGATACTGGAAGCCAGAAACAGATGACAAAGGTAACCCTCAAACCTCATATTGGCGGCATGAACACTAGATCTGACATCCATCTAGGAAAGCGACACGCATACTTCCGCGGTCGACACCTCCACGGCACGACGCTTCCTCTTCCTCAGAACTACACCGGCGCCATCCTACATGTGACCGATAAGCAATTACCGCAAACGCAGACACAACAGCAGCCTGCAGACGAGGACGACGAAGACGCTGAGGTGGAAGAGAGCATGCCCGTGGAGGTCAAGATAGCGGAACAAGTAGGAGAGTTCGACGAGGTCATAATATGGGGTCATGGTGGCGAGGTGGATGGAAGTGGAGACGCCTTGGTTAGAGGAATGAACGAATGGGTCGGGTTTGCAGAAAGCATGCATGTTGACGAGGAAGAGGAAGATGGGGATACAAAACCGGAGAAAAAGAGCGCCTAGGACAATGTCTTGGAGTTGTAAAGGTCATATCGGATTGGGAAGATAGTATGGTAGGATGGCGTTGGATAAAGATACCCACAATGCCAGAAGGTTCAGGTCGAATTTGCTCACACGTTCGCCTCAGGTCCCCGTGAGATCCGAAGCTGTTTTCCCAGCCTACGCGCCTGGACGATCCCCATAACTGGCTCCCCAATTCGCCCAACGAAGTTCTGTATCGTCTCGCGTCCAATCCGAGCCCTGTTTTGCACCGCGACCGCATCATTCACGTATCTTGTCCACAGAGACATGCACAGCAACATCCCACATGACAAAGACATCATGCAGCGACCTGATGTCCCGCAACGTCGCCGGCGCATTCACGTCAGCCGCATTCGCAATCTCTTCACGTCGCCTGTCCAATATCCAGAAACGAAGCCGGCCCATGTGCGGCCTTGCGTATTTGTTCCACATCTTGTTGACCCCCTCGGCCAGCACATTGAGCCTTTGCTTCTCTTCGACCGGGTTGGTATTGGCGCTGGGTTGTAAGTGTACGTTGACGTAGTTGGACCAGACACGTTGGTATCCGAGCGTCATATACTGCGTGTCTGAGTCGGTGTGGCCACCCCCGGTAGCCTTCTAGGCGAGATGGAAGGTTACTAGGACTAGGAATGGGGTCGTGCCGAAGAGACGTGCGTGGAGGGCCGTGAGTGCATGGGAAAGCTCTCGCTTTTGGTATCTGCTGAGGAAGTGAACGTGGTGGATTTCGTAGTGTGGCATCGCGGAGTCTGGTTCGCGTTGATACGTAGAGGCAATCGTGGCAGCGGTCGAAAAACAGGTAAGAAGGCGGCACGCGACCTTCGTTCTAGTAAACCAAGGATGGTGAGAATTTCGGGTGTACGGCGGCTAGGCGAATGAACCTCCGCGTGTTAGGATGATGATGGGGTTAAGAACCCATAGGTAGAAGGTTGATACCTAGTGTTTTGGTAACGGCAATCCGACGTATGATCTGTCGTTCGATCTCCATACCAGGCTCGTTTCCTGCTCGTGGAAGGTATCGTTGCAGTCGCCATGGTGTTGTCCCGTCACTCTTTCCCGTAATCTTCACTCACGCCTTCCCAGCTGTTAGACCCACCCATCCTGTGCACCACCGACCTACGCGTCTTCTTCCCACCAAAAATCATCATGGAGCTTCAATATCTGACCTAGCTAGACACGCATGTCGGACTCTCTTTACCAATTCGTCAGGTCAGGGTTCTTGACGGTTCGGCTCAATGCGCCCCGCTCCTCAGCGATTAACCGCGCGGCGGACTCAGATCTGGGTTCAAAACATCCCACGTGCTCGCCACAACGTTGCGCAAACCCAACGATGGGCCGACAGAACGACTGTGGGTCAGGTACAGGCCGGCACATCATTTTTCGGTACTTGACGGGCGGGAACGGTCGATCTCAGGATCTATAGCAAGGGAGGGGTGAAGTAGAGCCGAATGCATGGGGCTCTCATTTTACACATGGTAGCTGTTACGGTAGACTTCTACTCAATCATGACCCTTCACACGAATACGCAACGCAATGTAAGTTTGCATTCATATGCATCCTCAGTACAACGTGCCGCAACCTCATAATTTCGACTCCCCGTCACCTTTCATGCCAGTGTCTGAGAAGTCTACGAAGCTCTCCTCGCCGCTGAAATGCCTGTCATCATCGCTCGTTAGCCACTTGCCGTGACGTAAGGTTACGGGGTCATCGGGAGGTGCTCGTCAATTCGGGTGTGTGGGAGCTGAATGTTGAGAAGCGTCGACGCGATACCCCAACCGTGTGTTGTAGGTTCTGACCTTGGCCAGTCTTTCCTGTGATAGGGAAAGAACCTGGATGTTATAAGGACGCAGCACGAGATAAAACGACAAAGAAACAGCATTGCACTTACCAGCCTCTCTCCGCACCACCCGAGAGGAAGGATGTTTCGGAGTTTAGTTCGCAAGTCCAGTTTCCTGCGACGCCCTTCTCTTGGTCGGCCGATCTTCTTACGTACTTTGACAGGCCAGCAGTGAAGCACTGGAAATCATCTTCATCAGGGTTTTCTGGCATCTGTCCAGTGAGTACCCGACCGGCTGCTATCATAGTCGCGGCATGAGTGCACAGCAACACAGTCTTTGGCTGTTCGGGGTCGTTGTCTAGAGTTGTGACAATGTGATCAAGTGCGTTCCTGACACGCTCATGGAGCTCAACGATCATCTCGCCGTTGGACCCTGGCATATGTACAGATGCATACTCATCGTCAAGGTTCTGGAAGTGAGGTGTCAGGAGCTCGAGGTGCGGCGGAGTAGGATGTTCGAAATGTGCACGTCCAAAGAACTCGCTATTACGCACTCGTCAGCACAGTACCTACCTCTGTGTCACTCAGTATGCACGAACCCAATACCGCGATCGATCCGTATCCTTCCTTTTGCCTTGCCCTCCTTGAATAGCTTATCACTAAACGGCTTGAGCGTCTGCAGACACCTGTAGAAGGGGCTAGAATAGATTCTGTCCACTGGCGGTTCGATCTTGCTCAGGTACTCGGCTAACTCCTTGCTCTGCTCCACCCCTTTCGACGTAAGAGGCGGATCAGTGGGGATTCCGGTCGGGGTCGCCATGGATGCGGTGTAGATACCCGTTTGGGGGTCTACGGACCAGTTGGCGCGAAACTAGATACCCCGGAGGACACGTTAGAAGAATGCTATGCTAGGGGAAAGATCTGCATGTGCGAGTGTGAAGGGTGGCGTTTCATGTGATACACGCGAAGGCGTAGGCAAGCGACATGTTTGCGGAGGTGATGCAAGGACGGAGATGGCTCAGAAGTAGCTGCCTGAAACGGAAGAGTTCCCTCGACTACAGTGTAAAAGCATCGGAGGGCGTGAAGTGCGGTGACGGAGGTTAGCTTAATACGTACCGCGTGCCGGACGATGTAGATGACCTCTATCATGGTTCCGTTGTCTTGTCACTCCGAGAGAGTTTGTGTACCGTAGAAGTTTATTTGATCGTGCGCTGTGCTTGCCGTTGGGAGTACGAGATGGTTCTGGGATGAAGGGGGTAGGCGCTCGCAAGTTACCTCGGTAACTTTACCTTTTCGGGACGCTTTTCGAGGTCTCAACGTTGGTGATTAGAAAATTGGTACGCTGTGTCGAGTGCAAATGGAGGGACTTTACAGATGCTGTTGGTATTTGGCTGCATCTAGCGGCTACAGTCTGGGCTTTGTAGTACTACTGCACGTTTGACAGTCGCATGGAGATTCACAATACCTAGGTACTGCTTCCGTGCAACAAACCTCAAGGGCTCGTTATACCCAGGTAAACAAATATCCGTCAACTTAGACAATCACCCAGCACGTGCCGCAAACTCTCGCAAATTCAGCAAAGGTCATCGATATCGAGATTTCCGGCGTCCGACAATGAGCCACTCACGCAGCATTCCTATCATCGGTCAGGCCCCCACGCTCGAGCCGTGCCTAAGCGCTTCCAGCATTGACATGCGCTTACGCGAACTTCACATGCGCATGCACATGCGACAGAACTGCAGGACCTCGTACTTTTGCAGTCGTAGCTCAGGAACGAGCCAGCATCTAAACAACGCGCACCCTATGTCGCTACTCCTTACGGTATGCGCAAGCGCAGCGCAGGGGCACTTTGCATGTGCGCGTCGCTCGTTGGTGGTATGCTGATGCGCAAGCCACGTCAATGCAACATTGGAACGGTTGTAACGTGTTTTGGCCGGGGTGTTTGGAATAGACTCAAATCCTGCAGGAATACGAAGGACCTGGCGGACGGAACACCGCTATAGTGAACGATAGTGGTGACGGGTTGGTCCTTATCCTTGCTGTTCATCTGCGCTTCCGAGTATCTCCACAGTACAGCGGGCTTCCGTGTTCACATGCTGTTTATACCCGCGACTAGCGAGATGTTTCCTGGGGCCAGAAGCGCTGTCACGATAGCGGCAGAGAAAGCGATGATTGTGGTACATGGACTAAACTCCTTCCCAGGTGACCAGGTTACGCCTGGGCGGGGTTACAGGTGTCTCGGTATCATGTAGCCTGCTTGTAGAGGGTGTGCGAGGTGGATACACCATCGCAAAGCTGCATCGAAATGAAACCGGGAAGATTCTCGCACTTGTGTAGTCGAGCTGTGGCAGTCGGTCACATCCGGTCGCGATGATCCAGTTCTTCGGCCGCTATCAGCGATGGTTACGATCGATCGCATCGCCCAGTGCTTGCCTGAGCAAGCAAGCACCTGCCTTCTTGAATCGCATTCGAAACCCTAGAGGGCTTGATCCTGGCGACGATGCTGCAAGCCATCGGTGATCACCAGACGGATACAATGGTTTATTACCGCAGTGCCATCCAAGGTCTGCCTTGAAACGTCCAAGGGTAGCAACAATGTAGCGCTGGCTTGACTCGGAGCAAATACGTCGAGAGCCTGGGGATAATCAGCGTAAAGTTCGACTACTGGACAAAACTAGCGGCAATCCGTCTCCATCAGGTTGGATTCCAGGGTTCATTTGGTAAGAACGCGTCTGTGCGAGCAGCTGGTACGCTTCCAAGCTTCTGCCAGAAGGATAGAACTCCGGCCAGTCCCGACGTGCCGTAGAGACACCGCTTGTCGGGACCGGGACGGGATCCTTGAAACTTGTATTGAATGTTCATGCGTACTGTCCAGGAAGCATATGTGAATGAACTCCACAGCCACGGAAGAGTATTGCAGCGTACACTTAGGTTTCTAAGGGTGCTGGGACTGGATCCCACAGCTACGTAAAAAACCAGTGACGCACTGTCGTAGTCAAGATCAAAGCCCCGGACTCCACCATGAGACAGCTGGGATTCGAGATGACTTCCTCCACGATTCAGGAAGTGGTCGCGTCACTGCTGCCCAAGAATCTGACAGCCGCCGGCCCAAGCGTTGCAATCACATAGTACTGACGGCGCAACGAAGACGGGATGGCAGTGAAGTACCAGACCGAATTGAGCAAGACCGGGCCAGACGCCATCATAGCTAAGTGATTAGTACATGGCACATGCTCTCAGTTTTCTCGGCGTGCATCAGTGGGAGGGGTACTACATGTCAGGGGTCATGTTGGTATCGTGTAAAGATCAAAAGATGCCGTAGACCGATGTAACGCAACAGTTGTTCATGGCCGGGCGGCCCCGAAGGACAAATGCGCGGACTTTCCAGCAGATGCGCATGTACTGTTGAGCGTAGGAATTTTTCTTGCGCGGCCAATCAACACCAAGCCTGCGCGAATTAATGAACGGCTCAGCGCTAAGCCCTGCAGCTGCAGGCAGACGAAGCTAAAGCGCTTCTAGAAGCTCGTGCTGGCATCCTGTAGCGTTTCCGTTACTGACAGAATCAAGGTCCATGAAGCTGGTGGTTGATGTCATTCAATACCTATGCGCCATCATGGCACTGCATGTCAGTGTTCCTTCGTTTGCTTTCACGTGTTACCATTGATTGGGTAGCCGATTCTCACGTGTGTAGTGCATTGGCTATCGCTTCGTCACATGCGCGTCCTGCTAGTCTGAAGGGCGGCTGTGACAGTGCGCATGGAAGACGCATGGATGGCTGATCTCGAGTTGCAGCATGATCGACGCCCGGATGCATGTATGTGGGGGCGTCTCTCATACCTTAACAGCTTCTTGAACCCACTACGGCCAATTGACCCACATCTAGTAAACACGAGGCTATGATGAACACAGATCCAAAGCGGAGTGGTAGCTTCGAGATGTCGCCACAAAAGCAAACATCCCGCACGGGTATCTAGGGGATTGACGTGGGATAAACAGGGCGATTTTATGCACTTCGCAAAGTGTTCGCCGATCATCCTCATAGACCCCATGCCGTTGATGCCGATGGTTTCGTTGCAGCTTACTATCGGAGACAGCCAGGTTCCGATAATAGGTATCATGGCAGCCGCTACACTGTATTTGCAGAACAAGGAAGAAGCAAATAGACAGCCGCGCAGGAGTCGCCTTATTAGGTGGGCATCTGACTGGGGCGCCACACGAAATCATGCCAATGTAGTGAGCACCATGGTGGAATAGTAGCCGATAGCAACGGGGATGGGAGTGGTCGATGGGGATTGAGAGCAGACGGATGAGTGACGTAACAGAGGAATTAAAGACTAAATTATATGGCGTATTAAGAGCGAGCGGTCTTGGGGCGCGATTGTAATACCAGTCGACTATTGGGGATTCCAAACGTCGACGAGAATATGCGCGCTATTTTTGCATGGTGCTGTGTAAAGGATATTCATCAGCGCCCGCCGCGTGTTGGCGCGTTGAAGTCTTCCCAGTCTTTCCTAGCTTCTTCTCAGTGACAAAGACACGCAACGCGATGAGGTACCTGACAATCAAGAAGATGATAATTGCGGCGACCAGAATACCCACTATGTACGCTCCGACTAGCCCAGAAGAATTCTTTTGAAGGTCAAGGAAGGGGTACACATAAAAGCCTTGGGTCGCATGCGTGAGGTAGGCCAGGCCAAGATAAAGAGCCAATAAGAGGATAATTGGAATCAGGTCGAACCAGGGTAGTCGCTCAGTTCGGGGGACAACTATCTCGAAAAGGGCGTACGCTGAGTTCAGAGCATGCTGTGACGTGTTTGACCAGAGAGCGAAGGTGGTGGGGAATTGACCCGCAAGAAGTGTCCAGTAAACAACTGTTGTACGTTAGTTCAGCGTGCTCAGACAATTAATGCTGCCAGCTCGCCAAAAGTGATGTTGCAGGGAACACGAGATGGCCTCGAGGTACTCCGGCGCGACTATGGCAAAACGTGTTATGTAAGTTGACTTACTGGTCACTATCCACGGATAGACTACAATGGTAGAGTAAAACATGCTGTGCGCCACCTGTAGCGCTTTGGGCCATCGTGCCAAAAACGAAGTTCCAGTAAACCAGTAACTGCCGGTATGCACAGCGGCAAAGGCATAGTAAAAGGCGAGACCCCAATACGTCAGAACCGTGAAGAAAGAGAAGGATTGCTGCGAAGCGTCGGACCTGCCGTGGGTACCATTCCAGCCAAAGATGAAAAAGAGCGTGGTAAATGCGTAAATGGCCAATAGCGCGCGAATAGCGAAGAGCGCGGCTGGTGGGAGAATCCACGAGGTTACAAACCGCGTGGGATCAAAAAGGCCGGCGTACGGTGCCGTTATTCGTTGACCAATAGCCATGCTGGGGTTGTTGATTGGGATCCTTGTCGAGTGCCACCAGACTGGTTGTCGTGTCCTCGGAACGTTTCCGACGCGGTGGAATTTGGGTCGTGGGTAGTGCGCGATAGATGACGCGAGATAATTCGCGATGGAGATGATGCGACGTGGTGTTGTGAGACGGCTGCAAAACTCGTTCACCCCCAATTTCCGAGGCTGAAGCTGAAAAGGGCAGTCACCGAGCTGAGGGAAACGCGCTAGTAATCGACGCTATATTGTGTTCGGACTAGCTTCGGTGGGCGAAAGAACTGACAGGATCGGCCGCGTCTTCGTAACATTACCGCTCTATCCCGGTCTACCATCACGTCTGTGGGCCCGTCCGCTTCAGACTCCCACGCTTGTAACCCCGGCAGCAGAGGCGAGGCACACTCCCACTTACACCCTTACGCTCCCTACGCAGGGTGGCCAGGATGAGGCCTGCAGCGCGCTTGGGCACAGGTGGCTTGCTCGTCCCTCTGCCAATGCCTTCTTCTTTAAGACTACGGGATGCCATCTGTTTGGAATGATACTACTCAGGATGATCACCCAACTGAAAAGCCATCTTCCCAACCCGTTCAGTATCCATCACTATTCGCCCGCTTTGCTTCGTATCAAACATCACCATGAGTGACAACAGCAGAATATCTGTACGTCTGAATCCATCACCTCCTAAGCACTCCGCTAACAGCTCATAACAGAAGGCACAGAATCTTGCTAGGATCAGGGACAACCAACGTGAGTGGGTTCCTTGCACGACGACTCATCGTCAGCTGTCTACTGTCCACCCATGAAGAGTGGCGATAGCTTGCAGCCTGCAAACCATCCAGACGTCTTTGTGTAAGCATTCGATTTACCGAGGATGTTCGCTAACGGTACTCGTTTCAGGCCGATCACGCGCCCGCCGGAAGGAGTATCTGCATGAGCTCGAGGCCAAACTACGCAGCTATGAACAGATAGGCATCGAGGCCTCTTCGGAAATCCAGTATGCTGCCAGGAAAGTACTAGAAGAGAACCGAAAACTCAGGTCGCTTCTTCATGGAAGAGGAGTCTCTGAAGCGGAGATTATCGCTGCACTTGAATCGACGTCCGATCGACACTATAAGCACACCTCTGCCGCCACCAGGCTGCACGCCATGCTTGAGTCAAGGGTCAACACCAACACGGCCTCTTCGACCAGTTCGCCTTTACCTTCATATACCAGGGCCGATTCGTTATCTCAACACGTCCCATCAGTGCCGCATGCTACTATCCCATCTGCACGGCCGACAGCACTCAGTTGCAACGATTCGCCGAGTCCGAGATCCGTGGTATCAAGTATGGGCACACCACCACCAGCTTCATACCCAGCGATGCACTATACTACTCCAATGACTCCATCAGCTGTTCAGATCAAGTCAGAGCATGTTCAATACGACTACCCTTACGAGCAGACATATAGTAGCGCTTGGGCCTACTCGAGCGACTGTAACTACACTGCAGAACCGACCTCATATTACAACAACACCTCATCTTGTGTTGACGCTGCCAACATCATCCGCACAATGCGATCTGGTGTTGGCCCGGAGCTGGAAGTCGATCTCGGATGCCATACATCAGATCGTCATTGCTATGTCGACAACGCTACAGTATTCAACATGATGGATCGATATTCTCAAAATCATGCGACTATATGAGACAAGACGGTGGTCAGTTTGCGGATACGAGTGGGAGGCGCTCCGTCATCATCTACCTGGCCTATAGCGAGCGGAGCTATCGGAGACCAGTGGCGGCGCTTGTTGTGTACGACCCTATGGTGGCCAAATCCAAGTTGGCGGCTGGATAAGTGTCTGTTGCACTCATCAATAGCCTCTTCAGTAGTATGTTGAGTCGACGCAATCTTTGAGAGAGTCTAAACAATGCATTGTGACGAGGAAAGACGTTTCGCAGACCCCTATCGAGACCCTGCCACCGATACGTGTCAGTGCTCTTCACTCTTTCGCCCAGCATTACGAACGCCATGAAAGACATCAATCGCTAGCGCGGAAGCGAAGCCGAAACCTCGACTCTTTTCTTTGTCGACAGCCGGCGCATGACCTCCCGCCTTGCTCAGTCTGTGTTCGTATGATACATTGTGGACACTCCAGTCGACGCCAGCACGCCAGCACCAAGCCTAGAGGACTTGAAGATGATCAACTGAAGTTTGTAAATAACGTGTAAAAATTACTATTGTAACCTCTTTCGGCGGATATGATGATATCTTCATCATCGATTCCCTCCATATTCGTCACTGATGAAACCAGTCTCGTGTTTTTTTATTCCTTCAGATAGGCTGTGTGCACCCTGTCGTCTTCTCATGTTGGCATGGTTTTCTCTAGTCACCGTCTTGCTGGTGGAAGACGGCTAGGTGTCTCCCTTTGTTCAGACAACTAACATAGCATGGGTGATGTTGGCAAACCCGGCGTGTTCTTCTTGTCCTCTGTAGACAAAGGGTCATTCTTCAAAGAACACATAACCAGCATATATACGACGCGACATCTGTATGGGTCAAAGTTCCAATCTCATGTCCATGAGTTCTATTATTGTCTGACACTTCACATCCATCGGTATCGAGGTTCCATCAAGATGTCTCCAAAACGGAAGGAGACAGGACAGGGTGACGACCCACCCAAGGCGAAGAAGACCAGATCAGAGGATCCTCCTGACGACGATACAACCAAGACCGATGTCAACTGGTTCATACCAAAAGAAAAGGGTAAGAACGTCTACAAAGAAAAATGCGCAGCCGAGTACGCCCAAATCCTCTATGAGAAAGCGCGAGAAGAGATAAGTCCGCAACAAGCACCTTTGTTAGATCCGCAATTCCGGACGCCAGTATTCCAAAATAAAGGCAAAGATCTGAGAGCGGGAGACAAGTACAGGCCCAGCGCGTCTTTGCGCAACCTGTTCAACGACATCAAGAGTAGAAGTATTGATAAAGAGGAGGGCCATAGCATCACCCATTTCCAGCAGCAGTTTGGCGACGACACAAACATTGCAGTGGTGCTCTCAAGAGCGGAAAACAACGCTACTCTTGTTCTAGATGGATACCAACGTTTGGAAGTGTAAGTGCAGACGCGTGGCTCGTTGTCGCCAAGCTGACTGGATTTAGGACTGTGAACGATGCAACTGCATATGTAGATTTTATCCGACGGAACTCATCAGAGGATGGCAGCCCTATCGGGTATTTCATTCGACTCCCTTTCAATACGTCAGTCACAGTAAACGGGACTACCTACACCAACAGCGACGGTCCATCGTCCCTGCCTTTCTACATTGGTCCGCTCGAAGGGTACGCGATCATTGAACTACTGTCGCAACCAGCATTTTTCTTCAGAACTGCAGCAAGTTTGAAATACACTTCGTCACATAGGGCGGTAACTCAAGAAGAGCTCGATCGTCGCGATGGAAATGGCGATGTTGCTTTGGGAAATACGAGAGTGCGATGGATGCCTATCGGAGCTCCACTACCGTCAGCGGGAGCGGGAAACCCAGGCGCCCAAGAAGAGGTAGAAGAAGATTCGGAGGATGAATTCATCGACACATTCACCGATGAAGGAGAGCCGATCAAAGATCTTGGTGTGTATATGCGAGCTCAGCTGTTGTCTCATCAAAAAAGTCGATATCGCGAGCTCATTCCCAGAGTTCTTGCTTCGGTGAACTATCGACAGGAAGAAGCTACCGGGTTCAGCTACCAGCATGAAGGACAGACTTCCAGGCCCGGAAGGACGCTGTTGCAACCAATCGAGGTGGAAGGGAACCATCTGTTGCTCGCTGCTCAAATCCATGCCGACAAGCACATCACACTCGAAGTCCTAGATCCTATGACGTGGCGATCAACTTTGTCCACTCGGAAAGCTATCGATGAACACATCAGGGAGACTTTGCGAAGCTCCACATGGTGGCGGCATGTCTTTGACTCGTTAGATCAAATGGAAAAAAACCTGCCCGAGGCCACGATGTGGGTACCGGCTGCTCAGGTCACGACAGGCGATGGAAGCTTCACGTACACCGTCTTGAACGCATGGGCGCTGGCGATGGGCCTCGCGCCAAACCCGTCGTTCACACCTAGCGCTCATGGTCATGAGTCGTTCTTCATCCGAGCCCAACAAATCTTCGACCTGGCCCTTCAAGACAAGTTGAACTGGAGGGTGTTACTCGCCTTTTTTTGCTGCACCGGATTTGTTAAGCCCGACGAGGGCAGCGAGAACGATGAAGAGGCAAATCTCCCGCATCTATCAAGGCGATTTGATCTTCGTAACCGCTCCTTCCAGAAGCTAATTTCTCGCCAAACGGCAGCAGACGCCGCCGCCGAAGGCAAGAAGATCAATATGGAGCTGGTCACTTTGGGACTCGAGGATGGGATGCGCCATGATGTAGCTTTCGCTGCCGATTCACTAAGCGAGCTCGAACGGACCATTCTCACTTCAATCGTCCGTAATGGTCAATGGAACTTCGCTGATACAGAAGAGAAGCTGAAAAAGCGTCTGGATGAACATAAAGAGCAAAAAACGTCGGATATGTCGTTGGCAAAAACAACACCAGCACCACCGCCACCACCACCACATAGATCGACTCCAGATACCGAGGAAATCCCGGCCGACTTTGATCCTTGTAAGCATCTTCACGAGCAGCTTAAATTGCTCGAAGAGCAGGGGAAGATTGAACCAAAAGTCGGAAGTGAAATCGACGAAGCATTGCCATCCAGGTGGAGTCAAGCTGTCTTTGGATATATCGAGCCCGTTGCACGAGCTATCAACGACTTACTCTCACCTGAGCGGCCTATGCGGGGCTTCACAGTGGCAGACCTGAATGGTTCATCCAGATACGCAGATGATTCTGGCGTCTTGGACACAGTGGTTATGATAGTCTGCCAACTGCGAGAACATGTCATACTGGTAGTCTTGCAGCATGAGGACACATCCAAAGAAGCTCCCGATGTATCACGCGTTATGGACTCCGCACCATGGATTGGGACGGCGAAGGAGCGCATCCAAATTCACGACCTACTGATTGAAGCGGGGATGTTAGTAGTTGAACCTACTGCAGACAAAGTTAAAAGTTTCGTCGGGCCAGTAATACAATGGATGCCGGGTCCTCGACAAGCAAAAGTAGAGGAAGCTGGGTATTTTGCAATCATGAGTGCATGGGCTGTACTACTTGGTCTACCCATCAACCCCGAATTCCGTATAGGCGCAGATTTCTACGACAGCGCACTTCCTCTGCTCCAGGCAGTGGTAAAAGCACACGCAGACTGGAAGCTCATCTGGGCGTTCTTGCGTTGTGTGGGTTATACTCAGTCCGAGCAGCCGCCTCCGATGCAGCGTCGTTTCAAAGCGACAAGGCCTGCTCGTGGCCCCCGTATCACCAGAGGCAACAGAAAGACAAAGCGCTCGATTGAGACTCAGGCTTGCCGTGACATCAACTACCCGCACTTTCCAGTGAACACGGGTGTAGCGCATACTGAAGCCTTCCAATGGGATGATTACGATGGACCTGACAGAAGAGCACGCATACCCGAGCTTATCAGATCTGGAAAATACACCAGACATTTGCAAACTCCGTCTGCAGACCCCCCTGCAATTCCTGCACCGCTGTCCAACTCGCTACAAAACTTGAAGACAGGAGCTCTAGTCACCACAGGTGGGCATGTTGTAGCAGGTGTAGATCTACCTGCGGGCGAAAATCCTATTCCGGAGGACCTGAGTCTCTTTGATATGGCCGCTCGCATTCCAGAACTCCAACGTCTCGGCACTTTTGACGAGAAGCTTTCCCGTGAAGAGATACGGAAGCGCTATGACGCGTTAGCAAAAGACTTCCAACCGTGCGAACATCTTCGTCGTACGCTGCAGAACCTGCTGACAAATGACAAAGTCAAGGAAGAGGTTGAAGCCTTTAGAAGTGGCGAAAGAGTAACGACCGGGTTTGGGCTCTGGCTATCCGATGAGGAGGTGGCCATGCACGCCGCTGCGGTCACTTTGGCTGTCAACGATACGCAGAGTATCGAAGAGGGTTACAGTGTTGTGTCGCCCGCAACTGTTCAGTTATGTAAAGGCGTTGGCGCCAGCGTGTCTCCCGCACTTCGACCCGGCCGTCCTCTACTCATGCCATTGTACTCAAAAAGTCATTTCGTTCTGGTAATTGTGCAATTGAACGAAAAGAACCTACCCGAAATATCGGTTCTCGACTCCTTGTTCTACCATTACAATGCTGCTCAACGTAACCACATCTTTGAGACAGCCTGGAGGGTAGTATGTCGTACGGCTTGGTACAGGCGACATTTCCAAGATGAAACTGCTTTCAAGACCGTCAAGCCTTCTCATGCAACTTGGGTCAAAACCGCTCTTCAACCGAGCACGAATGAGTGTGGCTATTTCGTAATACTCAACGCCTGGGCACTGGCGCTGGGCTTGGAGCTCAATCCTGCGGTGCGACTTAAATGGACAAAATCGTTCTTCGATGAGCTGTACGATGTTATCAGTCTTGCGCGTTTGGGTCACGCAGACTGGAAACTCATTTTTGCTTTTCTACGGTGCCATGATATCGTACGGAACGGCTCTGTACCCGAGAACAGGCGTTTTGTCCAAACTCATGCCATAAAAGACGAAGACAGAATGGTAGAAGATTTGGAAAGTCTTGGTGCTATAGAGCTGATACACTGGCAAGAGCGGCAGCAGCCCACGCCTGAAGAAAATGCGAGAATGCGACGCTGTAATCGCGTTCCAGGCCTCAATGGTTCATCACACAACCAGGCTGGCGGCTTCCCTTCCGACGAATGGACGGCTCCAAGCAAATCGAAGTTTGTACCTCGCCTTCAGCAGCTGGGCATCCTGAATGTCAACCATGACAGCTCCCAATTGGAAGAAGCTCATGATGGCTCGTGGGGGATAGCCTGCGAAAGATTCCTCGACTCCGTCCCAGGGTCTATCGCCGAAATGATACGAGACACATTGATACAAAGTTTACGAGATCACCTCGAAAACCACTTTGCTGAGGTGGGAAAACATTACAAGGACACATTTGCAGCAAGGGTAAGAGATGTCTATCAGACTTATGTACTCCTCATGAACAAACATGACGTACGGCAATGTTTCGGAGAGATCGGCGTTGGGGTTACAAAGTCGGCCAAGCATGACTGGAAACAACCCCTACACGATTCTGAAGTGAATTTGGCCATCGTGTCGGTTCTGGAGGCCATCGATAATCTCCAAGCTGATGCCCATGGGCGTACAAACTCTTCGAGCCTCTTCGCAGGAGGCTTTACGTTGGCAACGTCCGCCAGTTTGGCATTCGCCCTCTGTTCCAATGATTCCGACAATGAGAATTCCTTTGACAATCTGGTGCTTTCGCGCCCTCGAAGGGCTTGGTTGATGCCTTTGGTAGTCAGCAGCGGTGGCCTGTTGGATGAGTTGAAGAACTGGGCGAAGGGAAAGGGTGTGAAATGGAAGCCCCCTACTAACAGCCAAGCTGAAGGCCATACGCTCCTCGTCTTGATCCAAGAATCGTTCAACGACGAGACCGATGATTATCCAGGCGGAACGCATTTCGAAATAGTATTCATCGACAGCTGTCAGAGAATCTTCAAAGGCGTGCAAGGATTCTTCTTGGAGCGTATCAGCAAGGCTCATAAACGCCTCAAGTGGTCAGACCATCGCCGTGTTTGGGATGTTGTTCCACCTAGGGAGATTCCTTCTGATATACAAGTGCCTCAGCAGCAAAACGGCGGCTGGCAATGCGGGCATCACACCGTGATCAACGCTTGGATAATCGCCTTGGGTCTTCATCCCAAAGGAGACGCAATTTACAAAGAGAACGGATATAATCTGATCTACAGACTCGCTCAAATGGCCACCGCTGGCATACTAGACTGGCGCACGCTTGCCGAATTCCTTGTCAGCAAAAGGCTTACGACAGAGACGAGTGCAGACGACGTACCAGAGTCTCGCCGGTTCAAGTTCACTTGTGCTCAAACTAATGAGAGTGCGCTGGATGCGAGGATCAGAGCATACGCACTTGTAAACACTGCTCTTGGTACATTACCGCCGACAGACACACCTTATGACTGCAATACCAACTTTGTTCCTATCCAAGAGGAAGAAGAAGAGGAAGGGTTAGCACGAGGGTTTGAGGATATGGAATTAGATTTCCTTGACAATCGGAGGAATCCTAAAAGAAGACTGCGCGACGATGGTAGCGACGGTCTCGCTCTGTGGGATGATGTAGCCGCTGGACGGGACAGAAGACATGTTACTGCGGCCGACGCGCCGCGTCGAAGCAAGAGACAAAGGCTGTCGAACGGCCTCTCTTTTCTCGACGCGTACTATAACGAGCCCAGTTCAGCAGCCCGAATATCTCTTTTGTCGCTGTGATTTGTAGTAGATGTATAACGTATTCGGGATAGCCGGCATTATGGCTGCGCGTATTTGGATTACATCGATCGTATCATAATTGAGCAAGAAGGTGCCTAGACGCTAGGAGAAATGTATAACATGTATTTGCGGATGAAATAGATGAATGAGATGATATGGAACCCAGCCGTGGAGATGCGAAGGCGTGAACAAACGTGAAGACGCGATGAGATGTGGACCCAAGCGCCCAGCAACCGATGACGTAGCCCCAAAACCTTCACGCGTCGCGATCCACGAACCCCAAACCTCCACCATCTCAACCTACCACACCTAACACAACCCCACAACCCGCCAAAATGATACGACCAACCCTCCTTTCCGCTATCCGCCTCAATGCCTTGCCCAATACCTCGAAACGCGCCTTCTCCCTCCTAAACCCCACGTCGCGCTCGCACACCAACCGCATCTTCGACCCCATTCGCCAACCCAATGACCTGCACACACTCACACTCCTCAACGCATCCGACAACCGCTCCCTAATAACATTATGGACCGCAACGTGGTGTCAGACCTGCCAAGCCATCAAGCCGCTCATCCGCCAACTCATCGAAGAAGAAAAGATTGGGGAGCGGGAAGGCGGACTGGGCTTTGTGGAAGTGTTGATGGACAGCACGTTGATTGAGGATTTGCCTATAAAATACCGCATCAGTAGTATGCCGACGCTATTGGCGTTTTCAAGACAGGAGGCGCAATTTGATACGAGGTTGACGCGGCCCGAGGAGATGCGGAATAAGGACTTTTTGAGGGAGTGGTTGGTTAGGGAGGCGCAGAGGGGAGGGAGGATGGGCGGTGGTGGGGGCAGTATGTTTGGTTAGTTTTCCGCGTCCTTGTGTTGTGCTTGGATGGAGTACTGGGCCTGACGGTGTTAAAGGTGCGAAGGAAGATGGCGAGCAGGGTAAAGCGGGGGAGGAAAAGTGACACGGGATAGCCAAACATGGGGCGGAGGTATGCTGTAGGCGCAACAAGCTAGCAGTGCGGTCAGGAGCTGTGGAGTAGCGAATGATCTGCGTTCGTGTGACGCTGTGAGTGAAGTAAAGCTCGGTCGAGCAAACACTGTTATTTGACTCTCAAGTGGGGGAGTGATTCCATAACCCTGTTCTCTTCTCTCACCTTTCTCTTGGAACATTCCCTTCCTTCATCCACGAATAGGTCCCTACCATGACAAAATTGACGATAGATCAAGACTACGAGGCCGCCGTCGTGAAGGGTACTAGGCTGCTCCAGATCCTGGCCGCGAAGGATAAGACACAAGTTCAAAGCGCATATGAGGAGGTACAAGAACTAGCCCAACATGGCTATCTTCTAAAGCCTCAAGACAAATTCTTTGAAATCGACTGTATTGCCGACGCGCTCTACGATCTGGGTGTCAGCGACCAAATGGTGTATGATGGCGGAGAGAATATCAGAACACATCATGTGCATGACCGCGACGGAGCAGAAGCGACAGAAGACGATACAGTACGTTCCGCGGGAGCTTTGAAGTGAGCACGTTCTAACGAGCTATCAGATAACACATGGCTACTTTTCTCAAGTCAGCAACCCACACTCTGGTGTCTTGATCGCAGACAGTAATCTTAGTCCCGCACATGCAGCGAAGTTCGATGACGAAGGGGAAGAAGAAGCCATAGAACTACCGTCACTGCGATACTGGTCAGACGTAGCGTTTCTACAATACCTTTCTTCTTTCCCCGAACCACCTATACGGCCGATCCCGCTCAACTACGTCTTCCGCGTTCAGATTCAGAATGCTGAGACGTCTCTGGTGCTCAATAAGATTATCAGTAACCATGTTACGTTTACATACGAGATGTGGCCTGGTATCACGTTCGGAATGGACACTGAAGAAGGGAAGGCGATCTTAGGGACGCCGAATGGTTGTGGTGTCGCTTGGATGCTTATTCAACATAGTGAGGCGTTTGGAGAGAAGAATATTGAGAAGGTGACTTTGTTTCATGCGGCAAAGAAGGATGATTTGTTTAGATGGCCGACTTTGCTGTTTTGGATTGTGTAGAGTGGGGGTCAGGTAGGAAGATTGTATCTGCATTCACTTTACATTGAGCGAATTAGACAAAGGGTGGAACAGTTTAGGCTACATGTCAGCTGCTTCGCGTCATAGCGTTTGTTGACGATGCGCGTGACGCTCCACGTCTTCCCTCAAGGAATTCATAAATGCATCTGGATAGCAACATACTTAGTACTACCGCGAACCGCCTGCGACACTTTGATAACTATCATCCTCTCCGATGACAACCTCAGTCAGCCCGGCAACGCATTATGAGGCGGCTTACAAGAAAGGTCTATTGCTGTTTCAGATGCTGGAAGCTAGCTTTGGTGAGCTCGGTAATTTACTCAAAAACACAGATACGCCAACTGAAAGCGAATACCTCAAATACGAAGATCTCTTGGAGAACAATTGGGTTGAGCGGTCCTCCAGGGACGATTCCAAAATTCTGGCGCGACTGTTGGAGGACCTTGGAATCAATACTTCAAGTAATATCCCTGTTTCACATGAACACCACGGCGTTGCACCAATAGAAGAATCGCTACAAGAAGGACTTGAGATGCAGATACGCTTCGACTCAGTCATCAACACTTCCGGTGGTACGATTGCAGCCATGAACACGTACAGTCCTATGCATGATTGGAGAAAAGCGAAAGCGGATGCCGAGAACGTTCTACTAGAACAAGCCGGCCACAAGTCTACGGAGAAAAATAACGTCGGCGATGACGTCCCTAGCCTGAAGTACTGGTCAGATGTCGCATGCCTGCAATGGGCCTGCTGTAACACGGACTCATCCGACCTACGTTATGTAATGCGAATGAGCATCACAAACGAAAAGACAAAAGCAGTCATCCAGCATATCAAACAACAAGCCCATCACAAAGCTTCAGGCTCATACTCATTCGACGTTGACAACCGGGATCAGGTAGCCGCTTTTCTAGGGACACCGAATGGAGCCGGAGTCGCTTGGTTGCTCATACAGCATAAACGGCAATTGGGCCATAAGACAGTTCACAAGGTAACGGTGGACTGTCGTGAAATCTGGCATAATAGCAAGACAATAGTTCCCGGCTTGGTGTTCCACCTTCGCGACGTGGTTACTCCGAAACCAGGCAGCGAGAAAGGTGATTGAGGGAAGTCGCTATGAGGGTAGAGCGAGCGCTGCTCGAGCAATCTGTCAGGCTACGCGAACGATGAGAAGGCTGACAGTAGAACATTCATGAAACTACACCGTGTTTGATCCACGGAAGATTCGTAGGAGATGGAATACATTATTTCACCAGCCTCGGGTATAAAAGACACTCGCTTCCTTTGCTTCCCAATAACGTCTCACACCAAGCCATGCCCACGATGACAAACTCACATATCAGTAATCTGGACTACAAGACTGCCATGGTCAAAGGCAAGAAGATGTTCCAAGTGATGCATGGCGAATCTGCTGTCACGCGAAGCCCATGCTTCACGCCCGAAGAAGTAAGAGCAATGGGATACAAGAGAACAATAAGGCTTCCATCTATCTCTGACCTGTCGAAAAAGCTGGACAGTCTCGGTGATCAAAGTTCTAACTCTCACTTCATCAATGTTACAGACGATTACACGAGAGATGTTATTACTGGCGAAACACTTGTCGCGAGCGACGTGAGATTCATGTCCGATATCAACGTTGAAGCGGGAATTCTCGTAGCAATCTGCAACTACAGCCCGACATACAAGGCCAAGAGGTTGAACTCGCCGGCGGCCGCCATGTTACCCTCGCTGAAGCACTGGTCCGATATAGCCTTCCACCAATGGGCCCATTCTCAACGCACCCAGGAAGGCATACGTAATCTCAAGTTCATCGTAAGAGCAAACATCATGAACGAAGATACTTTGGCTATTATCAATAGTATTCTCGACGCTCCACCTCGCCAGTCACAAGCTTGTATGCGGTCGGGACTATATCTGGACATGAATAGTGACCATGCCATAGCACTGCTGGGTACAGCACACGGCGCAGGTGTATCTTGGCTACTTGCGCAGCATCGAGACCAACTTGGCCAAAAGGTAATTGCTGGGATAACAATATTCTATAGCGACGAGCCGCTAGGTCGCGACAGAGCCCTCAGCTTGCTGTTCGGCCTCCGTCACGCGAATGCGCGTGAGAAACATATCGAGAAGTTGTGAGGCACGATGTTGAGCAAAGAGCGCGGCGGACGATCCTTTGGGTAGGCGCAGCCGTCTAGCGGCGGTAGTTCGTAGTAATGACAATCTTGCCGAATCGGATCAAAACTGAGCAGCTCCTGATGGTGGTTCAGATGGTTACGGCGTAGGGGCCTAGTATGAAGGAACATTGGCGTTCCAGGTAGCGATGATGGATGGGCAGGCTGTCGCGAGGCTTGGTGGCTGGGACTGGGAGCCGGGGGTGACCGGAAGCGAGACGCACCCCGCAATGACCTGCGCGTCCCGCATCTTCATCACGATCTTCGCGTCTCCTTTCTCTCATGGTTCGCTTCTTCGTGTGATCTTGTCTGCTGAGTTCAATGTTTGACCTTCTGTTCTTCTCCAGCAGCTCGCCATATGCAGCCGTCGAACGACAACAAGTGAACTTTACGCGTCATTAGCGCGAGCTGCACTGTTTACTCAATAGCAACCGCATACACGGGATGGCCATGACGCTCTTATGCTTTTTAGTTGCGGAGACGGCTCCTAAGCCTCGGCTTCGCGCACTAAGAAGTGATTTTGTTTGGGTGGAAGTCTTACAGCGCGATGCACGCCAAGCTGGAGGTGGCTTGCGACGGGAGTGTTGACCTCGGTTTCGCGTCAATGAAAAGACGAGGCTTGTATAAAGAGATCAAGATATTGCTTTCATACCAGTGCACGGGTAGTAAAATCACAGTGCCGCCGACATGTTCTCGTCTTTTACATTGGGCTCCATTGGTCTTCTGCTCTTAACCAGCGGCGCGACGACAACCTGGGCAGACTATGCGTCCGGACACGATGTACCAACCGCAACTGTCGACGCGGGTGTCATAGTTGGGAAGATCACCTCACTTCCTCATGCACTTGGACCAGTGCATCAGTTTCTAGGTGTGCCCTTTGCATCACCACCCGAAAGATTCTCTCCACCGCGAGCTGCAGAACCCTTCCAAGAGCCAGTCAATACCACCGAGTTCAAACCAGCATGTATCCAACAATTTCGATGTATGTGAACCATGCAAGCGATTTGATGTATGCTAATTAGAGTAGACCCGCTGTCAAGTTCACAGTTCACGCAGGCTGTCTTCAATAACCCGCCACCTGAAGAGTCGGAGGATTGCTTATACCTCAATGTCTATGCACCATCGACTCCCGCGGGCGGCAATGGCAGGGCTGTAATGTTCTGGATCTACGGTGGCTCACTGCAGTTCGGTAACGCTGGTCAAGAACAATATGACGGAAGCAGTTTCGCAGCATACGAGGATGTCATCGTTGTGACGACGAACTACAGAACGAACGGTAGGTGACTATCGACACTCCAAATCACATGTTTCATACCTAACAGCTCGCAGTATTCGGCTTCCCTGCTTCACCAGAGCTACCACTAGCGGAACGCAATCTTGGCTTCCTTGACCAGCGCTTTGCCCTCGAGTGGGTGCAGCAAAACATCCACGCTTTTGGCGGCGATGCATCCAAAGTCACCATCTTCGGCGAGAGCGCGGGTGCTTTCTCGATCGATGCGCTCCTGACCAGCTTCCCAAAAGAGAGTTCACCACCATTCCGGGCCGCCATCCTACAAAGTGGGCAGTACAGCTATCGCGCAGCTCCTGCAACATCAAGCATACCCGCTTGGAACAACCTCACAGCGACGCTCGGGTGCCCGGGGACATATGGGAGCAACTTGACATGTGTAAGAGCAGCGAACACAACGACTGTGCAAACCATCATCAACCAGAACTCACTCGTGTTCAATCCAGTCGCTGATAACACCACTTTGGTATCAAACCCAGCAGCACAACGCCTAAGCGGCGATATCACGCATATACCAGTACTAGGAGGTACAAACAGCCAAGAAGGCCGCGTCTTCTCAGTCGGCCAAACAAACGTTACTGCCTACCTGCAAGCGACCTTCGGAGCCGCACCAGCACTCATTCCCGCAATCGAGGCTGCATACCCAATCGGTAGCAACGGTCTGACCAACGGCTATGACGTCATCTCACAGATTGTCACTGAGATCACATTTCAGTGTCCACAAGCACTATGGGCCAATGCGACAGCATCTATTGGTATCCCCACCTGGCGCTACTACTTCAACGCCTCTTTCGCCAACACGCAAGCTTTTCCCCAGCTCGGAGCGTATCACGCTTCTGAAATCCCTCTCGTGTTCCGCACATACCCCCTTGCTAATACGACGACGCAAGAGTACGCCTTGGCACAGTTTATGCAAAGTACATGGGCCAAGTTCGCGAAGAACCCATATGCCGGACCTGGATGGAATGCTGTTGGTACGGGTGCTGAGGGTAATGTCTTGGTTGGTGCCTACGACTTTGTGGCAGGTGGAGTGTATCAGGACCAGAATGCCACTGCCGTAGAAGGAGATTGGAACTTGGGTGTTCTCGGCGATGTTGGAGATGTGAGGGGAAGCGGTGTCACTGTGCTGCCGCAGTCCGATCTTGATTACAGATGTAGTCTCTTTAGGCCTATCTTTGAGGCTAATGTGGGTCCGCAAGGTATACCTCCATCTTGAAGTGGAGGCCCATGCCCCTAGGTTATGGTGATTTCCAACGTCGTCAAATCAAACGCTAAGATCGTGATATTGAATTATGAATACATCCAAGCGTCTTGTAATGCTGTTACTGTACTACTAAGTCCTTCAACCTATCGTCCGCCAGGAATCTGTCCAATATCCACTCCACTCCGATCCGACTCACCACCCTCATGCATGCTCCTCTTCACACTGTCAATCAAACTCTCGCTTCCGGTTTTGGTACTGACACTGCTACTTCCCTCGTACTCTTGCTTAGTGTTTTGTGTTACATCTTCTCCGTGGCGCTGCTCTGAAGTGCCTGAGGCGTTTTGCTGGTCGGGTGCAGCCTATGACTGTCAGTATCTTCCTTGGGGATACAATCTTTCTAGTATGATGCATGGTTGGTATGAGGTGTTGTGTCAGGCAGGAACTTACCTTATCCACGGACGCGCTCAAACCAGCAGGGTCGGTCGACTGACCGGTCTTGAACGGAACGCTCGTGTCGCCCTTGAATGTGCCGGCTGTGTCTTCGCTGGGGTTGACGGGGTCCTTGGGTTGGGTGTTTGAAGATTCTTGACCTGTCAGGGAAGACATGGCGTGTATGCTTCGGTGGAACTAAGTATGAGAGGTCTCGTTATTTAGCTTTTCGTGTGGTGAGCAATCTGTCTCTGATCAATGCTTTGACACAAGACCGTGAAGTAGTTTTGTAGGATGGCATAAGCTGGAGTCGATGGTGCAGGTTCGACGTCATAGTGACTCAAGATGGAGACGTGGGTATCTGCAGTGGCGAAGTGGTTATTGGCTTGAACGCGAGAGATGCGCGTTTGCTTATGCCTTTGACGAAGCAACCCTCTAGATTGATAAGCGTTCCCACTTCTTCACGATATCACTATCAATTCAACACTCCTTGATCTCATGGTATCGAAATTCTATTCCATGCACAACGCTCCCTGCGCCGACCGAGTAATGCTACACAGATTATCCATATCTATAGCTTGCTCTTGCCAATACCCCAGACCTCAGCCTGAGGGTTATTCGACTTCTTGTTTATGGACGCACCGTCAGCGACAGGCTTGTCGCCCTCCTCGACGAACAGCGATTGCGACTGCTTCATAGTCTCAACAGCTTCGCGCTCGATACGGTCAAGGAGCTCTTGATTGGTGGGGATGTCGTGGATGAGGCCAATTACTTGGCCAGCAGTCCATACCTAGGTTTGTCAGTCAACCGCACTCGAAAAGGGACATGTAAACTTACACCGAAGTCTGGGTCTCCGTTCAAGAAGACTTGCCGACCTCGCTTTCCGCTGACAAACTCAGCGACTTCCTCGAACTTGCCAGTTGGGCTTGTCTTCTCGACCTCAACGGCCTGCAGCGCCACCTTGTTGGCGAAGAGTCGCGATGTGTTCTTCCACCGGCGGAGCACGAGTGCGGTATCTGTCTCTTGCGCGTCGACGATGGCTTGCTTGATGTTGTGGTGGATGGGCGCTTCGATGGTGCACATGAAGCGCGTTCCCATGTTGATACCACAGGCTCCGAGAGAAAGCGCGGCAGCCAGACCTTGGCCGTCGGCGAAACCTCCAGAGGCGATGAAAGGCACACCGCCTAACGATTGCCTAGCCCTGCTGAGCAAGATGAAGTTGGTAATGTCCGTCTCGCCAACGTGTCCGGCGCACTCGAAGCCATCGATGGACAGGAAGTCAACGCCAAGCTTCACCGCAGATTGTGCGTGCCTGATAGTGGTGCACTTGTGCAAGATGATGGTGCCAACCTCCTTCAGCTGCTTAATCACCGGCCCTGGGCTGTTTCCCGCTGTCTCGACAATGTTGACCTTCTCCTCGATGATGACGCGGGCGTATGCGGCATAGTCCGGGGGGACCATGGCGGGGAGGAGCGTCAGGTTGACGCCGAAAGGCTTGTTGGTCATCGTTCGGCATCGGCGGATTTCTTTGCGAAGGTCTTCGGGTGTGGGTTGGGTAAGGGCGGTCAACTATGCAATCGTGAGAACGTGTTTGATGCGTGATGGGCGCCAGGCGTACTATTCCCAGACCTCCTGCGTTGCTAACAGCGGAAGCGAGTTCGGCGTATCCGACCCATTGCATACCACCTTGAACGACGGGCACTACATCTGTCAGCTACCGTCTCGTTTGCTGTGCTGGTGAAGTTACCTCTAATGCCGAGCGCCCTCGTCAGCTCCGTGTTGAAAGGCATCCTGACTGTAGATGGCCCGAAGAAAAGATTTAGAGTTTGTTGTATGAGAGGGAACTGCACAGGAGCCTTGAGCCGAGCAGATATCTGACACTCGGACGCGCGACGTTACGGCCGTCGCGCCGGCTGAAGCGCATGTCATTCGTGTGGGGAAGCCATGTGCCTCGGTAACTCCACAGCCGCGACACCAAACACAGGTGCACGACCGTCGGGTGATTAGTCTGCGCTGACTCTATCGCCGAATGATTCGCTGTCACCGAGTCGCTCACTCGTGATGTCTTTGCTGGAATGGCAGCTGTGCCCGAGTGGTGTTCCGGACGCGTCGCAAAAGGGGAAAGCTGAGCCGCAGGGCTGATGCCGTCATCTCCCTGGCATGTTCACATGTGTCTTGGCAATGAACCATCACTCCAACACCACCCCTACGCATCTGAGCGATCAATTTTTAATCATCTCCTAGGACTCATAAAGGCTGGAATCAGTCGCATCGCGAAAGCAAATCTCGCAGTTTGTCGGTAGCTATCCTTAGTCCAGGTGGACTCCGCGTTGGAGCAAAGAACCTAGGAAACAATACTCTGGATTTCAGCTGCCTGGCTGCACTCATAGCACTTTATCAAGGGTCCTTCTCATGGTCTCTGACTTCCCTATCGCGTTGTCTATGTCTGCCCAAACCTGGACTTCTGCATGAAGCCACGTTGTTTGACTTGCGAAATGGGCAAACACAACAATGTTGCGCTGGATTCTGGACCTCCGCAAAACCCGACTAGAGTGGAAAGACAATCGCTACTCTATGGCATGACCCATTGTGGAATATCTCATGCGTTTTGGGCCAGCATCAACCCGCATCAACGATCAATCATCGAGATTGCACGCTCGTAAGACTGGTTCAGAATAACGGCAGCCCGACGATCCGTTTGTTCCTTACCGACCGTTGTAAAGCCAGCGGGATTACCAAGAGCTTAGTATGCTTCCAGGCCACGTGAGTTTTGGTCCAGACTATGGAGCGTCCTTCGATATCGCGTCCGTTCGATCTACTGGGACTTTGAACTGCACCCCTTCCCTGCATGACCTTACTATTTACTCTGGCTGGTGTCGTAAGCTTCTTGAGATCGAGCAACCTTTCACGCTCGACATGGCTGGCAATCCCGAGAAACAGAAATTTTCGGTGCGGAAGAAGCGTGCTGGATCACGCACCAACGGACTTCACATCCCTGATTCTACAATCATCGTTGTCGAGCCTTTGAGCGAATTTTGTCTCAAATGTGCGGAGTGAAGTAAGAGATCGGCATCTAGGCCAACTGTCGAAGACGATACTTAGAAAGTTCACATCGTAGAATCCATGGGTACCATGGGATGTCGCATTGTAGTCGCATTGGAAGAGCGCTATTTAGTCGATGTATGGTTGGGACAGCGTCACGTATCCATGCGCGTTGACGGGAAGCTCCAACATGTTGTAGTATATACCTAACCCATCGTGATCGGTGTCAAAACCACGCTTGAAATCGAAGTTCTATGACGGGAAGGTACATACTTAGGCTCGCAGGTCCATGCTTGGCAGTGACGTAACGAGCCAATGACATAATGCAACCCCAGCAAGCCCACTAGGTGGACGGTCGTTGCGGGGATTTTGGGAGGCCTACTTTGTTGGGGTCTCCACACACACATCCGGTATATAGACCGAGATGCCAGGCTCGGCGCATCCAAGACGAATCCCGCATCCTGATCCCCATGACCCATAATGTCGTGGTCTCTTCTTCTCACCGTCCTGACCCAGGTCGTCCGTGTTACATGCGCACCAGAGACATATGACTATGTTATAGTTGGAGGAGGCCCCGCAGGTCTTCTAGTCGCGAACCGACTGTCTGCCGATCCCGAAGTCACTGTTGCCATCATCGAAGCCGGAGATTCTGGCTACGATAACCCCAATGTCTCATATGTACCGAGGTCTATCTTGGAGTACGGCCTCTTCATCGGCACGTCCATTGACTGGAAGTACATGACGGCACCTCAGAAGTATGCTGGGAACCGGAGCGTGAACTACTGGGCAGGCAAGGCTTTGGGAGGCAGTACTACGGTCAATGGAATGACGTACATCCGCGCGGAGAAAGAGCAAATTGATGGGTGGGAAGGGCTTGGAAACGAAGGTTGGAACTGGGAGAGCCTACTCGAATACTACCTAAAGCAAGAAGGCTTTACAGAGCCGAGCGAGGAGCTTTCGAAGGAGGGTGCGACCTTCAGGGACGGCGTACATGGAACAGAAGGAGAGCTTGCTGTTGGCTTCACCCCATACCTGGTCCGTCAAGGCTTCGCCAAATTGTTCGCGGAGACCTCCCAGGCGATGGGTATTCCTTACAATAAGGAACCGAACAACGGTAGTATGCGCGGTTTCGACGTGTGGCCTATGACACAGAATGTGAGTGGGCCTACGAGGGCAGATGGAGCCAGGTCCTTCTACTTCCCTGTTGCGTCACGCCCGAATCTCCAGGTCTTCTTCAATACCACTGCTGCACGCGTCATCTGGAACGATGAATCATCCGAGGCGTCAGAAGTGGTGGCCTCGGGAGTTGAGGTGATCGATGCAGGAAATGTAACGAAAACTATCGGTGCCTACAAGGAGGTCATTGTCGCAGCTGGCGCCATTCGATCACCAGCATTCCTTGAGCACTCAGGTGTAGGTAATCCCGCCATACTTGAGCCTCTCGGTATCAAGACTGTCAACCCACTCCACTCGGTCGGCTCCAACCTGCCAGATCAACCGCAGCATGGGATGGCCTTCAACTCGTCCACGAATTGGACGGGCTATCCTACCTTCGTTACATTCTTGACAGCTTCTGATCTCTTTGGTGAAGAACTTCCCGCTCTTGTCGAAGAGCTCCGAGCCAATGTGAGCACTTATGCTGCAGCAATTGTCGCAGACTACGCGCCTGACACGATCTCCGTCGAGACTCAGGAACGGCTTCTGCAACACCAAGTAGACCTAGTCTTCACTGCTGAGAGCGATGTTCCCTTAATAGAGATTCTCTGGGCCCCAACAGGAAATCAGATTATTGCGCAGCTTTGGGACCTAATACCGCTTTCTCGAGGCTCAATACACATCGAATCCGCCGATGCAACTATACCACCACGTATCGACCCAAACTTCTTCCAGATGCCTATCGACATGTATGTGCAGGCTGCTGCAGCAATTCGTATCCGCGAGTATTTCGCCACTTCGCCGCTCGCGGAGGACGCTGCAGGCGAAGTCTCTCCCGGTTACGAAGCGGTACCGCAAGGTGCTCATTGGAGGGACCAAGTCTGGGACGACTGGATCACAAGCGCCATGAACGGCAACTCGCATCCCGTGAGTACTTGCGCAATGATGAGTAAGGAGCTGGGCGGTGTGGTAGATACGGAGGGCAAGGTTTACGGGACGCAAAACGTCCGGGTTGTGGATGCGAGTGTGTTCCCGACTCAGATCTCGGGGCATCTTAGCGCCAGTGTATATGCCATTGCTGGAAAGATCGCGGACGCGATGAAGCAGAAGAAGTCGGATCAGAAGAAGTTTTGACAAGACTGTTACTTTGTGTCGCTTCCGATGTTGGCGGCGTATTGCTATCACACTGTAAATGTCCCGGATTGGGTGGGTCTTCGCCTCCTCCGGGTCAACAGAGAGCTGCGTCGGTGAGGCTGATGCATGGGTAGCGCAAAATAAGTACAGATTTCAATTTGATTGAGGAGCGTGTACTGTTCTCTGGTGAAAGCTATACTCCTTTCTAACAGGCGATCGAAAAAGGGATAGTGTTGCGCTGCCCCACTTCTCATTACAGGGCAGCCGCCCCACGTCACCAACCTTTAGGCAAGAGCCGTGCGCCGGTATAACGAGCCCACCATAAACACCCACCTGGGCAGCCTTCACTCTCCAATATCCAGCTTTGGTCCTCAAGGCCGACGCGATAGCACAATGCCGTCGCTCATGAGCCTTCCGCGTGAACTACGTGATCAGATATGCGAATACGTCATACTTTCGCCAGCCCGGCAGCCACGAGTGCTCAATCAGACAACCGAAGAGATTCTGGACGGATATATAACTTATGAGTTTCCGACGCCGTTCGTGGGACCGGGTCCCTCGCATCAGCCCCAGGCAATCGTCTCGAATTCGACGAGATTACTGCTAGTCAATCAACAGCTGAGAACGGAAACAACGGAGATGCTAGAACGAATGCGAAGCATTGTGTACGACCTCGATCTTGCAATGACCGACAATGGGATATTGGCAGCGACGTGGATCAATGTTCCAGTTTTGTCGACCAGAATTGAGCAGTTGAATGTCACACTTCGCCTCTGTGTAACAAACGATAGCGAACGACTGAAGTCTGAAATTGAAGACATGTTAGGGGCGCCGGCAAATCCAGAACCTGAAGATTTCTTTGGGCTACTACCTAAGCAGTGTAAGGAAAGCCTTTCCTCTATTAGTATTAGTACTACATACTAACCACTCACCTCATTGTTCTAGTGGTATGGGGCTTCTATGGCATATTCAACCGATTTACCCATGTTGGGCCTCTGGGCGAAAGGAAGAGCGACAGTGAACACCGGCAAATATCCATCAGAACGATCAGCATCAACGTCGAGACACCATCTCCGGATCTTGCGCAGCTCGGTCTGATTCATATGTCCGCTCAGGCCGACGCTGCAATGTCGGTTACTTCCCGGTACTTCTTGGTGTGTCTGAATTGGACTATACAACAACAGCTGGAAGGGAATTGGGAGTATATCCGGGGCATCACTCTGCTTGAGCACGTAGATCATGTTCTAATCTATCACGACGGCAATGAGATACATCGCTGGGATGTAGCTGCGTGCCTTGCAGAGTATCCTGAAGATGAGATGATCAGGTGGAGGCCACAGGGCAAGAAAGAGGCGTGGTGCAGAAGGAAGCAAAGAGGACTGAAGGTGCCCGAGGATTTTACCGATCCAGCCCGATGGTAACACCAGGCCGCAAACACGGGGAAGCTATTGAGGTACGG